CCCCTGTACTGACTTATGCGGCGGCTCTCCGATCTCCTGCACCACATGGCCCTGATCATTCATGTAGAGAATGGATCAGGCTAGCCATCGATTCCAGGGCACCTCTTCGACTCCACCACCCGCCTCAAGGTTTCCGAGTGCACCAACTTATCGTTCGTCTGGATCGCGGCAGAACGCCACAAAGGCCAGCGTGTGGCGTACGTCCGATAACCGACCACTCTGCTACCACTGTGGCGAAGCGGGTCACGTCTACCGTAACTGCCAGTACCGCCAACTTGGTCTCCGTGGCTTTCACCCTGATGCTCGGTGCCCGCGTTACGGTGAGCGTCCCCGCGACATTGAAGCGTACCTTACGGGCCAGCAAGCTCCTCGCCTTGGTCAACGCCCCATTTCAAGATCACCATCACCTCGCCGCCCCACGTCACCTAGCATTCCCTCGTCATCTTTTGCTCCCTTCAGAGGCCGGTCACCGAGTCCCCACAGGGGAAACTAGAAACCGCGGCTCCTGGGGGTGAAGCCGCGTCCAAACGAACTGTCAAAGAGCCTCCTTCGACGCAAAGATCCGACGAAGACCGTTCTGACTTTCCAGTCGTTTCCGAAAGTCATAAGACTGTTTCCGCCGACATCACCGTACACGTCGATAATCACGTCGTCACTGCCCTCGTCGACACCGGCGCCGATTATTCAGTTATGAGCAGCACCCTAGCATCCCAACTGAGGAAGGTAACTACCCCTTGGCAAGGACCACCGTTGCGCACGGCAGGGGGCCACCTCGTCACGCCTACTGGAATGTGCACAGCCCGTGTTCGAGTCCATGCTTCGACGTTCACAGGGTCTTTCCTCGTATTACCTGTGTGCTCCCGTCCACTCATTCTGGGGCTGGACTTTCTTCGCGAACACGGCGCAATTATTGACCTACGAGACTTGCAGGTGTCGTTCGAGGACCCGTTTCATCCTGAACCGGAAAACGCCCGCTCATCGAAAGCTGCCCTACGTGTATCCTCCGAATCTGTTACTCTGCCTCCCCGCAGCAGCCTTTTTATCAACGTTGAATGTGACCAAGACGTCCCCGATGCTGTAATTGCAGAAGGAAATTTGTCCCTACTTTTTTCACAACAAATCTGCGTTGCCCGAGGTATTGTTCAGCCCAGCAGAAAGCAGGCTTGCCTATTCGTCACGAATTTCAGCGAGGAGTATCGCCATCTTACCAAACACACTGCGATCGCATACCTTGAGGATATTGCCGACGTCCCTGGTCCCTCAACATTATCTGCTCTTTCATCGTGCGACGATTCCGCCATGACATTTGCAAGCACTCTGGACGTAAACCAGGGTCTACCGTCTGCACAACGGGAACGTCTTTTGAAGCTACTCGGCTCATTTCGGGACTGCTTCGCTACGACTTCGAAAGTTAACCAAACACCGCTTGCCAAGCATCGTATCATCACCGAGCCTACCGAGCGACCCATTCGACAGCATGCCTACAGGGTCTCGCAAAAAGAACAAGACGTTATACGCCAACAGGTCCAGCAGATGCTCAAGGACGATGTCATCCAGCCATCGACCAGTCCCTGGGCGTCCCCTGTTGTGTTAGTCAAGAAAAAAGATGGTACTCTGCGATTTTGCGTCGACTACCGAAAGTTGAATAAGATCACGAAGAAAGACGTGTATCCTTTACCACGAAGAGACGACTCGCTGGACCGCATTCGCAATGCTCGCTACTTTTCTTCCATGGATCTACGCAGCGGCTATTGGCAAATATCTGTTGATGAGCGCGACCGCGAAAAGACCGCCTTCATTACTCCTGACGGACTCTACGAGTTCAAGGTCCTTCCCTTCGGCTTATGCTCGGCACCAGCTACTTTTCAAAGAATGATGGACACGGTTCTTTCTGGGCTAAAATGGCAATCGTGTCTTGTGTACCTTGACGATGTGGTCGTCTTCTCGGACACGTTTGAGCAGCACGTCCAGCGCTTACAGGCAGTTCTTCAGGCGATTCGAACAGCTGGACTTTCTCTCAAACCTGAGAAATGCCACTTTGCATTCGAGGAACTAAAATTTCTTGGTCACGTCGTCAGCCACGCCGGTATACACCCAGACCCTGAGAAAACGAAAGCTGTTGCCGCATTTCCTGTCCCAACGAACAAGCGCGACCTCCGCCGATTTCTGGGACTCTGCGCATATTACAGACGCTTTGTCAAAGGCTTTTCTAAAATCGCTGAACCGCTAAATGAACTTACGAAAGACGGCGTACCGTTTGTTTGGGGTCATGATCAGCATCACGCCTTTGACACGCTACGAAACCATCTCCAAGCCCCACCTGCACTCGGGCACTTTGACGATAACGCTGCCACAGAGCTACACACGGATGCCAGCAACGTCGGACTTGGAGCTGTACTGGTTCAATGGCAAAATGGCGTAGAGCGCGTGATTGCCTATGCAAGTCGAACACTATCATCTGCAGAGAAAAACTACTCTGCAACAGAAAAAGAATGCTTAGCCGTTGTTTGGGCTATAACAAAGTTTCGCCCTTATTTATACGGTCGACCATTCAGGGTAGTTAGCGACCACCATTCTTTATGCTGGCTCGCCAACCTCAAAGACCCTTCCGGTCGTCTAGCACGCTGGAGCCTTCGGCTGCAAGAATTTGACGTTACAGTCATTCACAAGTCAGGACGCAAACACACTGACGCTGACTGTCTCTCGCGTGCACCAATTCGAAGTACGAACGCGGACATTGAAGAGGACGATACATTCCTTTCCTCTGTGTCAGAAACCGACTTGGCTCAACAACAACGCGACGACATGGAGCTAAGCCCGCTGATTGACTACCTCGAAGGCCGAAAACGCAGCCTTCCTCGAAACTTTGCACGTTCGCTGGCCTCGTTCTGCATCAGGAATGGAGTACTCTATAAGAAAAATTTCGACCATACCCAGGCTACTTACCTACTGGTTGCGCCGACCTCGCTTCGGGACGATATTTTACATGCTTGTCACGACGAACCATCATCCGGACACCTTGGCTACACGCGCACATTGGAAAGAATTCGCCGCTCATACTACTGGCCCCGCCTCGCGAAGACAGTCAAGCAGTACGTCCGCACATGCCGCGACTGCCAACGCCGCAAGACTCCGCCTGTCCGACCAGCAGGACTATTACAGCCTATCGCCACGCCGAAGACACCATTCCATCAAATTGGCATTGACTTGCTCGGCTCATTTCCCACCTCTTCGTCTGGAAACCGGTGGATTGTGGTTGCCACCGATTATTTAACGCGTTACAGCGAAGCAAAGGCCCTGCCCAAAGCTACCGCAGCCGAAATTGCACAGTTTTTTGTCACCAGCATCGTACTTCGTCACGGAGCGCCAGCTGTGATAATTACTGATCGTGGTACAGCTTTCACCGCAGAGATGCTTCAAGAAGTGCTGAGACTAAGTGGTACAGAACATCGGAAAACCACGGGTTATCACCTTCAAACAAATGGGCTCACTGAACGGTTGAACAAGACCATTGCAGATATGCTGTCAATGTATGTGGCCGTTGATCACAAGAACTGGGATGATATACTCCCTTACGTAACTTTTGCTTACAATACAGCAGTCCAAGAGAGCACAGGTTTCACCCCATTTCGCTTAGTTCATGGTCGAGAGGTCACCACAATGCTCGACGCAATGCTCCTTCCCAACAACTTGAGCATGCTCAACACGGACGCTGCATTGTTCGCTCAACGCGCCGAGGAGGCCCGTCAACTCGCCCGATGCCGTATTCAGGCGCGCCAAACTGCCGACGCACACCGCTACAACCTTAAACACCGAGAGGTTACCTTCCGACCAGGCGATGAAGTTTGGGTGTGGACTCCCATCCGACAGCGTGGTCACTCTGAAAAGTTGCTTCGGCGCTACTTCGGCCCTTACAAAGTTCTGCGCCGACTCAGTGACGTTTTTTTTTACGTATGAAGTTCTCCCTGAGGGCGCCTCAAGACGTTCCCGTCGGTTTCCACAAAGTGATGTGGTGCACGTGTCAAGACTCAAGCCATATTTCTCGCGTCATCCATCGAACGTGGACTAACTTACCATCCAATGACTATTTTTTGTCCCTTTGGTTTTTTTTTTTATTGTCTTGTGTACTTACTCCTTTCTTTATTGAGTACTTCTAGGACGCCAGCCCATTTTTTTTTCTCCCTTACGACGGAGTCGTTGGGTTCCATGGTAGCATCTTTTCTTTCTCTTTTTTTTTTCTCATCGCTCATTACCAGCATCGAGCCGATGCTTTTCGAGGAGAGGGAGTAATGTCACAGGTAATGGGTATGAGCCATCAACTGTAGGCGGAATCCCTTTGAAGTGAAGAAAGAAGAGGGCTTTTGCGTCCTGGTCTGAGGGCAAGCAAGACGTCGTTTCGTCGCTGTCTGTTATTACGTTCGCGGCAATATATATATATATATATATATATATATATATATATATATATAACCAGGTTCTTTGAACGTCATTCACGCTGGACCCGACGTATTGTAGGCAAAAAAGGGGCGACGAAACTTTCGTGGAAGCGTCTTTACTAAACGTTTTCAGCTGGTGGACCAGCCTTCGTCAGAGTAATGCTTGATTACTCTGACGAAGGCTGGTCCACCAGCTGAAAACGTTTAGTAAAGACGCTTCCACGAAAGTTTCGTCGCCCCTTTTTTGCCTATATATATATATATATATATATATATATATATATATATATATATATATATATATATATATATATATATATATATATCTTCATACCGCATTCCTGTTGCTTGCTAATAGGCGTCTGTTGAGCGAATCACCTCATTATTGATCGCCCTCGGCGACAGTGCGCTTCGAGGATTCGACCTGCTCAATGGCAAAAAGTCTTGGTGACAAGGCAAACTTCAGCATCAGCGCCTTGCAAAAACAAAAAAAAAGTCAGTATATGGAGTCACGGTTACGGTAATCAGCGCAGAAAATCACCTTCAGAAAGGACACTAGACAACTGTTGCTGACACAACCTTGTTTACTAAGTGGCATGAAACTATGTGAACCTTGTTACTGGCGGAAGTTCGCGTACAACGCGAAGGATTCGAGGTAAGCAGCAGCGACCTCGTAGCAGAACTTGTACTGGTCCTGTGACAGAAAAGAAAACAAAAAAACGAGATAAGTACTGGTTGCGGTAACATGTTCTGTCTTCTCCATTCACAACTGACAGTCGCGTAGGGCCTGCGTCAGGTAGACCCTTGCGACTCTTTAATATTATCACGCGAGCCCCAGTAAAGTCTCGGAGACATCATTTGGTGTTTTTGTTTCGTTAACTGTAGGTAAATGAATTTCATCTAATTGAAAAAAAAATCCGATGGAAAGGCAGAAGGTAATTTCTCATGCACTTTAATTACAACAAATCTAGGCCAAATTCATAACACTACAGGCAAAAAAAAACAAATGGCGTCCCCCAGTTTTTCATAATCAGTTGTCGGCTAGTTCATTAATCTGGTGTAACACAAAGCAAAGCCCCTCGAGCAATTCACATTCTTTCGTGTCATGTATTAGTACACTAGTGGGAAATCCTGTGCTAACGTCTATGAGAGCTTCAGAGCATAACTATTCAGCAAGTATGAGAATAATGGGTGGAAGATGCGGGAGCCTAACCTAATTTTTCTTTTCTGGGTCTGTGTGTCCTGTAGCTTCTATGTTACGACACAAAATTCAGCTAAAGTTCTGCAGCACCACTTCACCACTTTGACCATTTTAAACTCACGGATTTGAATCGGCTCAGAAGGTTCGCAATGAAATATTCTTTTGTCCAGAACGAAAGCCAGAAAACAGCAATAAACAAAACCCAAAGTGCGTCCGCAATCAAAAGCACGAAGCCTGCAAATCCACGTACTAAATACTAGACTCATTTTTTCCGTGGTGACGGAGCGATATAAGCGCCTCAGTTTCCTCTAAGTAAATATTTTACGGAAGTTTACGCGCAAATATAAGGTAGTTTCTAATATCGGCGAGAAACAACAGGAGTCAGCGTCGGGCTCGTGTTCTGACCACATTGTCGCACAGGCTGTGGCCTGATAGTGCTTATACACCTCTAAGCAAACAGCTTATGCAGGTGGCGCTAGCAACACAAGTCTGAACTTTGCGCATGCGCATCATGTAGAAAATATATTTACTTTTCGCCTATATTAGACGCTACAGTATCCAGTGGTTAACGCTCGTGTGATATATACAAGAAATACAAAGGTGTACACGCAGTATTAAGAGAGGCAGCGTATTTCTGAGGATTTCAGTAATGTAGGGATGTTGGAGCGAATTGACGCTGTATGTCAGTAGCATCTCAGTAACGTTAGTAACAGTTGGAAACCGGAAGGAAGATTTGCCGTACGAGCGGGTACATTGTACTCTTCCGTTAACTGCTGGTGTTTAGTGCCCCAAAGGTACTTCATCAGAGACGCGTTAAGGTGTTTTCTGTACCAATACTAAAAGAAAACATGTATTACGCGATGTCCACGACTCTATGTTTATGACTCATCCAGTTTTCGAACTTTGTATCATGTTCTTCACTACAAAATATTTCAAATTTCACTAAGGACACCAGCGGATTGCACGTTTAAGAAGTCGCTGACACTTGAAGGCGAAATTCATCTTTCTATAATAGGTTGATTCTTTTGATTCTCTGTCCACCCCTCGCCAAAAGATTTCACACACAACGTGGCTTTGAAATGCCTCCAAAATTGGAGACGTTCCGAACTACCGTTGCCAGAAAAGAAGGGGAGCTAAGCACCCGAAAGCACCACGCCCCAGCGTATGTAACACACAGCGACCCTTCATCAAGTTACGTTCAATCTGGTAGGGTTCCCGCCCTGGGACTGAGAATAGGATCGTTTTATTTTGGGCGGACGGCCCTACCCGAACAAGGGTGTCGAATCCACTCGGCGCAAAAACTCTCGCGGTCCCACGCCGACTGAGTGGGACGGTTCCTTACCCAGGCAAAGGTGTCACTCTTTAGAGCAGCTGATGAGCTGCTGATGTGACCGTTCAATACCGACGGGTGGTCGAAAACCGCCGTTGTTCCCGCTCAGAGTGAGTGGTTGTGCAACTCTCCCACGCGGCGAAGACGATCGGCGCGTGCGTTAAACAGTGACTAAGTTGTGCCTGCTGGTTGCCTGCCAGCGAGCGGCTTGAACTGCACGCGCGACGAAGCTGCGCACTATACACGTTTTACGAAGGTTTGCAGTGCCTCCGGGATCGGCCCACCATCACCAAAGTGTCGACAGCGTGTGATTAGACCATCATGTGGCGTCACGTTACGTGACGGGATGTGATGCTATACGATTACCAAACGTAACCGCAAGAGCAGCACACCGGACGCACAAAGATGACTGATCATGAATCAACAACTGTTCCACACCAGCTGCCCTCTAAGATAGCGTTGTCATTTTGATAAGGATGCCATCAATGACGTCACAAACGTTGGCAATAAGTGACGTCAATTGATGTCACATGACGACGTAATCACACGGTGATTACTGTGTCAATTCGCGTTGATAATTGCGCCAACGATCACTCTTTTCGTTCGACTAGGAATCTCAGGCTTTCGCGTTAACAGTATACAGGCAACGACAAGGGCCTTACGCTGTCCTGGATGAACTGTGGCCGGTTCTCCCGAACAATCCTCGTCGCGTAGAACACGTCGACCTCTTGCTCGCATTTTATCTTCTCCAAGACAAGAGAGCAAGTGCAGAACAGTCCGCTGGCTGTGCATCCATTCCTGGAGAGAAAAAAAAATGTGGCCGGCTGGTAGCTCCACGACACGCATAGCAAACTGTGCTTGACTCGGACCACTAAGTTAATCTTGCACTCGCAATCCGTAACGGTAAAGCAAAGGTTTTGGCAGCAATGAACCAGACTTGCAGATACTAGCAGATTTAACTGGTCGGCGATCGAAGAACGAAATAAGCGGTATGTTTAATGTTGCCTAGCCGTTGCAGTGAAGAAGTTCCCGATTGCAAAAGCGAGGGAACCAATGAAATAGGCGTAGTAATAGAACTCATATTTTCGTCATTACTCAATCTAATAAGGAACATTTGATACCAGAGAACTTTTAAACTAACTTACCTGGTGGCCGCAGAAGCTGCTGAGTGAGTTAAACGGCAATCACAATAAAGTCACTATTAAATGAATTACTGTTATATAACACATTCCGACGAACGTGTGACCGGTAACGTGAACTGAACTGTAATTTCTTCGTAATAGCAGTTGGGAAGCATAGATGGCGTCATAAGGCAGAGGTTCATCTGGGAAGATGAGCATTAAGATGTCATTTACGAATTAATTTGATACTAGAGAGTGTAAAATAGTAAGGCCTTCTTGGTAATCGCTGCAGGTGTAGCTGGGAGACAGTGGCAGTCCAAACTCCCTATCCTATAATTCTAAGGGTGAAATTCAAACGACGAGGACAAAATAAGACACACTAATAGCCACACGCATAGCGCCGCATGTAGCTGTCCATGTGTTCCTTTCTTTTCTGGTCTAGCGTGCTATTCTCCACAACATGTTCAATCGATAATCAGCCACCAAATTCACCCTTAACTTCCACGAGCCTTCGTCGCTTTGAATGTCTGTATATAAATAAATAACAATAATGATAGGTCCGTATATACGAAGCCAAGAGGCACGCATTGTTCTCGTAACTGCAACGTTACGGCAGCAATGACAACGTTGTTGCAACTCCGGCCAAAGAAGCTGTCTTGTAGCCGCTTCGCCAGAACTAGGCATCGAAGGAGAATCTGGCTCAATAGGTATATATTTTCGTAATCTTGGTTTCAAGTGAACCTGCAACACTTTTTCATGTTGGTAGAAAAAGGCTGCTGATCGGTAGCCGAGATTTCTGAAAACACTCTAGTCAAACTTAGCGTAGCCCGCAACTTGGAATTCATCAATAATCCTCCAAATCAGCTAAAAATTGTTCATGTTTCCGCAAATCATGCCATAGACCCCAATGACCACCGTTAGCTAACTTAACCATCGCTGGTTCCATAGTTAGGGCCACCGTCGTGAGAGGCCGTCATGTGCTTGCATGCGCTCTTGCGATCGCATAAAAGTGGGCGTTCAAAGAAAAAAAGTGCTCATACTCTTGACGTGTGCATGACGTACCTTCTGTCCCCGCAGCGGCCCTGCCTCTTACAACCTCGGGGTGAGAGAAGAGATAAAGCAGTTACGGCATGCGACGAACCTTTGTAACTGCCATTACATTTGACGGACTTCGAATCTTTTTTGCGGTAGTTAATTCGTGTGCCAAGTAACTAATTTAGAGAAGTCATTCAATCTTTACTCATAGAAGCTTTCAACACCAACGCTTTCTTTTTTATTTCCCCTTTCATGTTGAAGAAAGAAAGAAAGAAAGAAAGAAAGAAGAAGAAGAAGAAAGAAGAAGAAGAAGAAGAAGAAGAAGAAGAAGAAGAAGAAGAAGAAGAAGAAGAAGAAGAAGAAGAAGAGAAGAAGAAGAAGAAGAAGAAGAAGAAGAAGAAGAAGAAGAAGAAGAAGAAGAAGAGAAGAAGAAGAGAAGAAGAAGAAGAAGAAGAAGAAGAAGAAGAAGAAGAAAAAGAAGAAGAAGAAGAAGAAGAAGAAGAAGAAGAAGTAGTTCGAAAGATGAAAAAAGAGAGAAAGCAGAGGGCACGCAGGTGCGTTGGGCTCACATATGCTGATGACTTTTAAACATGCTGGCACGAACTACTTCACGAAAGTCCGAAAAGACGTGGCTTTAGTCACTGAATGATGGATGCTTCCTTGACTTCTCAGAAATGATGGCGATCATTAGCCATATTTATACTCGAGCGATTCAAGTATTGGGCTTAAGGCGTTCGGTACTTTGCGAGTGCTTCGAGTAGACGTTGTGCCCATGTCCAAAATATCTCTCGGACGGCATAGTTATGACTTCACGATCTTTTTTGTGTGTGAAATCTCACCTGCACTGCACGAGGATAATCTTGTTGCCCGACTGTTGCTGCCAGCGCTCCACGTGGTCCACCAAGTCGACGATCTGTTCCGCGCTCTCCCAGGTGGTGCGGTGAAAGTGCTTCACGGTCACCGCGCCGAAGGATCCTAAGGCCTGTGAAGCAGTCATTGAGGCATGCAAATATGCATAGCGACGTGCGTTGCAGTTTTACCGGGCTCTGTTTTTATGGTAACTGCAGTACACTCTATACCAGCACTTGATAACACCTGCAAAAGCAGCTTACATGCAATAGAATGTGCTCAGGACCAGGCAACCAAGAGTTTGTTTCGGCCTGCCACGCTGCACGTCAACAGCGGAGACTGTCGCCATTGTAAAAGACCATCCTGCCAGCAGTCACATAACCTCAGAGGTACTTTTACCTTTCTTTCTCTCTCTCTCTCTATAACCCATCCGGAGTGTCGCGAAGAGGAAGTACGCTCTCGTCAGTTTATTAAAGAGACACGTGAAGGTCAAACAATCACTTCGTTTAGATTGACAAACTGTACTCTGAGAACTCTAGTGCTATACGTTTCACAATCATAAACTCATTTTTAGAGAAGAAATCGAGTCTGAAATTTCATTTCTGTATTTCGCAGCGAAATATTCGTGCATGAAGTCAGATATTTTAAAATGTATTATTGGTGTGCAGGATGATTCAAGGAAATGTGTCCAATATTCTTTAAATATTAAAGATAAGATGTATCTGCATGCTACTTACGGCGTTGCCTTCCTGTGTCAGAAGGCATCTTCAGATGGGTACAAACATTAATTACGGCAGTAAAGAAAAAATTAACACAATTACCTTCCTAACCAGTGGTGATTGCTGGTCGAGTTAAATTAGTGAATTCAAGCCCTTCCTACGAATAGTTCATTGCCACATTTAAATTTTGTAAAGCGGTCCCTTTTATTCACCGCAGAGCGATGCAATCTGTCCAATTTAGCTGGCAAAACCGAAACCAAAGCACCAAACAGCGCATCTATCATTCCCTTCCACAACGCCCTCGATGACGACACTGTTTCCCTCGCATTGGGGGAAAATAATAAGCGAGCGTCGATAAGCTGGCGGAACTGAGCCTGGAGCTGCATTCTCCCCATGCCCTAGAGGCAAACCTGGAGGGATCTGGCGAACGAGCGCGCCCAGACATCCCAGCCACGTGGAAGCAGCTCGCATTCCGGCGCATTGTCTGTTGGCGGGGTTGCTGTAACGCCTGGGAGTCCGCACCGAACGTCATTGCCTCTGCAAAGGCAATCTGTGTCAAGGCCAGCGAGTGAGCCCACCTGACGCCATCATCTTAACGACATCATGAAGCGGTTGCGCCGGTCTGTCTTACGCAACGCACAGCGAGCTCCTTCATCCCACGGGCCCGGTGAAGCAAGTGGCGTCATCCAGTATGGCGAATCTTACGCAATGCGTGGCAACATCACTCGTCCTTGGGTGCAGCCCAGCGCAGCGGCTTCAGATTTGAGAATTATGACGCCACCCAGCGGCGAGTCTCCACTGGAGGATTCTGACGCGACCCAGCGGCAGTTTCGATTGGACGTTGATGACGTAAAGGATCACCTGGGGCCTATAAAGAACCACGCGGCGCTTCGACAAGCAGCTGATCTATGCATCAGAGAAAAGTCGACATATGCGTCAGAGAAGACATCTTCGAGTCTCCAAGCTGTCGGCCCCAGTTCCGAATATGTAACGCCTCTATTTCTATGCTGTACATCAACCTTGCCTTAACTCACCGTCGTCTTGTCCGCTCGTCTGTCAGCTCTGCACAGAAGCAGTCGCGAGCTGAGAAACATACGCTACCAAACAGCCAATGACCTTGGCAGCGGCAAATTTCGAAGCAGTGGCGCCTTCGGGACCGCGTTGGCATCGCAACTCGCAACAGTGGTCCGTTCGCTAAATTAACGCGTTCGCTAAATTGATGGTTGATAACGGCGAGGGAAAGACTTTCGTGAGAGCTTGTCGAAGTAAATTGTAGGTGCGCTGTTTGGGGCGTCGGTTTTGGTTTCTCCGGCTAAATTATGATCATTACATCGCTCCGCGGTGATAATCAGCTTATAGCAGGCCGTCAAATTAAAATATGTGATGAAAGAAAAGTTTGCACCATTTCTTGTGGAACTATAAGTGATGAGTCATCACGTAGACTGTTTTATTCAATGCGTCTGTCATGAACTCCATTTGATGACTAAGTAATCACGTGGTCTCATCTGGCAGACAGAAGAGAACTGGGAGTGGGGTTTCTAATTCACAGAAACATTGCTGGCAACATAGAGGAATACTATAGCATTAATGAAAGGGTGGTAGGTATCGTAATTAAACTGAATAAAAGATACAAGATGAAGGTAGTACAGGCTTACGCGCCTACATCCAGCCATGATGACGCTTCAGTTGAAAGCTTCTATGAAGACGTGGAATCGGCAATGAGTAAGGTAAAAACACAGTATACTATAGTGATGGGCGACTTTAATGCAAAGGTAGGGAAGAAGCAGGCTGGAGACCAGGCAGTCGGCGATTATGGCATCGGTACTAGAAACGCCAGAGGAGAGCTACTAGTAGAATTCGCAGAACGCAATAATTTACGGATTTTGAATACCTTCTACCGAAAACGAGAAAACCGCAAGTGGACATGGAGGAGCCCTAATGGCAAAAATAAGAACGAAATAGACTTTATAATGAGTGCACACCCTGGAATCGTGCAGGATGTGGAAGTGATTGGCAAGGTACGATGCAGTGACCATAGAATGGTACCGTCTCGAATTCGCCTAGACTTGAAGAAGGAACGACAGAAACTGATACGCAAGAAGCCAATCAATCAGCTAGCACAGAGAGGGAAAGTACAGGAATTCAGAGTGTCGCTGCAGAACAGGTACTCGGCTCTTAGTGAGGAAACCAACCTTAGCGTAGATACAATGAATGATAATCTGACGAGTATCATTACGGAGTGTGCAGTGGAAGTTGGAGGCAGGGTAGTTAGACAGGACACTGGCAAGCTTTCCCAGGAAACGAAGAACCTAATCAAGAAGCGTCAAATCATAAAAGTGTCAAGTACAACAGACAAAATAGAACTGGCAGAGCTTTTGAAGTTGATTAATAGACGTAAGCTATGCGATGTAAGAAGGTATAACATGGAGACAATTGAACACGCTCTGAAAAACGGAGGCAGTGTCAAAGCATTGAAGAGGAAACTTGGGATAGGCAAAAGTCGGATGTATGCACTAAGGGACAAAGAAGGCAAAATAACTACCAATATGGATAGGATAGTTAAAATAGCGGACGAGTTTTACAGAGATCTGTACAGTAGCCGAGACAACCACGACCTTAATAATATAAGAACTAGCAGTAACCCAGACGACACCCCACCAGTAATGATAGAAGAAGTCAGAAAAGCTTTGGAGAGCATGCAAAGAGGCAAAGCTGCTGGTGAGGATCAGGTAACATCAGATCTGCTGAAAGATGGAGGACAGATTGTATTAGAAAAACTAGCCACCCTGTTTACGAGGTGTCTCCTGACGGCAAGGGTACCAGAGTCTTGGAAGAACGCTAACATCATCTTAATACATAAGAAAGGAGATGACAAGGACTTGAAAAATTACAGGCCGATCAGCTTGCTCTCTGTAGTATACAAGCTATATACAAAGGTAATTGCTAACAGAGTAAAGAAAACATTGGAATTCAATCAACCAAAGGAACAAGCAGGATTTCGAACAGGCTACTCAACAATTGACCACATTCATACTATCAATCAGGTAATAGAGAAATGCTCAGAGTATAACCAACCACTATACATAGCCTTCATAGATTACGAGAAGGCGTTTGATTCAGTAGAAATATCAGCCGTCATGCAAACACTGCGGAATCAGGGCGTAGATGAAGTATATATAAACATTCTGGAAGAAATCTACAGGGGATCAACTGCTACCATAGTGCTTCATAAAGAAAGCAACAGAATACCAATCAAGAAGGGTGTAAGGCAGGGGGACACAATTTCCCCAATGCTATTTACCGCGTGCTTACACGAGGTTTTCAGAAGCCTAGAATGGGAGCAGTTAGGGATAAGAGTCAATGGAGAATACCTTAGTAACCTGCGCTTCGCCGATGACATTGCATTGCTGAGTAACTCGGGGGACGAATTGCAACTCATGATTACAGAGTTAGACAAGGAGAGCAGAAAGGTGGGTCTTAAAATTAATCTGCAGAAAACGAAAGTAATGTACAACAACCTCGGCAAGGAGCAGCGCTTCGAGATAGGTAATAGTGCACTTGAAGTTGTAAAAGACCATGTCTACTTAGGGCAGGTAATAACCACAGAGCCGAACCACGAGATTGAAGTAACTAGAAGAATAAGAATGGGGTGGAGCACATTCGGCAAGCACTCTCAAATTATGACAGGTAGATTGCCACTATCCCTCAAGAGGAAGGTATATAACAGCTGTATCTTGCCGGTACTTAGCTACGGAGCAGAAACCTGGAGACTTACAAAGAGGGTTCAGCTTAAATTGAGGACGACGCAGCGAGCAATGGAAAGAAAAATGGTAGGTGTAACCTTAAGAGACAAGAAGAGAGCAGAGTGGATTAGGGAACAAACGGGGGTTAAGGATATCATAGCTGAAATCAAGAAGAAGAAATGGACATGGGCAGGGCATGTAGCGCGTAGACAGGATAACCGCTGGTCATTGAGGGTAACTGACTGGATTCCCAGAGAAGGGAAGCGGGTTAGGGGGAGACAGAAGGTTAGGTGGGCAGATGAGATTAAGAAGTTTGCGGGTATAAATTGGCAGCAGCAAGCACAGGACCGGGTTAACTGGCGGAACATGGGAGAGGCCTTTGTCCTGCAGTGGACGTAGTCAGGCTGATGATGATGATGATGATGATGACGTAATCACGTGGTGTTCACAGACGCGTTGAATACCACAGGCAAGCCCTTTATAGTGGAGGTATTGTCCGACGTACTATATTGTGGTTATCAGCGATAACAATAATTGCGTTAATACAACACATTGTCCTCTTAAGCAGATTCTGCTATTCATCCTCTCTTAGAAGCAACAGCAGACATAATTCAACCTAAACCAAGCAAACAGGACAACTCTATTTATGTCCTGCCACACGACAAAGCTACATATTATACGGAGTTACGCACTCAACTTAAAGTTTTAAACGAATATAGGTTAAACTAACGTGAGGCCCATGACTCTATAATGCAACGCAAATATACATTTATGAACAGACATCTTATAACTGTAAATCTTTAACTCCTATGGAGTAAAATGGGATGTTAGAGATAAGCATATCAAAAGTGGGCACTACAGAGGAACGTTAAAAGTGCACAAGACCTAAACCAGAGAAAGACCGCGTACAAGTTAGACAAATCAGTAAAAAAAATCACAGTTTCACCACAAGGGCGAAACAATGAATGCGATTGATTGATTGATATGTGGGGTTTAACGTCCCAAAACCACTATATGATTATGAGAGACGCCGTAGTGGAGGGCTCCGGCAATTTAGACCAGCTGGGGTTCTTTAACGTGCACCCAAATCTGTGTACACGGGCTTACAACATTTCCGCCTCCATCGGAAATGCAGCCGCCGCAGCCGGGATTCGAACCCGCGCCCTGCGGGTCAGCAGCCGAGTACCTTAACCACTAGACCACCGCGGCGGGGCACAATGAATGCGATACCAACAAATCCTGACGTTATATGAAATAAGGCTGGCAGTTTACTCTTTTAAATCCGATCTCGCGTCGCTCTATACCCAACACGCTGATGAAACAGAAAACGACCGCATATAGGATGAAATGCTCTTTCCGCGCCCTCTCCAGCTTAGATCGTAGAAGGGTATATGAGCCGCCCTCTGATGGCTCCCAAGATAGCACGCGTGCCAGAGCGATCGCGTTCACGCCATCATAATCAAATTTCACAGTTGCTGAATTCCCGGCCGCGCTGGTCGCATTTCGATGCGGGCAAAATGATAGAGGCAGCACATGTGCTGTACGATGTCAGGGCCCGTTTAAGAACAGCTGATGCTCGAAATTTCCGGAGCCCTCCACCACGCCTTCCCTGATAATCATGCCGTAAGTTTTAGGATGTGAAGTCCCAGATATTATTATTATTGTTGTTGTTATTGTTGTTATTGTTGTTATTGTTGTTGTAGTTGTTGTTGTTGTTGTTGTTGTTGTTGTTGTTGTTGTTGTTGTTGTTGTTGTTGTTGTTGTTGTTGTTGTTGTTGTTGTTGTTGTTGTTGTTGTTGTTGTTGTTGTTGTTGTCTAATAATGAAGGCACACTCCCCCCCTTTCGCACTCTCTTTCATGCTTTACGAAGATAGGCGGAAGGGGGTACGTTTTTTTTTTTTTTTTTTGAGCAGCGTTCGACGCCAGGCCTCGCCCGCAAGTTGGCTGTACCGCAAGCGCCCCCTAAGCGAAGGGAGTGGACTGTTTTTTAACGCGATAGCGTTAGAGCTCGTGTCGCAGAAAACCCGCCGCCGGCGTCGAACCCGTTGGTTGTGACCGAAAAATCGTCTGTGCGTCTGTGACCAAAAAAGCAAGTAACCGAAATAGCCACGGAAGGCCGCTACTTGTCTACGCGTGCGCACGCGATCACACTGAGAAAGCCGCGCATTTGAAGGGAAAAAAAACTGCTCAAGGTCCCGAGGTGTGGTAGTTTCTTTGCTTTGCCACCCCTCCCTGCTTAGCTTCCAGCGCTTTCATCGACGCTAGGGAAGAGATAATGTAATTGCAGCACGCCACAAACTTTTGTAACTCCACTCGCACTGGGCGGATTTCTAATATTTTTGCGGCGTTAAATTCGTGAGGCAATAACCTCTTCTAGTGAATTCTTTCCATGGTTACATAAAAAAGTGTTTCAGAACCCCTTTAAAGCATTTTGTTCGACAGGTGCCACGACGAAATCGAGCCCATTTGGTGATAATAGCGCACCAGTCCGATCTACTGTGTGTGTGTTTGTATGCGTGCGTTTATATGTAACAAAACATATGAATAAGTATGCACTTAGTGGTTGAAGGGTGCACTAAGGGCCGGACTTTGCTATCGCGTTCAACTCTTAAAGGCGAAGCTTAAGGGTCCCCCAATTTTTTTATCTCTCTTTCAAGCGCGTTCATTGCCCCTACATCATTTCGTGTTTTTACCCGTGGTAGAACAAACGATGCCCGTTCAGTGATATCATTTTCGACTTTACATAAAACATGACACTGACGATGATGATAAAAACATGTCTAGGGCGTCCATATAATGCTAACTTTATAAAACTCATGACTGGTTACATATTCAAGAAAAAAAAGTTTGATGAGGCTATAGTCGGAACCATGTCGGTGCACTCAATGATGAGCTGACTCACTAAGGCTCACTCAGTCGCGATTCAAGCCGTGGGCCTAGTCTAAATGAGTTCGTGTAAGTAATATATTAGTGATTCTCCATCCATGTGGTTCCAGCTGAGGGAAATTTGGGATGTCTTAGAATGACATAGGCCCTACGAGCAAAGTATTTATCATGCATGAGTCTCATTTTAATGCCGCATTTTCTGTCGACAACTAGTCGTGACACGTTTTAGTGTCGTCTACTACAGGTGGGGGCGTAGCCAGAAAACAAAATTCTTTCGAGTGGTGGGCACCTAGCTCGTTAACTTTGGGGGTGGTGAAATAGCCGTTGAGCATGAAACATGGCAAATTTGGGTGTTTTGGATTGTTTATGCGTCACTAGCCCAGCGAGTCACTGCCTCAAACATTAAAAGAAAATGTACGTACCAAACATTTGCAAGAGAAGTTTGGTGGAAGCAGAATTTCGAAGACATCGTAATTACATCACAAGGCACGCAAGAGTGGTAGCAGCGGTGGAACAGAAGGTGTCCAGAAGAGCATGGAAGAGGTGATTCTGCAGCAGTATCAAGAGAGGCTGTACAGGTACCACGCAAGCGGCAGAATCATGCTTCAGGAGAGTGAGGAAGAATTATAACATGCTTAGTAGTACACAAAGAGCAAAAAAAGCGGGGGGAGGGGAAGGTGGCAGCTGATATATGCTACGTAATCACATGATCTCATATTCATTTCAGAAGAGATTCTGAGCACTTTGATGGTCACACGAAACGTGACACAGAGTAGCATGAAAAGAGGCTAATAAGGCGAATTTATACGTGGGCAGTCACATAGCCAGATTTTTTTTTTTTTTTTTGCGAGGAGAGGCACTTGTTGAAAGACTTGAAAAACCCTAATTTTCATCATTTATTCTCAGTAAAATAACACCCCCGTCTATCTCAATTTCAGGTGAACCCTTATCCCCAACTGATACGTGGGTATCATTGGAATAAAATGATGTGATCTTGCGTGCAAAGCGCTTTCTTGTTATCGAAAGCTGAGGACTATACCTGATATGGTTTTCTGAAAAAAAATCTCTTCTTTTCTTTCTTAACAATCTTGATCACTGTCGTACCTTGATGCCTGCCATTGACTGGCGGTGCTGGTCCATTCGCGGCACGTTAACAAGCAATTTGAGTGTTACCTTGTGCTTTGATGTAATCTTGAAAGCTTGTACGGAGAGGTCATTGACATTTCGATTCTCCGTGCACTCGATCCTATGATCACCGTATCGAACTGAGCCACTCGTGGGCCAGAATTGCACCTGCTCAGAGAAAAAAAAGTACAATGAGCACAAACAGACATTCCCTACGCGTTTGGCAAACGCACCTATACACTAACAATTTGTAATGGGTATACCATTTCTATTTGAACGAATGAAATATGCTCGAAAGATCTTGTGAGGTGTTACTTTGAAAGAACAGACCACAGGACAACATGCACGTAAGACGTGGATCACACAACGCGGGCACTGACGAATCAACCAGCGCATTTCGTTTCATTAAGAAAACATATAAAACGTAAAGAAGAAACGATAGACATGACTGATTAGCAGTAAAACTAACTCAAACCACAGCAGCTAAGCTGCAAGTTGCAGAACTATGTAAAGTTCAATTAAAGAGTAATGCGAAGTGCCAACCTCTAAAAACACCTATGTATGTCTTGGTGCGAATGGACTGCTGTAAGTAATCATGCTAGCCTTGACAGCCTTGCACGCTAGGCTCTAAATAAAGAACGAGTAGAAAACATCTACAATTTCCACATATATTGCGCGCATTTCCTGGCACTATCAGCGTAGGCCCAGCACTTCCAGGTCACGAACGGCATGCATATTATCTGCGTGACGTAACATTGAGAGCGCAGATTCGCCTAGAAAAGAAACAAAATGTGCCTACAAATCGCCCAATGGGCTCGCTATTGTCGTGACACCTGTCGAACAAGATGCGTTATGGAGACTCCTTCTACTACATGGCATTTATATAGTGTTTTTTTTTTCGAAGCAGCTGCAAGTACCATTGTGGCTCTGTGGTAGGACACCTGATGGGCGATAACAGCGCGCAAACACACGGGATGAAGAGAAGGGACACAAACAAGCGCTGACTCTCAGCTGAGAAATTTAGTGAAATATACAAATTATCTGAAGACACATTTCTATAAATTCACAACCATATTTTAATGAATTCTTCAGTTGAGAGTAAGCACTTGTTTGCGTTCCTTCTATTCGTCCCGTGATTTTATGCGCTGTTACCACCAATAATGTATCACCAACTAGCCCCACCATCAGTCCTGCGTAGGACAGCTGTTTGCCACGTGAACGACCCGGGTTGGATCGTCACTGGGGCCGAATGTTTTATTCTTTATTTTATTTACTTCTTTCTCGATTTTTTTGCTCACGGACAGTTTTTCGCTCACAACCAACTGTGCTGACGCCGACGGCGGAATTTCCGCGACACGAGCTCTCTAACGCTATCGCGCTAAAAGTTAGCTAGAGGGCGATCGTATTTATGAGAAAAATTACACCCTTTTTACTAGAATATTCGCTGATTATTCGTGTGAAACACAGTATGCAGCTCACCACGTCAGCGTCATCACTAAAGACGTCCAGCGTGACGATAGTCCTTGTACCAGACTCGACCACCAGTTTCCAGAAGTCCTCTAAATCATTGCTGGACGGCGTCTGCGTCACGACGAACCTGTCCTTCTTGTGAAAACCCTGTTATTCGTCAACGGAGGCAAAAACAATTGTGCGCTAAGTCACTCAAGTTATTGCTTTGACACTCGTGGCATATGTCTCACTTCGTTCTAAGTGCGAATAATACCAAAGTGAAGGTCAGGCATGCTGTCCTTCCTCACACAAACACACATTCACGCACACATACAGACACACATACACCCACACACGTGCGTGCCTCATGCACGCACTCACGCAAAGAAAGAAAAGAATAGCGCCACGCACTGTGTAAACACTAAAGTAAGGGTCACTGAACTTGGAGTGTCGGTCATTGCCATTCGAGTGACCTCGCATTGTGTAAACCGCAATGCCAAATTGTGGCAAGCTTCCTCTTCGGCTAAGTCTTGCGTTCGGCCTTTTACTACAGACAACTTGCTAAAGGATAAGATCTCATGTCAGTTTTGTCGATGTCCGCAAAGGTGATTGGTTGTAGTCAGTCTGTCTGTGGTTCGAATTGCCGCATGTTCCGCTAAACACTATTGGCTACGGTCTTCGGCTGTCCTCATTGGATATGAAATACGAACTCACCACGGAGAGGCCGGTCTCTTAGCCAATCCATTGCTCTTTTTGGAACCCTGGTGGGTTCTCTCCCCAGTTGTATTCTGTAGAGCAAACCCCCGTTGATACTTTCAATATTATTTCTATAGTCTTTCCATATTAGAATTATATTCTTTGTCTGGATAACAGCAATGTCTTGCTAATATTCTACTCTCGAAGGCTAATACTGGGGCATATGAAAGTTAGGTTTGTAATTATCATCCTCATTCGCATCCGTGAGATTTGCCATGAAAGCGTGTGTGAGTAGCACTAGGGGAAGGGGGGGGGGGGGGTAGTGAGGTGAAGAAAAGCTACATCTGCTCACAAGGATATATGTACTTCACGAAGAATGCACCACCATCGAGCTAACCATCCAAGAGTGACTTTGACTGAGTGGTCTGCATCTCATTACAGTACGGTCAATTTCCGCCACGTGTATAGCCTCCGGTATCTCCAATTGAGTGGAGAAGTGGACAATGGTGTGGTTTGTGTTCTGCGTTTCTCCTATTTTGAGTCGGTTTGCTTCCTGCTACGGTAAAATACCGTATCGGCTCCTAAACAAGATGCTTCTAAACAAGATGAAAGCGAAGAAACACGTAGCCTGCTGATGACAAACGTTAGCTGCTTAGTCATACGCAAATTCACCTTTATCGAAATTTTTATTTTAATGAATATCACTACTAACACTTGGAAACAGTGTGGGCATAAATTAGCCATTCAAGTAATGTTCCAAAGAGGACAACGTAGCAAAGAATGCTTCCTCTACAAATGGTGTAGCTGCTTCAAAAAATGGCTGCTATTTCTATCAAAATGCCCCAGATGAGAAATTTTCAGTTCAATTGTAATGCGTATAATCAAAAGTAGTGCTTACGTTGACGTAGACAGCATTTACGTATGTTCCATCCCTCAAAAGCGGTCGACACCGGTCCGCTGCAAAGGAAAGAAAAGTATAATTGAGTGGCTAAAAAAATGTGAGAGTGAATTAGCTGATACGGCGAAGGAAATATGTTATAAGCTACCCTACAGTGCGAGAAAGAAATAAAAGGTAGGGGTTAAGCTGAAAGACGTGAAGAATATCGAGAAAGAAACTGCGAGTACAGAACATACAAATACAGAAGATCAGTTCGCGAACACGCTTCAAAAACAAACGTAGCTTTGACAGAAAAAATACTTTGACAGAAACGTAGAAAATTCTTTAACAGAAACGTAGCTTTGACAAAAAAATTGACAGAAAAAATCACAGAAAAAATGAAGAGGATTTTGTCGAACCTGACCACGTTCAGGAGTGGCACCAGGATTTTTTTACAGGGGTCGGGGGCACTCACAACAAGTGAGTTCCTTGAGGGGAGCAGGCAGGATGGAAACATATACGTTGTTTTGTTTGTGCTTGCTTTTTGAGGGTGGCGGGGCAAAGAAGGGGCCGACGAAAAATCTGGGGGGGGGAGGGGCTCCAGTTTCTCATACCCTCCGCTAGAGCTGCCTCTGACCCCATTGCGAAACGTGCCAGCAGATTAAACAGATCGAGTTTGGCTTTCCGAACATTGAGGTTTCCTTGAATTTTAATTTTATTGCGATAGCGATGATTTTCGCGACGTATATACACGCGTACAACCTGCGGTGTGACTCTGAGAGCCTTCCAACAAAGGGCTTCTCCACGGAGAAAGGTGACGGGGAGAGGGGGGGCTCCCCTAATGTGATAGAAGTGAGGACGGATTACTCAGCCAGATGTGCCCCGACATCATTTAAATAAAAGGGTAATGGCTACACAGCTTCTTGACGATAATGATGGAAGGCATCTGATTTTGCTTTCGAAGACTCGTTTATTCTCGGAAGGCCAGAAAACAAGGGCAGGCCTCATTTTCAGAGGCTCCATTCTTATTCTTCATCAGTTGTGAAGTATTCTGGACCAGACCACAAAAAGAAGATGGGAGAGGGGTGGGAGGGAAGCTGTGAAAAATAAAATGGCTGATCCCTCTTTCAAGGCATCGCTAAAACAAAAAATTGAAACATGTCTTCACAGAGGTAGCTGAGCGCTTATTGTGCATTGTTTCGCCACAAGGGCAAAGGAATGAATGCTACAGCAACAAACTGCAAAGTCATGCAACGGACAACAAGCCGCTAGATACTTGCAGCGCGCACCTCAAGCAGAAACCGCGCACTAGATTAGCATACACAGGACGAGCGCGTACTAACAACTGACACAGCTTGTCACCTAAAGCGCGCTGTATAAACAGAAAGATATACACAGGGCAGGTAAAGTATACACAGGGAAGGGGCGAACAACTGTCCCAATAATTACTTGGTGCTTGAGCAGCGTGCTCTTTTCGTAAGTATGACTGCGGCAGCGAGCGAAGTCACCTTCGTGCTTTCCCGAATCGTGAGTCTGATAAGCGTGTGCACAAGAGAGACCACGCTCAGTGGAGGCGGCGCTCTCCGACACGCGAGAGACGATGAGCTATAGAGCTAGCACAACGCGCGCTGGTCACGCCATCTCACTACTGATGACGGAAACGCGCTCAAGCTGCAAAGCTCTGAGGGCTACCAAATGGCATATAGTGTATACAAATGGCTTGCCGTTAGCGCTGTTGACTGCGTGAGCATTGTAGCGTAGTGGTTAGCGCTGCTTGCTGCGGTTAGAGAGGTCACTTGTTCGACGCCCGGTGGCATAGCTTCTGCGTATATGTATATGTATATGTATCGAACCCGAGCCCTCTGGGTGGCAGGCCAGAAATCGACCACAGAGTTACGCTGGTTCGTAATTCTCCGCTGCAAACTGACCATATACGGGCTTGATGTTGGGTAAGAAATCACGTTAACATGAATAATATAGCATCTCCATACGCAAAAATCATGATGGTTTATGGCTTAGTGGGTGTCATGCAAGTGTGCAGTTGCCGTAAGAGAGTTTTAAAAAGGTTGTAGGTAAGCCGTTCTTTCAGCTTCCGCTGTGACTGTGCTGCGCGTTCTGCCCATTTTATAGCTTTTGTAGCATTTTGTGTTGAGCACTTCAATGTGTGCATGGTCACAGGCACATGCGATCTATGGATGACAAGCCAGCTGGGCTTTGTTGCGACGCGCGCCTCCGAAATCCCACCGCTACGCCACCACTGTTGCGACGCGCGCCTCCGACGACGTTACGAAGGGCGCCTCGAAATCTCACCGCTGCAACCACTGTTTACGAAAGACGGCGACGCCAACACGGTCCCGAAGGCGCCACTGCTTCGAACTCCGCAGGGAAGGTCACCAGCCGTTTGGTAGCGTAGGTTTCTCAGCTCGCGGCTGCTTCTGCGCTGAGCTGATAGACGAGCGGACGAGACGACGGTGAGTTAAACAAGGTTTATGTACAGCATATATACAGAGGCGTTACAAATTCGGCACTGGGGCCGACAGAGACTCGAAGAGCTTCTCTCTAACACATAGCTCTACTCTCACATGGGTCTGCCGTCAAAGGGGGTCCCTCGCGACGCGCCGCAGGGCTTCTTTTATAAGCACCGGGTCCAACCCAAATGTCCAACCAGAAGCGCCGCTGGTCGCGAGGTCAGAATCCTCCAATGAGGCCGCCGCTGGGCCGCGTCCTTCTTTCTCATCGAACCTGGAGAGGCTGCGCTGCAGGTGGCTGCACCCAAGGACGAGTGACGTCGCCGCGCATTGCGTCAGCCGCCAGACAGGAAGACGCCGGTTGTTTACTCGACGGGCTCGCTTGCTGAGGTGACTCATTGCACGTGCACGCCAGAAAGGCGCCGTGGCGTGATGACGCCGTTGAGTTGTTCGCGTCAGGCGGGCTGGCCTTGACACAGATTGCCTTTTTCAGAGGCACGGACGTTCGCTGTGGACTCGCAGGCATAACAGCACCCCCGCCGCCAGACAATGCGCCGAAAAGACGAGCTGCTTCCGCGGGGCTCGGATGACAGGCGCGCTCGTTCGCCAGGTCCCTCCAGGTTCGCCTCCAGGGCCATGGGGAGAATGCAGCTCCAGACTCCGTTCCGGGAACACATCCCATTCTTGAGGACGGATCCCAGCTCCACTGGCTTGTCGCCACAACTTGTTGACCAGCTTCGCTCGTCTCTTCTGACAATCTTTGGTTTCAGCACTTGTCGATGGTTCTGCAACTTGTCAAGAACGGTTCGACAACAGACAACACACGACACAATCAAGTGCCCTCGCTCACCCGACAGAACACCAGACCAAGTATAGTACAACATATACCTAGCTACGTGTCTATCGGAATTTTGTTCCCTCTACGTCAAGAGGCACATGTGGGACACAAGACTCTTAAAATGACAACTCGAATTTTCACACGTACAACAACGCAACGAATTAGAATACCACATAAAGTTGGCCCCTTGAGATCACTCTGAACGAGAGAGCTCAGCCCAGGTCGTGATGAGGACAAAATTTTGCCCCGAATCGCCAGCGAGAAACCGAAAGGTTGAGAAGGTAGTAGCTAGAATGCACTGCTCAATGCACCTGCATTAGCGTTTAGCTTTCCTTTTTTCTTTAGCGAAGGTCAAAGTTGCGCTGTCGGAGTATCACGCTCCATCTCAGTAACCGGTCACTTTTAGGCGACGATACCTATGCGGTACCAACAGCTGCTCATACTTGCGACATTCCACAGGAGAACAACGATACGGCTTGCTAGGGATTGGCTCCTCACAAGTTAGCTCGGTATCGTGTTCGATCACCGTCGTGTTTACGTGACAGTCCGAAAACACGTCTTCAAACACCAAAACAATCTTTCTCACGTCCTCCTTACGGACTTCACTTAACCTAGGTTCTAGGTTCAACTGCTCCAAGGTTACCTCCGATCCCCTTTCGATTACATCACTAGAACTCAAAATTTCTTCTTCCTCTTCTTCTGAAGCATTCAAAAGCAGATTTACGACTGCTTTCAAGTTACTGTGGTAAATTTTGTTCGGCCGCCTTCCTAATTTCACCTCATAATTGGTATCGGAAAGCTTAGATATTACTTTGGCGGGCCCTTCCAAATGAATCTCAAGCTTGTGCCTTTTGAACGGCCGCAGCAGCATTACCTGACTTCCTACTTCAAAAGCGCGCTTTTTCGCCGATTCGTCGTTATACTCCTTCGACAACACTTGTGCAGCTTTCATGTGGCTTTCCACTAGCGCATTAATCGAGAGGTCCTCGCGCTGCTCTTGAATGGGGGTCTCTCGATCATCCCTCGACAGCTCGCTCCAACTTTCCGCTACAGGCGAGAGCGTTGCAACCCTCTCGCTCTGACTCAATGGCGCCATGTCGTCTCCCCCTACGCATACCGCGCCGGTCGCTTCGGCGACAGGCCGCTCGCGTGACTGCTCACATGACTCACGCGGAAAATTTCCTTTCTGGGGTTCCGTCGACCCGCCGACAAGGTCACTTGAGAGTTCACCGCATTGACCAAGATCAAGCTCCTGCGAAAGCTTCCGCGCTTGCGATCGCGTGAGGGCCATGTACGCTAAGTTGGGGAAGAACGATTTACCCTGCTCTTTGAGAAGCTGCTCTGAGTTGTTGGAGAAAAGATAAGGGAAACGATCGGGAAGCGCGGCAGACACAGCCGCTTCGGTGCGAAGCTTACCGAACGGGCCTTCAATGACAACCGTGGCGATTGGTAAGCAGGCACTCTGCTCCTCGGCGACTTGCCTGATCCACGCGCATTCTCCTGTAAAGTCATCCGGAGACACCAATGAAGGATGGACAACATCCATGGTTGCCGCTGAGTCTCTAAGTGCTCGGCACGTTTTCCCATTCACCCTAATTTCTTGGAGATAGGGCTCCAACAACCGCATGTTCTTTTCCGATTCTCGGATTGTTGCAAATGCAAACTTTTGCTTACAGTTTATCGCGATGTGCCCTTCCTTTTTGCAGTTGTAGCAGATTAGCGGCTTCCGTGATTCAAACGCCCGTGTGGTATCAGTGCGTTGTTTAGGAACCTCACTCGATTTCTCCGCTTCCGTTTGCCCTTCCCCTACAGTGTCCTTCGTAAGAGACGGGTCCTTCTTGAAATTACGGTGCGGAGCGGGTTTCCGTTGATCAGGTTTCTTTGAAAAGCCCTCTTTCCTTTCATCCTTTTCCACGCGCACTGCCCTGCTATGCAACTTTCGGCGAGTATAATACTCCTCAGCTAACTCTGCTGCCTTGTTTAGCTGTACTTCACCAAGTTTGTCCTGCAGCCAAAGTTTGACATCCTCCTCGATGCAGCGGTAGAATTGCTCCAATGCAACGCATTCCACCACTTTATCGCGGTCGTCATAAACACCTTCGCCCTTGAGCCATTCAATTAAATCGGCTTTAAGACGAAACGCGAAGTCAACGTGTGACTCATTCCCCTTTTTAGCATACCGGAACCTTTGCCTGAAAGCCTCGGGCGACAACTTATAACGTCTCAAGAGCACTTCCTTAACCTCGTCATAGCTCTCAAACGCTTCCCTCGACAAGCGAGTTATCGCGTCGGACACTTCGCCGGGAAGAAGAGCTAACAGGTTCTGCGCCCAAAGAGACCGCTCCAAAGCATTTCGCTCACAGACGTGTTCAAACTTGACGAGATACTTCGCCATGTCCTCGCCTACTACGAACGGTGGCAGGTGGTCCCGAATTCTAAAACCGCTGACCTGAGCTGTTGGAGAAGCTACGCTAGGCGCCTGCGAACACTGTAGGATTGCCAATTCTATTCGTTTCAACTCGAGGCGTACCTGTCTCTCGGCCTCCTCGCGGCGTTCTCGCCTTTCAGCTTCTTCACGAACTTCTCGCCTTTCAGCTTCTTCACATTCGCGAGCTTCTCGCCTTTCTTCACGTTCGCGAGCTTCTCGCCTTTCAGCTTCTTCACGTTCGCGAGCTTCTCGCCTTTCAGCCTCCTCGCGGCGTGCTTTGATATCCACCCAGGCCTCATCGACTTCCTCAGCCGACACTCCCTCATCCTTCATGATCTCAAGGATCGCTTGCTTTCGTTTCGCACGGCCCAAAGTAATGCCGACTTCCCCACAAATTTCGATGAGTTCCTTCAATTTAAGGTTCTCCATCGTTCACACTAGCCTCTTGCTGTTTGCCCCTGTTAACAATTTACTTGCCGTACCCACTATAAGCCTCTAGCAAGACGCGCAAGCAATTTTAAACACTCCCGTGTTTACACCCTCCGCATTAACTTTGGTTTCAAAGCGCTTCGACTTGGCTTGAAACGATCAAAGCTCACTCTAATGCTTCACACAGCCCTTCTCTAAACTACTGTAACCTGAGCTAGAGTAGTCTGGTGAACTGAGGGGAAAACATCAGGCACTCACCGCATCGATGTCGCTGACGCCGGCCGATCCCGCAGCTGCCAACCGCTGTTGCGACGCGCGCCTCCGAAATCCCACCGCTACGCCACCGCTGTTGCGACGCGCGCCTCCGACGACGTTACGAAGGGCGCCTCGAAATCTCACCGCTGCAACCACTGTTTACGAAAGACGGCGACGCCAACACGGTCTCGAAGGCGCCACTGCTTCGAACTCCGCAGGGAAGGTCACCAGCCGTTTGGTAGCGTAGGTTTCTCAGCTCGCGACTGCTTCTGCACTGAGCTGATAGACGAGCGGACGAGACGACGGTGAGTTAAACAAGGTTTATGTACAGCATATATACAGAGGCGTTACAAATTCGGCACTGGGGCCCTCTAACACTTAGCTCTACTCTCACGTGGGTCTGCCGTCAAAGGGGGTCCCTCGCGACGCGCCGCAGGGCTTCTTTTATAAGCACCGGGTCCAACCCAAATGTCCAACCAGAAGCGCCGCTGGTCGCGAGGTCAGAATCCTCCAATGAGGCCGCCTCTGGGCCGCGTCCTTCTTTCTCATCGAATCTGGAGAGGCTGCGCTGCAGGTGGCTGCACCCAAGGACGAGTGACGTCGCCGCGCATTGCGTCAGCCGCCAGACAGGAAGACGCCGGTTGTTTACTCGACGGGCTCGCTTGCTGAGGTGACTCATTGCACGTGCACGCCAGAAAGGCGCCGTGGCGTGATGACGCCGTTGAGTTGTTCGCGTCAGGCGGGCTGGCCTTGACACAGATTTCCTTTTTCAGAGGCACGGACGTTCGCTGTGGACTCGCAGGCATAACAGCTTCTAGAGCTCTACGCACTTAAAAATTATGGGTTCTTCTCCTTCCCCCAGAGACAGCCATCATATCGAGGACAAAGGCCGAGACCACAGCCTCCAGGATATTGCCGTCACTTCACTGAGCTATGTGTGTTACAGACTGGTGGCACGCCAGCGTGTAAAAGCCTCGCTTCGCCCCTTCGAAGATATCCGCTCATTTCGGACAAAACAAAAGTATCGACATATCTACGACACGTAGAGTATTTGTGATACAATCAATATAACGTTTCAGCCATTCTGCACTCTTGTTACTGCCTTATGAATCAGGTCGCGTCATGCAAGGTCCTCAGGTAGCCATTACATCTTTGAAAGATAACCAGGCGTACAAATTTTAAAACGAATTTTCTCATTGACAGTCTTTAGCTGAGAATCAGATAGCGATGAACCTTTTCATGAGCAGCACTGGACATACATAATCGCTAAGATCATCATTTTGACGTAATTGCAATGCATGGGAAGCAACAGCGTATTAAACATAAACATAAGCAGAAAGGAACACGATAGCCCAAGGCGCTTTTTTTGCCGAACTCACTGTTTTTGGACACATTGAGCGCACAAATTATAGGTTTAGGAGGCGTCCAATGGCCCCTCTGTGGTGCTCTGAAAGGTTAATTCTTGAGTGCAGGGATTGATGACGCCGTCGTAATTTGTGCGAAGAATGAACAAGCTGCTTCATTAAAGGAGGGACACAATAGTGAAAACTTGGAAAATGATGGTTCTAAGAATAGAAGTAATCTTTTTTTTTTGCCAAGTAAGTACTATTCTGTATCGTTTTGAAGTTAACCAACTCGCCCAACAACAAGCCTCGCTGAATCGTCCCATTGTTAACAAATTTATTCTCGTATGCGATACACATGCGCTCACCAGCTAGTACGGAAGCGTCCCGACTTTTTCTTAGGTTTGCCGGGTCACTTGCTGCTGCGAAGTCTGCAGGCGTAAACCATGGTTTGAGAGACTTGAGTTCCTAAAGGAAGCAGTAGGAAATAAAAGAACATTCTCTTCCTCGTGAAATAAAAAAAAACTATTGAAATTCAATGGCTTTGATAAATTTCGAACTGATATCTACAGTGGCCACGTACCGGAACGCACGAAGTTGTTCACAAGAGAACTAATGTGAGACTAATAGAATAGAATTACTTCAGTTACGTCTAATTTACTGGGTAGAACTTGCCTCAGTTCTACCCAGTGTGAAATCAGCAAAAGCGGTGGCGCTCCTGCTTTCCTGTGTTTTCCTCATAATTTTTTGTTGTAGTTTATGATTTTTTGTGGCTTCTGCTCCAGTAATTCACACCCTATTCGCACTAGAGGTTTACTTGCCTGTTTCAGTGTGCGGCTATTTCTTCGTGCGTGACCGAGACACTTAGGCCACATGTTGGTGCATCTGGTAACAGGTGTGTGACTAAACTTGTTGCCCTTCTGTTATCTGGCCCTTCTCTAGTATGGTTCCGCTGTTGATTGTAGTTTGACAGTAAAGAAAAAATGCTGGTTCGTCCAGCCTATGAACTTTTCGCGAATACCCATGTGATCAGAGTAAGTGAAGCATGTTTCATTCTGTAGTGCGTCAAACTGTGCTCGTTACAAAAGCAGGCACTTTAGTTATAGAGGCGAAAGTCTTGAATCCCTCTTGCTCACGTCCTTCCATCCCTCCGTCCGTGCCTGGAATAGTGCCCCTCTTCCGTACACTATTTCGGCAACCAGGTAATTGCTGAGAGAATGTAAAAGAAAAAATGAGAATAAAAATGCCGAAAAAATAAAAGGAAAAAAGTAAAAGAATCTTTTTAAAAATTTAAAAACGCGTGGCATAAGTAATCAAAACGCCACAAGCTTTCACCCAATAGGCTTTGGAAACTTGCAATTTTCAACTATTCCCGAAATAGTGATTCCAGGTACGACTTTCTTTCCCGAGGCTTCGTGAAGAAGCCATATACGGTACGGTACATGCGAACGTGGGAAAGACACGCAACAACCCACATATCCCGCCAGCTATACTCCGTTTCACAAGCCGTTGGCGGTGCTGTGGAAGGTACGAGTGCCCTCAGCCAATCATGACAGAGTGCACCTCATAATTGTGTTCCTACGCAAATGTCACGTGCGTGAATCTGACAAAAGTGCCTGTCTGTGTGGGAAAATGTGTATCAACTCAATTAACTTTCTCGAGATGGCATTTAGAATTTTCTTTGTCTGTTTTCTTGGTTTCTGAACGGGCCTATATATACATGTCTTTCAAAGAATCTGCTCCTGCTTTGTCTATATATATGTAATGTCACTTGTTCCTACGAGTTACTGTCGTGCCAGAGCTCTTTTTTTAATGTTTACGTCAAGGTTGTAGGAAAATATTTACTTCAGTCATTGAATCAATCAATCAATCAACCAATCAATCAAAGGATTTATTTTTCTACAGAAAAGAGGACGGCTTTTTTATGTTTGCAACTCTCTCGACAATGGTACTGAGTGATCCCGTCCGGCACGCACCCGTAATAATTGCCGTGATACCGTTGGAAGGGTTCACATATCACCGTACTCTTTACAACTTGAACCTGGCGCCGCAGCTCTACAGAAACTCGCGGTGACACTGCGCAGAGTGTGTCACCTTTATGAGAAATACGTTCCGAGAGCATTTCTTGAAGCTAAGCTGCTTCGGCATCCTTTGCATCGTCGTTGTGAACATGTTGGGTAGCGCCTCGTCCTCTTCGAAACGCTGCACTAACTTGGCGACAACCGGAATTTCACCTCTCTTAAGAAAATTGGTGCCCGTATCTTCCCACGGGGGCGGGTATCGTGTGAATTTAACGTCTACTCGAGTCAAGCAAAGTGTCAAGTGAAGCGTAAGCCAACTGAAGACGCCCTTAACTAAATTCTGAACGTGCGCTCCACCGCTTATACCGGGTGTTCAAAATTAAGCTTTATGATTTTTTTAAAATTAGGCGCTCGAAGGCACGTGAGAACCACTTGTGCAAATAAGTTAAGCGGCCAGGGGGACAGAAAGTTAGATGATAATTATCGCTGTCAGCAGCCCAATTAACTAAAATTTAATAATTAACTTTTTACTGGCTGCGGTAAGTTGGCATGTTTATATTGAAAAAATGTAGGCAGTGGTGTTTGTACACAGTTTCAGTTGGAAGATTTTTTCTAGCACGCCTGTGTTCCGAGATATCCGGCTCCAAAGTTTAATTGTCTTTCGCACGATTACGCATGCAAGAGGGTGAGGGTCCGCGCAAAGCTCCTCCCTAAAGTGACGCATCTGTTGCGTGTGGTGTTTAGTGTGTGAAGAGGGTGGAAGCGTAGGCATAGGTGATAGCAATTACCCTTGCCCTCTTCGGCCGGCGAAATCAAAATGTGACAGCGCGGTGCGCCATGAGCCTTACGCATGATCCTGATGAACGCGATAACAGGAGACCATTTTTCGCGACGTTTTTTCGTGACTTTAGATCACACTGAGACATCTTCTTGTGAACGCGTTAGCAGGACCGTCCTGCACTAGGGTGCCTCCGGTTAGAGCACAGCGTCTCTGCATTGAAGGTCTACCAAGGAAATCCACGTGGAGTCCTTTCGAGCTAATATGGCTGCTTCTGGCGTGAGGTATTCTACCAAAGTAAAAGTAGACGTGGTGCTTGCAATGGCTGAAATGAATGGCAACGCTTCGTTAGCAATGGAGCTTTACGCGTCTCGCCACCCACACCGTCCCCTTCCAACAAGGCCCACTTTCACAAACCTGTTTCGACGCTTCTGCACAACAGGCTCTGTCCACCTTCCGAGACGGACCAGGAAGGCAATCGTCGATGAAGACTTTGAAATCGACGTTGTCGCGTGCGTAACCTCGATGCCAGAGCTCAGCATCCGACAGATTGCCGATCAGTGCGGTCGCAGCATCGGAACAGTCACAAATGTTTTAAGAAAGCACAAGTTCCATCCATATCACGTTTACCTTCATCAGGACCTAAATGAGGCGGACTTTGAAAGGCGAGTTGACTTCTGCAATTGGGGCCTCATCAAAACTGATCAAGAAAATGACTTTTTGCACAGAATAATTTGGACTGATGAAGCTCGGTTTTGCCGAAATGGAAGTGTTAATCTTCACAACGCCCATTATTGGGCACAAGAAAACCCACACTGGCTGAGGCAGCACAAGCATCAAGTTCGCTGGAGTGTGAATGTGTGGTGCGGCATACTCGGGGACAGGATCATCGGACCTCACTTTTTTGAGGACAACTTGAACGGAAAGATGTACACAGAAGAAATATTAGGTGTTGTCATTGATGATCTTGTCTGCAGTCTTTCCCTGAATGACCTGCGCCAAGTATGGTTTCAGCACGATGGAGCACCACCACATTTTTCTACCAGGGCGAAGAACTGGTTGGACAGACGTTTTCCACAACAGTGGATTGGGCGCGCAGGAGCGATGTTTTGGCCACCAAGATCACCTGACCTTTCTCCGCTCGACTTTTTCCTTTGGGGCTACGTTAAAGATCGAGTTTACGTAACAGAGCCCAGCGATGTTAATGACATGAAGGACAGGATAACATCTGCCTGTGCGAGTATTCCTGCAGAAGTACTGCGCCGAGTCATCGAGTCGACGCGACAGCGGTTCATGCTTTGCGTTGCTGCCGAAGGCAGGCATTTTGAACACTTTTTGGGGCATTGACGTCTTGAGAGGTGAAGAGTTTCGATGAGATTTGTGCATGACCGAAATATGCTTATGTAGCAGCAGGAAATATGCGTTAGCAAGGATAAAACTGTTTCAGTTATTATTGGTGGAGTTGTTGCTCTTGTTTCAATAAAAGTTACAGTACTCGGACATCAGCAGTCACGCTATTCGCGTAGCCCAGGCAACGACCACGCATGCTTCTCTAGTGATTATTACGCACGCGCACTGGCATCCAGATTCTCCGCTCGCACCATTATCTCGGCATGGTATCTGCCACTATCGTTAGAGGCTCTGCAGTTGCGTGTTACGACACTGGTTGCAAGCGTTCTTCGATTTTTGATTTCGCCGGCCGAAGAGGGCAAGGGTAATTGCTATCACCTATGCCTACGCTTCCACCCTCTTCACACACTAAACACCACACGCAACAGATGCGTCACTTTAGGGAGGAGCTTTGCGCGGACCCTCACCCTCTTGCATGCGTAATCGTGCGAAAGACAATTAAACTTTGGAGCCGGATATCTCGGAACACAGGCGTGCTAGAAAAAATCTTCCAACTGAAACTGTGTACAAACACCACTGCCTACATTTTTTCAATATAAACATGCCAACTTACCGCAGCCAGTAAAAAGTTAATTATTAAATTTTAGTTAATTGGGCTGCTGACAGCGATAATTATCATCTAACTTTCTGTCCCCCTGGCCGCTTAACTTATTTGCACAAGTGGTTCTCACGTGCCTTCGAGCGCCTAATTTTAAAAAAATCATAAAGCTTAATTTTGAACACCCGGTATACACACTGCCCGCGTTCACGAGACACGAGACGAGCCGAGCATGCGTAAAGGGGGTGTGAACGGCACCGACACCGAATCGCAACATCGTGCAAGTAAGAAATGCTCCGTATTCAAAAAGTATGTTAACTTAAATTCAAAAGCCTGAACGATATCGGCTGTAACGAGGTATTTGTTTCGCATGAGCCTTCAAACGTGCGAGGTAGCATAACAATCAAAATAAATGCTGAAAAAGAATTCCCGACCACAGCCTCTTTTGAAGATTTGCTTGACACATTGAATGTTTGGTTTATATGTTGTTAAAAATGGGGTCACAAAACCTGCGAAACAATCAGCTAAAACGAGGTGCGTGGAACTGGTTGCACCTCCTAAAATATAATGCTACAACGAGGCAGATAAGGATCACCTTTTTTGTGGTGAGCTTGAAGACCACAATAATCTATTCTTATAGAGCACATTTGCGGAACCAAGAATGCCGTGCCGTTAAGCCGGTTAAAGTATCTACTGTTATGAAAAATTTCGGATATAACAAACTAGCTTCTGGTGCTAAAACTACATCGCTACAGCGGGGTTGAAATCTATAATTTAATGGATCAATATTAGTCGGTGGTTTGCTTAGATAACACGCAGGTTTCTTTACTACTCCTCACCTCGAACTCCTTGATTATGTTGCTCTTTCCAGTCGTCTCGTCCTCCGAGATAAGCTCCTTGTAACGGTCCGAGAACTTGCTACAATGGAACGCTGTGGTCCCGTATGCACACGCTCTCCATCAGGGCTCGGTGCACGAAATTGTACTGCTCCTGGAATCGCAAGAAATCACTGCGTTGTCAGTTGCAAGATCATGACCTTAGTCAGATGCGAAACCCTTTAAGATCACCTAGAGAATTGAATCGTCGGATCAGCCTATTTTCAGTGCGCTCTCTGCCTAACGGAATGACAAATATGTCCACTCAATTGGCACTGTACGTTCTCAATTCTTCGCAACCACTCCTCGCAAGCTTTTTTTTTTTCATATTCTTGAACGTACTTTCACTGAACGCTTCACCTTAACTTGAAAAACTCGATAAGAGCACCTGCTTTAGGCACAGCAAATAACTGCATATGAGCGATAATCTGCAGCGATTTTTGAAAAATGCATCAGTGAAGCAGTGACGTAGCGCTCAATTTAGTCAAGTGTGGAACGAAATCCGAATCGAGGAGCGTTTGTCTATACGGGGATTAGTCCACATTAAGATTGCTTACGTTGAGACATCCGCAGAGAAGCCAGACTCGTTTATTCACTCTGGTACCGTCTCGGAATGGGCCGTGAACGCTCATATGTGAACGCGAATCACTTGTTCTCTACTCCCTTGTCGTTCCCCACATTTCGTCACTTGCCCCCTTCAACCGCTTAGAGTAACAAACAGGGTAAAGCCTACTTATCATCCTTGCCTCTTTTTTAAAGACGATAGTCTTTCTTGGGGACCTTCGACGGAAAAATTTTGGTCTGTCTGTCTGTCGGTCTGTCTGTCTGTCTGTCTGTCTGTACATTTGTCTGTTTGTCCGTCCTAACGTTACCTCAAACGGCACTGAATGGCCAACCCCATCCGCAGCGCCCACCAATATTGCTTAAGGTTTAGCGTTCATAGTTGTGCGATTGTCAATTAAAAAAAAGCGAATGTTGCGCATATCTGAGGCGCCATAACAATATGTCTATGTTTTGTATGTCTGCCTTTATACTAGAAGAGGACACACACAAAACACTCTAAGGACTGTAGCGTTTAACGCGCTGCGCTGACAGTGCAACGCGATGCTCAAGGTGGTGTTTCCGACACTTTGCTACGACGGCACGGTGGTGGCACCTGCCCGTCGCTTTCCATACTACATCTTATCACCTCCGTGACTGGCGCGCATCTTTCTCCACAGTAGCACATGCCTTCGTTTTCGAAGATAACTGCCAAATGGCGCTCGTGTTTAACGTGCCTAGATGCCCTTGTTCGTCTCCGTTACACGCTCGAGGCACTCTAACGCAGCGCCTTCAGAATACCATTAACCGATTTTCTTGTGCAGAACATCAAATAAACGTTTTGTTCACTCTCTCCAGACGCAATACTATCGTCCTTAGATGGCATTTACAGTGTAACATGTAGATTCGGGCCAATTTTTTTAGTGTCTTTTCTCTGCCTTTCTGTTTCGCAATCGGCATAGGTTCTGTATCTTCCTGCGAGGTGCCAAAATAAATTTGTTTTTTAGACTCCCTAAATATTGCAAGCGCTCGCACTCTGTCAGCGATGTCCGTCATTGGCGACAAAAATATTTCAAATGTGTACAGCTTGCGCAGTGGCCAACTTTCATAACTAGAATGGCTGAGGGTCGAGCTCAGAACTGAACGAGTGACATCTGCAGTCGCAAATACGCCACATCTGAGCATGCGCGGGTCCACCGACGCGCCTCCCTTGCGTTTTCTATCCTCATTTATCAGCGTGAATGCAACAACCACTTTGGCTGTAGAAGCACTCTGAGTGGTATAGCCCAAAAACAAAAGCGAAAAAAAAACCTTAGTGAATCGTTCTAGATATGATACCATTTGATACTTCTGCCCAGAATAGGTTAGCACTATAAAAGGTGACCCGAGTGACAACGCTTTTTTTGTCGGTGCTATACAGTTCACAGCACCTTATATACCGTTCGCCTACGCGATAAGGCTTCACAGCGTATCAAGCACCGCTGCCTTGATGCGCCTGTTATCACCTCTTTGCTGGGCTCAAAAAGCTCCAGCACTGTTGATGGCGCGTGCATTATTTGCTGTAATATTGACGATATCGTCCCGGGCAGGTTCGCCCGTCCGAGTTTAGTTGATGGAAAAATAAGTTCCCTCGCCGGAAAAACTGTTATTCCGTAAGACACGACACGGCCACAGCAGTTATCGCGGCCGCCGCGATAAGCAAGGAGGCAAAGTGGAAGGCAGGCCCACCATTCACGCCGCACACGCTCAAATGCGACTCGTTTCGATTTGCAGACGTCGCTCGCGCTGTTCCGAGTACAACTCTCCGTCGTTCTAAACGTGTTAATCGGAGGTTTTACGTCCTAAAACAACGATTATGCCACTCGGTATGCAATTACTCGAGCACTGCTGACCAACTGCGCATTGGACGTCGCAGATTTCCTACTATATGACATCATCCTTCAGCATGGTGCTCCTTCTCACCTACTCACGGACCGTGGCCGCTGCTTCCTGTATCGTGTGGCTGACGACCTCCATAGATCATGTGCTACGCAGCACAACTTTACGACTTCTTACCATCCTCAGACCAACGGACTTACTGAGCGCCTCAACCGCACAATGACGGACATGCTCGCTATGTATGTTTCTGACGACCACACCAATTAGGATACTGCCCTTCCGTTCGTAACCTTCGCCTACAACCCGTCCCGTCATGAAACTGCTGGCTACTCACCATTTTATGTTCTCTTTGGCTGTGACCCCTTACTACCTTTCGATACCCTGCTTGCGCATAACCTTCCGTCCACCACTTCGTACGCACAAGATGCCATCTCCCGTGCTGTGATCGCACGTACAGTAGCCCGCGCCAGGTTCCCATCGTCCCAGAGAGCACAAAAGTCGCTGTACGGCAGCCTACATAGGATGTCGATTTTTCTACGGGCTCTCTCGTGCTACTGTGGCTGCCATCCTGTCGTGTCGGCCTGTGCGAGAAACTTTTATCGCAATACGTTGGGCCTTACCGAGTTCAGCGCCAAGTCACACCTGTCACCTATGAAATTTCTCCTACTACGAACCCCACTGTTACATCCAGAAGTGACGTTGTGCATGTGTCTCGCCTGAAGCCCTATCACAGTGACCCGTCTGTCTAATAACAGCAGGCACCGGGACGGTGCTTTGCCGCCCGGGGTAATGTCACGGGTATAGAAAGGTACCTCAGGCACGGGTGCAGAAACGACGCAGATGGAATGAAGACGACGATGTTGTTGTGGGGCTGTGTCTGAACTGCCCTCTTGCCCTGCATCCTTGCATAATGTGTGCAGTGTTAGCCTACCCGGCGTTCACCTATTAAATACTTCCCGTTACAATATGATAATTAGCGACACTATAGTGGGGAGGGCTCCGGACATTTAGGTCATCTGATAAACTGACATTGCACTGTAAACGGGCCTTTATCATTTCACCTTCAGTGAAATGCGACTGTAGCGGCCCGGAATCCAACCGGCGACCCCCGGGTCAGCAGCCAAGCACCGTAATCAGTGATCCACTGTTTCGCAAAAAGACATCTGTGTTGGCCACAGTACGAGCAGCGCAAGGCTAGAACCGACACCCGAGTTAGTTTTCTGCCTAGGTAAGCTCTGCTGGTAATTACAAGCGTTTACTAGAGATTACAAGTTTTCGCTGGTAGAATTAAGTATAGATAGACTTGGCTGTTCTGCGAATCGGTTGGTTCCCAACACTGCGCGCGTGGTTTTGGAAGGAACATGTTACGGGACTAGTTTCGTAAGTGAATGGTTACAAACTTTATTAAGGTCGGGGGCCGAAAGAATCAAAGCGGTATCCGGAAACCACGCCAATCAATCTGCAGGCTACGCCAACGTCGGGCTGGTAGACAGAGTCCTCTGGCGACGGCAGGGGCACTCTGGACAGTGATCCCATCAAATGACCAGTTCTTACGGGACTTCCGTCAAGTGACTAGCTGTTAGATGAGGTTGCGTGATTTAGTTGCCTGGTCATGTCGTTACGTGGTTTATTGCTTGAACATGTCGCGTTACTAGTTACGTAATCTTACGAAATTGACGTCACATTGTTACGTGATGTGAGGTAACTACTGTCACGTCACTAGTTCTTACGTGGAGTTAAGTGATTTTTCCTCGTGACTACCTGTTACTTCATGATACTAGATCTTTACTCACGTGAACAGTTGCGCGTTTTCCCCGATTTTTGTTGTGTGATTAGTGACGTCATTTTACGTGTTTTTCAAATCTCAAGGCTTGCTTTTACGCAATATGACTTTATTTTGAATTCAATGATTCGTTGTTCAGTAATGTGGACGTGATCCTTAGTCTCTTAAGAGGCTCATACACCATAATAATTGTATGTCACGCCTGGCAAATCGGCTCACGTGTTGTGGGAGCGAAACAAAGTAGAAAGGACACATTTTTAAACTAGTGAAATTTATTTCCTCAGATCGTTCTATAGTTCACTCAATATACAATTAATATGTGATCACTTCTAATTACTCGGGTCAGACGCGCCAGGTTACGCCTTAGTATAAGAGTCACTTTACACTTCTTCTGTGAATGTTGAATTGTCACGTATCTGACTTTAGGCTCGTGAACTCTCTTAGGAGATCCTAGTGCTCTCCCCGGAGAGTGGTGGGAACCAAGAGAGGGGCAAACTTGCACTGACGTCATTGTGGTCGCCATCTTCAGGCACTAGTTGGTTGATATGCTGGGTGAACTCTTGCTCGATCGCGCGGAGCAAGAAATGGTGACATCATAAGAGTGCTGATGCCCCTTCGCGTTCCTTTGTGTTTACTCTTGGTGTGGCTGGCGAACCGGAGAAAGCGGGGAGAGCGCAAAAGAACGCGGGGACCGAACTGCTCTCTGTTTTTTTTTTTTTTTTTGCAGTGACCCTCTCCTATGAGATAAGTCATAGTGGCCGCCATCATCAGGCACCCAGCGCGGAGAAGCCGTCTGTGACGTGACGTTCAAGTATGCATTTTAACGCGATAGCGTTAAAGAGCTCGTGTCACAGAAAACCCTGCCGCCGGCGTTGGCCCCGTTGGTTGTGAGCGAAAAATCGTCTGTGCATCTGTGACCGAAAAATCAAGTTACCGAGATAGCCGGTGCGCACACGATCACACTCAAAAAGCCGCGCATTCGAAGAAAAAAAAAGTGCTCAAGGTCACGAGGCATGGTAGTTTCTTTGCCCTGCCACCCTTCCCTGCTTAGCTTCCGGCGCTTTCGTCAGGACGAGAGAAGAGATAATGCAATTGCAGCATGTGACAAACTTTTGTAACTCCAGAAGAATGGTAAGTTGGGCTAGTTGGTACTGATCCATAAGGTATGTAACTGCGCAAAAAACTGACGGAAACAAGAAGGAGAGAAAAAAAGGACAGACAAGCGCAGACTATCAACTGAAGCTTTATTGCAAGAACGAGGCAATATATATAATAGGCAGAATAAAAAGCAAGAGGGGGCAAAGGGGGAGGAGAAAAAACACGAGGGACCAAATCACCAAACTTAGGCACATCAAGCATAGCACACCCGTCATACAAAACCAAGATAGCTTAACTCTTTATCATGTATGGCCACAGAGGGAACACTGACACAAGACACAGATTTCTTGTGAATATGCGCAGCCTCAATAAGTTCGCGCACTCTTTGGTTCTTATGCCGGAACAACACAGAAGTATCACCGAACAGCGGAGCGCAGCCGCATTTCTTACAGTGGGCTGCCAGATGAAGGCCGGAGTGGCCTTTTAAAGAATTAAAATGTTCTCGAAGTCTAACATTTAGACAGCGACCTGTTTGTCCCACGTACACACGACCGCATGACAAGGGTATGGAGTAGACAACACCGGTGATACATGATACATAATTATGAATATGACTAACATTGCATGTGTGTTGCTGGACATTTCGCTGATTCGCGACTCGTCTATCTACTTTGGCACATAAAGTGGATAACTTGTTCCTGGCAGAAATAACCACTTGGACATCATATCTTGATGCAACCTTTTTCAGGCGGTGGGTAAAACCATGAATATAAGGAAGAACAGCAAAAATTTTATGCTGCGCCTTCTCATCCAGGTCACAACCATTACCGGGACCTCCTTTATACTTCTTAATCAACTTCTCGCAGACCTTTACCAATAAGTCCCGTGGATAGCCTGCCTGTCTCAGTTTTTGCACCTGCCCAGAAAAACTGTTATCGACTAAATGAGTGCAGGATTTCTTCAGTGCAGAGCTAAAACATGAGAGTGCAATGGCATTTTTAACCAGTTTCGTATGGCCGGATTTGTAGTTCAGCACAGGTTTTACGGACCTAGGGGCATAGCACCAACACACATGCGTGGGCGAGAACTGCAGCTGTAGATCCAAAAATTGGATACACTGGTCCTTTAGGTATTCTGAAGTAAACTTCAGGCCAAGACCACACTGCTCAAACCTCTTTAGAATACCTGCCGACATATCTTCAGTTCCCTTACGGAAAAACACAATGTAGTCATCGACATAACGAAAAACTCTGATTACAGAAGCCTGCAAGACCGGTTGGAGCGCCCGATCAACTCTACTTAGAAAAATATCACTTAGAACCGGTGCCACCCTAGACCCTATACAAACACCTTTCTTCTGCAGGTACACCTCACCTTGGAAAAAAATGAATAAAGACCCCAGGTAAAAGAACAAAAGTTCCGTGAAAGATTCAACTGACATACCACTTAAACCTATGAAGGCAGGTTCATCATTGTGATACGTAATGCATTCTTTCACTGCGGTCAAAAGGTGATTATGGGGTAGAGAATAAAAAGGTCCTCTACGTCAATGCTCACAGCGTCACAATCAACGGGGTTGTCATCACGTAGGAACTGGACAATCGTTTCCGAGTTAGGTGCAATGTACGGGTCGTCTATATATAGAGACGCTAAGCATGTTTGCAAGAAACCAGACACACAATACTGCCACGTGTCGCGTTCCGTGATTATTGCGCGAAAAGGCATCCCAATCTTATGCGTTTTTGCAGTGTAAAATACTTCAAGCTGCAATTTATCCGCCTTTTTACAGACTGCGCAAGTTTCTGCAGGTTCATATCGAGCAACAAGGCTACAGCTTGTTTTTTCCTTTCCGCTGGCTTGACTGACGTGGTCCGGAAATTCTTTTGCACAGCTTGTAATGCCTTCTCGCAATACATGCCTTCCGGCAAAACAACGAACTGACCTTCTTTGTCAGAAACAAGTAATCTAAGTTCGTTGTTAGCTTTCCGGACCAGACAAGAATTTCCGGACCACGTCAGTCAAGCCAGCGGAAAGGAAAAAACAAGCTGTAGCCTTGTTGCTCGATATGAACCTGCAGAAACTTGCGCAGTCTGTAAAAAAGGCGGATAAATTGCAGCTTGAAGTATTTTACACTGCAAAAACGCATAAGATTGGGATGCCTTTTCGTGCAATAATCACGGAACGCGACACGTGGCAGTATTGTGTGTCTGGTTTCTTGCAAACATGCTTAGCGTCTCTATATATAGACGACCCGTACATTGCACCTAACTCGGAAACGATTGTCCAGTTCCTACGTGATGACAACCCCGTTGATTGTGACGCTGTGAGCATTGACGTAGAGGACCTTTTTTATTCTCTACCCCATAATCACCTTTTGACCGCAGTGAAAGAATGCATTACGTATCACAATGATGAACCTGCCTTCATAGGTTTAAGTGGTATGTCAGTTGAATCTTTCACGGAACTTTTGTTCTTTTACCTGGGGTCTTTATTCATTTTTTTCCAAGGTGAGGTGTACCTGCAGAAGAAAGGTGTTTGTATAGGGTCTAGGGTGGCACCGGTTCTAAGTGATATTTTTCTAAGTAGAGTTGATCGGGCGCTCCAACCGGTCTTGCAGGCTTCTGTAATCAGAGTTTTTCGTTATGTCGATGACTACATTGTGTTTTTCCGTAAGGGAACTGAAGATATGTCGGCAGGTATTCTAAAGAGGTTTGAGCAGTGTGGTCTTGGCCTGAAGTTTACTTCAGAATACCTAAAGGACCAGTGTATCCAATTTTTGGATCTACAGCTGCAGTTCTCGCCCACGCATGTGTGTTGGTGCTATGCCCCTAGGTCCGTAAAACCTGTGCTGAACTACAAATCCGGCCATACGAAACTGGTTAAAAATGCCATTGCACTCTCATGTTTTAGCTCTGCACTGAAGAAATCCTGCACTCATTTAGTCGATAACAGTTTTTCTGGGCAGGTGCAAAAACTGAGACAGGCAGGCTATCCACGGGACTTATTGGTAAAGGTCTGCGAGAAGTTGATTAAGAAGTATAAAGGAGGTCCCGGTAATGGTTGTGACCTGGATGAGAAGGCGCAGCATAAAATTTTTGCTGTTCTTCCTTATATTCATGGTTTTACCCACCGCCTGAAAAAGGTTGCATCAAGATATGATGTCCAAGTGGTTATTTCTGCCAGGAACAAGTTATCCACTTTATGTGCCAAAGTAGATAGACGAGTCGCGAATCAGCGAAATGTCCAGCAACACACATGCAATGTTAGTCATATTCATAATTATGTATCATGTATCACCGGTGTTGTCTACTCCATACCCTTGTCATGCGGTCGTGTGTACGTGGGACAAACAGGTCGCTGTCTAAATGTTAGACTTCGAGAACATTTTAATTCTTTAAAAGGCCACTCCGGCCTTCATCTGGCAGCCCACTGTAAGAAATGCGGCTGCGCTCCGCTGTTCGGTGATACTTCTGTGTTGTTCCGGCATAAGAACCAAAGAGTGCGCGAACTTATTGAGGCTGCGCATATTCACAAGAAATCTGTGTCTTGTGTCAGTGTTCCCTCTGTGGCCATACATGATAAAGAGTTAAGCTATCTTGGTTTTGTATGACGGGTGTGCTATGCTTGATGTGCCTAAGTTTGGTGATTTGGTCCCTCGTGTTTTTTCTCCTCCCCCTTTGCCCCCTCTTGCTTTTTATTCTGCCTATTATATATATTGCCTCGTTCTTGCAATAAAGCTTCAGTTGATAGTCTGCGCTTGTCTGTCCTTTTTTTCTCTCCTTCTTGTTTCCGTCAGTTTTTTGCGCAGTTACATACCTTATGTTTTGTAACTCCACTCGCACTGGACGGATTCCTAAAATTTTTGCAGCGTTTTATTCATGAGGCAACAAGCTCTTCTAATGAGTTCATTCCATGGTTACTTGAAAAAGTATTTCAGGGCCCCTTTAACGCATTTTGTTCGACATGTGTCACGACGAAAACGAGCCCATTCGGCGATAATAGCACGCGCTGGTCCAATCTATTGTGTGCGTGTTTGTGTGCGTGCGTGTGTATAAAACAAAACATATGAATAAGCATGCACTTAGCGCTTGAAGGGTGCACTAGGGGCCGGATTTTGCTATCGCGTTCAAATATTAAAGGCGAAGCTTAAGGGTTCCTCAATTTTAGGCGAGCGAGGACTCGCCCGAAAAAAGCACATTTTATCTTCACTATGTGTGCGTATGTGTTTCTATGGCGTAAGAACGCAACACCGAAATTCCCTGCTAAAACGCTTTCTGCCAAACCATGAAAATTTTAGTAGCATACTTACCAGCGTCTCGACCACATTCATCCTGCTTTGACGCATCAGTGAGAGCTGGCCAACGACGTCCACCACGCCCTCAGCTTGAGCCTGCTCGATGAGGTTCTCCAGCAGGATGTATGCGCCAGTACGACCCACGCCAGCACTGTGAAAAAAAGGCATATATCTGCACTCTACAAATGCGAATGAATGAAGGAAATAATGAGCGTGGATAACACAACCTGCCTTTTTACCTATAAATTGCTACTCAGCGACATATTTCTTCAGAAGGGTTATTAGGTAGGCTTACTGTTTTATGAACATTGAGACTGAACAGCGTAGAATAAGGAACGAATAACCCGTAAGACACCACCCTATTTGGTGTTCATGCCGTTTCCTGCACTGCTATGTCACAATTTACATCTTGTTCATGACAACCAGTTGCACGTTTCTTGTACAGGACATTAATTAAGCTTGAGAAAGGTTCTGAGCCAGACTAGTCTGCGTTCATCGCATTGCCTCGTCTTCAAACCTGCCCCATCTTTAGCGCTTACTCGCGGTCTTTAATGTCGTAGAAGTTGAAATCATAAACAAGCTATCCTGCTAGCTAGTGCACTGATGTAAGTTCCTGTGTGGAAGTCGGTTTCTGAGCTCTTTGGCTTAAGTCATTACTAGTCGACGTAACATACGTGGAACACACAGCAATTGACGAACGTGCATCAGTATTCGATTGCCCCCTTTTCCCAACAAAGAAAGGGCTCTTCAATTCGCGTTTTTTTTTTCTTCTGTGCGGTAGCGGCACAGGGCCAAATCCGCGGAACACATGAACACAGGCAGTAAGTCACGCACGCAGTATTTGATTTCCCCTTTTTTCTGATAGGGGAAGGGCTCCTGAATTTGCTTTTTTATGTGCGGTAGCGGGAGAAAGCAAAATACGTGGAACACACACAGTAAGACACGCACGCACATATTATTCGATTCCCCCCTATCCTCCATAGGGAAAGGGCTCCTGAATTTTCTTTTTTTTTTTCTGAGTGGTAGCGGCAAGACGCTCTAGTTTCTCTTGCCTGCAGTGCACCACCACTGGAGCCTCGTTGAAAGTCCTGTACTGGTTCACCTTCCGCCGGAAAGTGAGCAGCGTGTTTGGGTAGAGGGGAACTCCGTGATCGGGCCACGAAGTGAGGTGGAAGTGTTTGACCTCACGCGTGTTGTCGGCCATTGTCATGTGAAGCTGACGGACGCAGTATTCTGGGAAGGTCTCCTCTGCGATGAAGTGGACCTGCACGTCTCCGTAGGTGGCCGTCTTGTCCGGCCAGTATTTCTCGCACTTGGTCTGCGATAGGGAGACGGTGGTTGAGAAGTTGTTAGTTCGGTTTTCTGTGCAGTGTAGCTGCGTTAAAGAAAGAACACAATTCACTAAGGTAGTTTAGGTATATTTACCATTGGAAAGAAGCCCAGCGGTGCACTCTAAGCCAAAACGGAGCAACAGGGGTATAGGGGTTGCTCCTTTCAGGGAGCAATTGCATTGCCACTCCCATTACTCTCCTAAAAGGAGTAACTGCAGAGGGAGGAACCGTTGCTCTCCTTTCAGTTCCTCCTTCGGGGGATGAACAGTTACTCCCTCCAGTTCCTCCCTGCAGACCAACAGTTACTCCCACCAGTTGCTCCCTGCCGACCAACCATTACTCCCACCAGTTGCTCTTCTAAGAGCAACAGTTACTCTTTACCGTTCTTCTGTGTTCGCAGTTACTCTCTGAAAACCAACTGCACATGCTTCCAGTTACTCCTTGGGGAAATGACTATTTATCTCGAGTATGCTTGTCACACGCTTAACACATGGCGAGAGCTCCTTGGAAGAGCACTGCTTGGGTGCTTCTAACACAAAAAGTGGACAATATTGAAAGGAAAATAAATGCTTTATTGTTCTTTTTATGAGGCGACGTGTGACCACACGTAAAAGTAGACTTCGCCACACCACAGCCAGCACTAAACAAACACCATAATGCATCAAAGGTTTTCTGCGTCATCCGTGGAAAAACAATCTTGAATTTCTAGCATAGGGCAGTCTGTGTCATCATTGGTGAGAGAAGGGCAACTTCTCCAATTCTGAAGAACTCAAGTTTCGCAGCTGGTGTTTCCATCAGGCTAGCGCAGCAGAACGTCACCGCAGGCATATGTGAAGCATCTCATTGCTGCAAGAAAAAAAATAGAAGTGTGAGGTTAAACATGCCAGAATCAATTCATAACAATGAGTCACACACACTGCAGCAGCGCTTACATTCTAGGATGTCTACTGCAAAACGAAATGTGAAAAAAAAGGAAGGTTCGGCCAAACGTTACTTGGCAAGCCATATAAATGCTGATGTGGTAGACGCTCTTCACATGATGTCTCAGACAGCAATATTCTGGAAGCAAATGAGCAGCACCTCAACAAGGCATATTTGCAGCAGTTAAAGATACCCTTAGGTTCAGTTAACTTGTTTCCTATACACAGCTGAGTGACATTTCTATGAGCCCATTCACCAATGGGCATTCTAAATGAGGTCATGTGTGTGGCAAATAACACGTACTGTCCGCTCATGTTAAAATACTTATTTAGCTCGTGCACATAGTTGCTCTCGATTCTACTGTTCTATCATACGCTGCTGCGTCTTGAATTGTGCAATACCTGTAGGCACAAGCCAAGCATGCAAAGCCTGCTTGAAAGCAACCATTTGCAGAGGCTACATGATAATCTTCAGTATATTTCTTTGTACCTGACGTAAACGGCTGAACAAAACTATAGACAAATAAATGTAGACCGTGCTACCTTCAAAAAATGCTTTAAATTTAGAAAACTAGGGTGCATTTGTTCACTCGGTTGACGAGTCACAGCCACGAGATATGTAAACGAAGCAATATATCTTAAGGCATGCACAGATATTCTGATTCTTTGTTTGACAGTGTCACAGATAGCTTGCCAGTACATATACATTTGAGAGCAACAAGATGTGAAGCTTTTATTAGTTCAACGTCTTGTTGGTTCACAGCCAAACAGGTTACTGCTTGTTAGACAAATTGGAATAAGCACACCATGGTTTCCAAAAAAAAAAGCATTATTAGAAGTTAGCTCCCGGTGTGAATGTCTGCCTATTTATTTTGTACTGCCTTCTACATGTGCCACAAAGACATTTGTTGAGGATGTGCTACCAGTCAAGCCAAGATCGCATACTTGGTCAATGTGATGGAAATACAAACATTAGAAACACTGCCACCTCTAGTAAGAGCATAACACTTCAGTATCTTGGACTAGCAAAGAGGTGCACAAGAAAGTTAAGCCCACTCTTGCGGAACTTTGAACGCGAATATTTCAGAGTGGGGGAGGTCAACATGCTGTGGCACTTTTAAACCCACGAAACATCTGCAGAAAACAGGGTAAAGGCAAGTCAAGAAACGCTGTTATGAAGGCCTGCGCATGGACAGCTTTGTGAATCTAGGCCCAAGTGTTATGCTTTGTGCAAGCCAAAATCCATGTAAATAGGGAAAGCATACTTTTAGGAGTACCAGCGTAAACAAATCTTGGCAGTTGGCTTTTTAGTACAAACAGCAATCCCTGCAATGAAAACATAAACATTTTATCTTAACGGTAACAGTGTGAGCACACACACGGGCCAGTGGAGCCATGTCGAATTGTCAGTGCCAGTGTAACCATGTGGCATAATGAACTATTCTTTGGCCAACACATGCACAGTTTGCCCCTAAAAAGCGATGCTTTCATATACAAAGTACAAAAAGTCTGCACTTACCAAAATTCACTTGCTTTCTGTACTTTAGCATCGTTGGGAGCATCTTTATCTGCAGTATAACCAAATTTGTGTCATATCCCTGAAAAAAAAGTAAAAGACATGCATCAAATATTGTTTCATTTGGTAGCAGTGAAGTCAGGTTAAGAACAGCCAAGTGGGAATCAGCCTAATTATGTGCATGCGGCAAATCCCAAACGGCGTTATTGAGGTTGTCGAAATTTTCGTCGATTGGTATTAACGTCGATATGTGACTTCAACGGCATGTCAAGTTTTCACAGCGCGTAAAGATTTCATGATGCAGAATAATGACAGCGCTAACGAGAACATACAGCATTTATGATTGTCTTTTACAATATTCAGTTTTGCTAAGGTTTTGCATCACTAAAGAAATCTGAAAGATTTGGGTCAATCCTCCTCCAATTGTTCTGTCAATATGTAAACTGCTCGCTTGATGGTGCGCTTATAAAATAGTACGTTCAGCGCAGAGGTGAAGCAAGTGACGCAGTGATGTGGGCAGATTTTTTTTTTTAGGCGTGCGGGGAGGGGGGGGGGGGGGGTCCGCTTATCTGAATAGGCCGGGCAAGCGAATATGGTCGTCAATTTGGGCTCCCTACGCCCGGCCTAAAAAAATTCTGTGCGCAACCGCCTGGCTATGCCAGTGAAGTGATGCGACAATGATTTGTTCACTTAATGATTTACATACACTTTACATCTCTAAAAAATGCGGCCCAAGGCCCCAACACTCAGCCGTTAAGATTACATAAAGCCAATGGTAGAAAAGTGCCAGTATGAATGCAGCTACAACCCCGCCCCAATGTTTTTTCAAGCGAGGTAGTGTTGCGGAAATGAACTTTTAACTGCAAAAGTACACTGGCACTGCAGTGGTGACATGGGAAGCAAGAGGGTATGCTGGCGGTAATAGAGGTAATTTAGTCCGATACGGCTAGCAATGGATACGGTGAATAAGAGCAAATCATTTCTCTTTCAATAGCGCAACCACTCAACAATGTATTGTAAGAGCATTAAATGTTGCTGGAAATGCCACTCACCTGCACGCTGATGCATGCACAGTCCTTTGTCCGACGAGCGAACAGGCTTGCAGATAGCTGAAGACGTGTTTACGATGTGTTTGTTCCACCCAGCAGCAAAATCCACAACTACTTCGCGCTCCATAAAGATAAATATACACTAACCTTCATCACGAATAAGTAGAAACGCAAATCTGCGACACACACACACGATCAAAACATAGCTCACAAGCTCGCACGTCCATGTGCTCGCCAACCACAGACCATATGAAAATGAGTAAGTAGTGCGAACGCGAACCTAGTTGCGCCGAAAAAAAAAAAAAAAAAAACGTCGAGCAGTGGCAGCACAGGCGTCAGCGCAATAATTTCAGTGTGTTCTCCTAATACAATTATAAAAAAAACTGAGGTACACTAAAACTCATAAATAAATATAAAAGTTGAGTGTAATTTTTATTTAGTGCTAGTCAACATAAACACTGAATAAAGATTACTTTGTAACTTACATCGTTTGCTACACTAGCGCCACACTTATCGTGCGGGCGCAGATGGCGCAGATTTGTCATTCTGCCCTCAAACTACACGGTGAAGCGTGCTACTAAGTGTATGGCTGATGAGAAGCGCGTTTGGGTCCGCTTTTTTTTTTTCTTCTCCGATATATCTGGGCGGGGGGGGGGGGGGGGGGGCTCCTTATGCACGTGTTTCGGTGCTTGATCGACTTTGACGCCCTTACTTCGCGGACGAACGGCGTGTCTAGGCTTTTTTTATCGTTGTTTTGCACGTGTTTCGGCGTTCGGTCCGCTTTGACGTGCCAACTCTCCATTCTGCTGCTGCGTGTGTTAGGTACTTGCCGTAGCTGTATTCTCAGGCCTTCTGTGTTCAGCCAGCGCTGCTATCTTATTATCTGCGGATGCTAAAATAAATCACTGTTTTGGTTTGGTGAAGTTTGGCACACAGAACAAACAATAATCTGGCCCATGAATATCAATGTGGGCGGCATGCATATTTGTGTGCGGTGTCCTACCGGGGAGTAACCGTTGCGTGACGAGAGCATTTACAGCGGTTCCTCCTTCCGTTGCTCCCTTACAAACTTAAGATGAATACAGCTGCTCCCCCATTCTCGAACAAGTCGGCCATCTTGTTCCGCTTGGTCTTTTCGGAGAGTAACAGTCGGTCTGAAGGAGTAAAAACAGCCGTTGCTCCCATTTTGGCCATTTATGGCTTAGAGTGTGCCATTGAGAAAAGGAGTAACGGTAAAGGTTAATGTGGTTTAATACATGTTTAGCCACTTCTAGATATGGACTGTATTATAAATTTGTTATTACGTGCCTCGTATTCTCATTTATTTGTGCACATTTGTGCTTCCCGTACGCGATACAGTGTGTATTGTCAGAAATGCAGTCACTGTATCTCACACAGTGGCGTCTGCTGCAGCTGCAGCGCTGCCTACTGGAGATGTTGCGAATTGCAAATAGTTGAATGCAGCGTGTAAGGCAAATATATTGCGCATGGTGTCGTTGACATATTAGCATTTATCCTACTTTATTTGTAATAGGGACGAACTACAGCTAAACAGGACAGCAGAAGCTCCACACTCTCTTTGTTTTTTAGTTAGACATCCCGCAATGTGGACAACTGAGGAGCATGGTTGTAATGCGTAGCCTGACCATTGCTATGTTCATATGTAAGAGGTTAACCAATTAGCCAGCATTAAGTACTTAATTGGCGTTCCCACTGAGACAAGATACGTGATTCATACCTTGCCATTTTCCACGAGGCCGGTGAGCATGACGATTTTGCACACATTTTCCTGCCACACCATGCGCCAGAAAGTCTTGTACTGTGAGCGGCTTGGGGCCTGCGAGGACAGGATCAAAATCACGACAAAATGGTGACTAATATCACTCTGGGCTGACATTTTATGCTGTAGATTCGATATAACTAAATCAATTGTGACTGAAATGCCACGTCTATCACATTGGGGATTTTTTTCTTGAAACGCTGTAGTAATATATTTTTTCCGCGCTTCCGAAACGCCTGTGTAGAGACACAGTGACTGCAAAAAAAAGTGCTGCTTGTGCTAAAGGTTAATTCGGCTTTCCATTCTGCTAAATTTTATCAGTTGGTGTTCAAGTTCGATCGCCTTCGCTCTAAAGATAGCAGAATATGTTAGAGCGGGGTGCCTCAGTATGAAAAAAAATGCGGCTAGAGCCCATCCCGCTGTAATGTCAACATTATTCAACGTGGCGGCGCAACGTTTTGAGGTCGACACCCTTATTTATATTTCATACTTCACGAGCACCTCCTAGCAAGTTGTATTGGATAAATCAAAAGGCGTTTTATGGCATCTGGAGCGTAATCTGCCACAACAACTTAGCAGCAAGCGTGAGTCTATAATTGGCATGTATCTACTTCAAAAACATGGCTTTCTTGTGTGAGCCCGTTTAGAAATAAACCAAATTTCGTGCTGCTATATAGCGTAAGCGCAAGGCCAACTGTGCGATGACAGTTATTTGTTGCCGAAAAAAAATGTGAGGCATCCAGATGATTATTGCTAATGTCATTTGTCACAATTGCCAGGACTATGAGCTTTTTTTTTTTTAGAAAACCAGTAACACAAGGTTCTGCGTCGAAAGATATGTGCGGGTAAAATTACTATCTAGGGTGTTTGAGGAAAACGAGGATTTTTCTTCGGGGTGAGCTGAGGTTTAATGACTCCGTAATTAAGCTGAAGTTCTGGCTTCATATTCGTGGCATGTGCACCCCAGCATTTTTTAACTCTTTACTCTCGTGTGATGAACACCCGTTTTCCAAAGCGCCACTGCGAACGTGGTCATTTTCACAATCGCACGCTTCAAAAAAAGTTTGCACCAACCACGGGCATTTTCGTCACGTACTGTTGAATGTATGACTTGCAACAAAATAAATTATATCACAGATGACTCAATAAAGCGCGGGAGATTCTTTTCATGAGCATCTATAGAATAGCGTACGCTGTGTCTGTTGTTAGTTGAAAGCGTAGTTTCTATATTAAAATAAGCTTTCGTTTTTCTTAACTTGAGCAAATACCTTGAGTTGCGATGTACCGCTTCGGCCTACAGTAGCCCTGGAAAAAAGAAATATTGAGCATAACTTGAAATAACCCAACGTCCTTTCATTTATTAATAATGTATTTTATACTTACGTCGATGTAGTTGGCGTTGATATAGTCTGAGAAGGGTACGCCAGGTATGGATCTGAGTTTCACGCGAGTGTAGTCATCTGAAAGACGGATTAATCAGAAACATTAGCTTAGCCATGACGTGAAAACCATGTGTGATGAGGCGAATACATAATCTTTGATGCATGCCTGCAAGTAATAGCCAAGTTTTAATGTTGTTTTTGACCGTGTTTAATTCACTTCATCTCAGTTTCAAATCCTGAACGTATTGTCCGTCTGCGATCCTTCAATCAGTTGTTACTTAGGTCGACATTTTGTAATGTCGTTTATAATAGTGGAGTTCTTATTGCAGTGATTCAGTTACTTCTGAAGAAATGCAGTAGCGGCGTATTTCTTATCTCTCTGTAGTTACTGAAATCTTTAAACCTTCAAACTTGTGTTTACATAGCTGCATAGATATATCTTACAGTTTTGCTGAAAATTGTGAGCTACTTTCACCAAGATGGAGCACATGACGCGAGCACACCGACCCCTAGCTGTGCCTCTGCCATGATAACTGGATGTACTATCGGCTGCAAGAGTTTGCTGGATCTGCAGTGCGTGGCGAAGCGGTAGAAAACTGTATTGCCGCGCCGCCTTCCCTGACGCGACATGGCGTTGAGGTTATTGGCCACGGCTTCCGAGATTAGTATCAGTGTCAAAGGAAACCCGAACAGCGGCAAGCCTTTGCGATAGTGTAGTGCGTATCGTGCAGTTATCACCGTTGACAGGCGCGCGCATCGTGCTCGGCAGCTCTGCGCATATATACGTGCCTGTTCGTAGTGATAAGTGGACGGCGTGGACTTTACCATCGCGAAGGCTTGCCGCTGTTCGAGTTTCATTTGACGCTTATAGTACATCTATAGCAACAGCGCACTGTGTGAACGGGCCGCTGCTAATCGCCGAAGCCGTGGATGATAGCCTCAACACCATGCCACGTAACGCTAGGTGGCGCAGTTAGGCAGTTTTCCGCTAGAGTTACTCTATATGCTACCTTTAGGTAGCAGAGTTGTGCCAAAGTACGCCATCTTGGGTTCAAACGTCTTGCGGGAAAGCCACTCACCAACCACGTGGGAGCAGCGCTCGCGCTTGTAGCGTTGCTTTCATTTTTTTTTGCTTTCTTTCTCTCTATTTTTTATGAAGTTCAAACTTTCATGAGACAAACTCAGTTTCTCTAGTCACGCCTGGAAGCGTTGATATTATGTTTACGTTTTTGGTAAGTAATAATGCAAAAAAAAGCGTTTCAGTTCCTTGAACCAGTGGTGCATATGTATATTTATAGTAGGCCACACATTAGCTTCTTCTTTTTTGCACTGTTTTTCCCATTTACATATATAAAATTATTTTTCACTCTTGATGGCTATAAAGCCAGGGATGGAATATTTTCATCGCGCTGGGCTCATTCGTTAACTGTGTGAGTTAACCAGCTAAAGCTTTGTAGTCTTCATCTGAATCGAGCTGGATAGCGATCGAGAGTGGCCGTGCGACGCCCGAGTCAAGCGCGCATCTCGTATTAAAATCGAGGCTCGCGGCAATTGATGTGAATCGTCATTCAACAACCCTGCCGTGTTCGACATTCTTTTCGCTTAAGATTTCAAAGCTGCATTCAATTCACGCACTAGCAGCAACACCTTGCCAATTCGAATAGTTCTAGTTTAAATTCGCCCTTTATTTTTAGCGTTTTGACCGCCAGACTATATATATAATTTGAACGTATGCAGCTGACACACGCTGGCCAACTCTGCATGTATAACGTATTCACTACTTCATCTGGAGTTAATACAAATAGAGGAAGTTTTGCAGTGCCATAGACAGATTTAAAAAAAAAGCCAAATGCATGGGCGTCCGCGGAGAAGTGAAAAAGGGGTCCTTGGTCCCCTCAAGCCACTACAGCACTTGTCCTCACCCAAGCTAGACCAGTGCTCTCGCTCTCCCTAAGCAGCAATGCAACGATGGTTTGCCCCCCAAGAGAAAATCCTGCCGACGACAATGGCCAAGCGCTTATTCCTTACGACTGAACACTAACCTTTCTATAGCAACACCCGCTGCAACCGCGTCTAATCGCATGGGCTCTACGTAGTACAATTCAACACAGAATGCATTTGCTGCCGTGTTTCTCGTGACCAACAGGCAGCATGGCTACATTGCCGAAGAAGCCCTGCGAGAATGACAACAGCCGTTGTCAAACCTCTTGATCTGCCCGGAATCTGCGTAGCGTTGGCTTCTCCGCAGTGCATATGAAACATCTATGACCACGTGATAGCGCTCGGCGAATAGGGACGCTGAACTCCTGTAGGTGGAGCGAGCGGCGCCCGGAAAACAGTGGCGCAACTCTGCTACCTAAAGGTAGCATACACAGTAACTCTAGTTTTCCGCCGCTCTGTCATGCACTGCAGATTCCGCAAACTTTTCATGCTGATAGTACCCATAGTAAACATGTTGCTTTAATATTGTGGAAGAGATGAATGGGCATTTATATAAACACAGGTGCTGCAATTTTGCCTTCACCAAGCTGTAGTTAAGCGTCACTCACATGCCAATAGATTGCCGTAGCGGTTCTTGATCTTGTTCTCGATCCTCTGCGCTTCAATCGTCGGGAATTGTCGGCCCTTGGGTTGGTTCTGAAATTGAATCATATTAATCACTATCACGAAGCGCATACAAGACAAGTATGTACACTGTAAGAGAAAAAGTCTGACGGTTACAAACGTCTCAAGTGCACTTGAGACATTGTGAAGTGTGCTTTCGACTTACGATAAACTCGGACTTGAGGCCGTCGCACGCCAGCATTCGCTGCACGTAGTCCTGCAGATCAGACACGGGCAGTGGTTTTGACCTGATATCGGTGTCAGTGCCTCCCATTTCTTCCATCTCGAATTCCAGGCCGTCGTTATCGTCAACTATGGACAGGCTCGCCGCTTAAGAAAAAATGCGATGATTATAAGTGCTTAGTACTGTTTCTCTGAGTGTACAGGTGCTTGCGCAATGGTGCGATAATTAGGACGGTAAATTAGGCTTGTTCACTTTTTAATTTTATCATTTATTGATCAATACTGCTGGCAGAAGACCGTATCAGGGCGGTTGCCAGACAGAATATACAAGACAGCGGTGTTGTTTCTCTGTAGAAAGAAAAGACTTGACTACTCAGTAAAAGACATAGCATAGGGAAGAAGCCTTGAGTAAAGTACATCAGGGAGGCACAACTTTTGCCCCAGAAGGAAGGGAATCGGCTACACAATAAAAGGCATTGAACAAGAAAGAAGCGTTGAGGAAAGTACGTCAGGGAGTTACAACTTTTGCTCCAGCTGACACATCAAACATATCAATCAGAACGAGGAACATTAGTCATAATTAGACGGAGTGCTATCATTAAAGTATGAACTGCGTATTTCCAGGCAAAGTACGAAGTTGTGCTAATCATGTCTCAAGTTTACTTGCACGGTGCACTGTTATTAGTTCATATATATGTGCATAACGTTTCCCTCCAGCCATCATCACTCCTCATCACCGAGTTTTATCCCCTTTCCCTTTTCCTCTACGGAGAATAGCAGGCTAGAGTGCACTATAGCTCAGGCTGACCTCTTTGGCTCTCAGTGAATTTTTTATGGGAGATGTGATTATTTTTAATGCAACGGTGGCGCATGCGCAAAGGCATAATCACGAGTCAACTTGTTACGAGTAAAATGTTCAATCTGTGGCACCTGTTTTAGTGGCATGAATGTGAGGACCTTCGGAAGCCAACAAAGAATTCCAAGCTGATGGTAACAAAGTCGATGAGAGTGGCAATTTGGGCTTGTTGGTATGGCAATATTATAATTGATGGTAGTGCAGACATGGACACAAGAAGGCGCATTGAAAGTGTCTTCAATGTGCCTTCTTTTGTCCCATGTCCTTAGTCTGTGCTACCATCAATTATCATGCGATGTTAATAAGCTTCAACGATGAGTTTTCCTTCTTGCAACAGTGAACATCACTGCAATGTTTAGCCAAACCTAAGATCACACAATCCAGAGTGCTGAACGATGGAAACGCGATAGTGACAAGATGTGGCTTAGCGCATGTTTTGCGCCACTAGTGGACACAGACCTCAAGCTCAACGAGGACTGCTGATTGTCCTCTAAAATCCCAGTATGTAGCGTTGATCCAGTGTGGAATGCTATATTCCCATAAATGTTAGAGAATCTGTAGAAAGAGTCATTCATAGGCTTCGACTTTGCACAGCTTACACGTAGGCCTTCCTGTATAGAATAAGGAAAAGTGACACTGCTACTTGCTCATCTGCAAAAGCTGAACAAGACTTCGAGCGGACGTTCTACATTGGCAATTGCGCAGCGTCTAAAGAGACGTTGTACATTAAAAGCAGCTTATTATGGAGACTTTTAGCGGGACAGCTCAGTGCTCCTCCATAGTTGAGTACGAAGTACTCGAAATCGTTAAACATTTTTTTTCTAAACAAAGTACTTGGTACTCTAAATCGTTACCCACTTTTTCTAAACACATTATAGAAGACATTTAGCGGGACGGCTCAGTGCTCTCTCATAGTTAAGTACGAAGCATTCGAAATCGTTAAACATTTTTTTCTAAACACAATCCATTGCACGGACACGGTCCATCTTCGAAGCTTCTGACGTTATGCTAGAATGGCTCTAAACTTTCCTATAGTAGAGTACCTGGTACTCTAAATCATTACCTACTCTTTCTAAACACAAATCAGCAGCAACGCTGCTGCTGCTTCTCGTGTTGTTAACTAAGATATGTATTCCCACGCGACGGTTTTATGCTCTTCCACAGTAGAGTACCTAGTACTCCAAATCGTTCACCCGCTTTTTCCAATCACACAAACCCGTTGACCTTGGCGGTTTGTGTGCAGACTCTTCAGAGAATTTAAAGACGGCTATTTGCACTGCCATTGTTCGGTACAATGTACTCGAAACCGTTTAACATTTTTTCTAAACACCATCCAAAAAACTTTTACAAAAATAATTTTTTGTATAATCGACCTCCTTCAATAGCAAAAATCTTGGACCCATCGCCAAAAGGAAACCCACAAGCCACTGATGCGCGTGCAGTAGTTCACGTCCTTGAGAAATCAGGACTATCTCAAAAGTACTAAAACAAAAAAATGTAATCGCGTTATTGTTAACCGGTATGTTATACGATAATCTCGTGTTTACATTTTGGCATTGAAATCTTTGTGAAAACTTTTGTGAAGCCAGTGCAGTATTTAAGATACTGCTCCCGAGAGATATGATCCCATATGACATTCTATTGAACTTTAATGTTTAACGCGGAAATTTCAATTACTCGATTACTTGTGTTTTTCGTAATCGTGTATGGTGTGGAGAGATCTCTGTATTGAAATGCCTAGACTCAGTGCGTAAGTGTTGTCCTATGTACCTATGTATAGCATTGTGTTTGTTATCTAACATGCGATGTCGACAGCTGTACAAGAGAAGAAGACTAGCCGGCGTCACGTATTCGCACCAATCTCTACTAATAAATATATAAACATAATTAATAATAAATGGTTCGAGAAAATGCCACATCTCCGCGTTTCCACTGCCTGTCACGGTTATCAAAATTGGCAATGCGGGTTTCTTTATTTTTTTTGTTTAGTTTTACTGATATGATGTCAGAAAATAGTGACGTTCCAAAAAGTACCAGCCAATCCTGAACTCACGAACGGGTCGAACGAACGACTCACCACTTTTTGACCGTATTAGGTGGACAGGAACCAGTAATATATCTCGGGCAATCGTCTCTCAGTAACATATTAGCATGAATGATACGTTGCACTTACCATTAAGAAGCGAACGCCATGAAAATAATGTCGAAAATGCATACTAATAATATTATTGCATAATGCCTCTAGTTATTGTAGGTATGAATCTCACATGTGGACAACAAGACATATAACAAATGAGTTTAAAATATTATCCGCAACGTGAATGTCTAAGTGATCTCGAAAGTAAAATGCAACAAAACTCCCATATATGTAAGCCAACATCCAGATTTTTAAACATATCTCAAAACTTGAAAAATAAACTAGAGTTGTGACATGCTCTTTTAGAAAGGGCGTGCATTGCACCAGTGAACTGAAACTGTAATATTTGATGAAAAGCAGTAATATACTTTACCATCACTGGGTGGTGCAGCAGGTTTTTGAGGGAACGATCGTGGTAACCTCCCTATAATCTTCTTCCGCCATTTCCTACACACAAAAAGAAAGACTCTGAATTGCCCGCCATGGCGAGATTCAACCAGCATCTCTGAAACATGCAGGACCTATGAATAACGCAATTTCATCCGCCTTTTAAAATGACGCCTAGGGGTTCCCTTCCTCAAGGCACCTAACGCACGCCCACGGAAAACGAAAAGTAGTAAACAGGACCATCGCGAATGATTATCTGTTATAGAGCATAAATACATTGTGGTGATTTAGTGGTGATTATACAAAAAAGCGTTACCTTCATCAGCTTCCCTTAATTTAGATTACCTTATTAACCAAGAGCAGCTAACATTAGTCACGGCATATTGATAATTTAAACAATAACCAATACGAACGAGTGAACTGTAGTCAACACAAACTCACTGTGGCAGCTTATTCAGTGGCTAAAGCAAGAGCACCCTTATATTTGTTTTTTTTTTTTGTTTTTGTTCATGTTGAAGAGTCCTGGTTTATCCGATTGGTTCCGGTGTTTCATGCTTACCACATGGCTATCAATGGCATCATAATTCTTGCAAAAAACAAAAACCCCTAAAACTAAATTAGGTCAGCAAAAGCCAACATTGCAGTCAACTACTAGCCAAGAGCGACAAAAATTTGCAAGCATGGTTGGTAATACGTGAGAAAATATGCTGCCTTTAATACTCGTATTTACTCGTATTAAGCAACTGTATACGGTAAGCCGGCCACAAAAACTCGTCTAGTTTTAGACGTACTCGTATGCACCTTGTTCAACGTTTCTCCTGTTAAAGCTAACGCATAAAAAATGACTCGGAAAACGCACCAGGCGGCGGCGATGAGCACCACCAGAAGGATGACGACTATCACAATGACCGCCACTGGTGTAGATCCACGGTCTTCGGATTCTTGTCTTCGAACTGAAATAATAATCAGGAAACTAACGTTCTCCACGCGTAATGACCTAAGTGGGATGACTGTCCTTTACTATTTCCGCGACTTTGCCATCCACTACTTCGTATTGGCCTCGAGGACACACCGGAGTGCCACCTACGTGATGAAGTCATTATATGAAGTCATTATAGTTGGAACGTCATTGTGGAATAACCTACCAGTGGAAGTGAAACAACATAATGCTTTCACATTAATGCTCAAACGACATTACAAAGAGCTCTATTAGACTACTGATAAGTTTCGTGAAATGATGAAAAGTGACATGATTTTAAACTAATGTTTTGTATGCTGACCAGGAATGCTATTACCAGATGTACAGAAATATTAATGTTAAATATTAGACGTTAAGTATGCAAACCAAAAACGTGTTCAAAGTGTAGTGTATAAGTTGGATTTTTCCTCTTCGATGTGTTCGGTATCTGTGTACAAGTGATATGTTTATCAAAACAATCTGCATCTTAAACTAAAATGTCGTTCATTATACAACTCTTTCTTCTGCCTCTAATTAATGTATGTTATAATTGCATGAATCCATACTAGCATTCTGCTAAGGATCCAGATGTTGCTAACATGTTTTTCTTTACTGTATGTTGTTTATTCATAATAAAGTTCAAAGTTCAAAGTTCAAAAAAAAAGCAGGATGTGCCAGAAATAGCAGTTTATTTTGAAATTCACTCATATGGATGTCGAGTTGTGTTGTCTGCCAGAACACCGCATTTTCTGCTGCTTTTGCTGTGGACGCCATGCATGCTTACCTTCGTTTGAAGCTCAGTGCCTAAAAAAAGCAGTAATACTTAGATAACACGGGCAAGCAAACTACAAATCGGTGCCCCCGGTGGCACTCTCGTGTCTATTTGCATCGTGAAATTGCGACTAAAAACCGCTTCAGCCGTGGGAGACGATGCAAGTTGGTGTCGCGAAAGCAAATCTGCCGTATTCCACAATTACGCATCCCATCTGTGACGTCAAAACGATCACAGCGCTGGCCTCTCTAGTGGAGGCCCTTGCGGCCAATATCACGCACTTCAAATAAATCCGTGCATCGATGTGTATGCTATAGACAGTTTTACGATTGCAAGCGTTGCACCCCAGAAAACTTCCGGTCACCTCATTTATCATCTCATAACTTCGAAACTGAAAGCTCGTTTTCAAGTTTCTTTTAAATGTAAGAAATGTCTCTCTTTAGTTTATCAGATAAAAGAAACGTGCATGAGGTTAAAAAAATCTGTTATCCTTTTTTGTAGCTGAAAAGAACATTTATTTGAATATATTTTGCCAAATAAGGGAAGGAAAGTGTAGAACAAGAGCGGGCTATTTTCTAAAGCTCTTCCTGCCTACTCTTGCTACATATTAAGGCACATCGGTAAAAGACACCGGTTATCATCAACGGCCTGTGTTAATAAACAGTGAAGGGGTTTATATCCAGCAGAGGATTTTTTTAATCCACTCATAACACAGCACTACAGCAGAAACTTCATAAGTGAAGGCATGCGTTCAAAACAATAAGTCTACTTATATAAACAACGGATTGCAGTAATTATATTCTGTCTTTGTCCTTGATAAATATGCCGGTACTATTGTTCTCCATAACTGTCTAATCCGTAATTAAGTGGTTACAGTGGTCGGCTGCTGACCCGAGGTACGCGCGTTAGAAACCTGCCGTTGGGGTCAAATCATCAGTAGAGGCGGAATGCTAAATTCGCGTGCATGTTAAAGAACCCTAGGTGGTCCAATTATCCAGAGCCCTCCACTACCGGTGTCTATCAGCCATGATCGCTTTGGGACGTTAAATTCTGTGCATCAACCAAACCATTTCATAACTTCATTAAGCTAGAAGCACGTTACCTAAATCCAGTCTGCAGTTGAATTCGCGCCATCTGCATCCATGAGATGTGAAGTCTACCAGAAGTAATTATAGTTATAGAGAGACTACTGTTAAGGCGAGTACGCTTGTGTTTTGATCACATGACCTACATCACACATCTTCGCAACACTTGTCTATAGCCTCAAGTTGGAGCTTCACTGGGAGTATACTTACTAGCCATTACGTTGAGTGAGTAATAGTTTATCTTTTACTAGAGAAAGTTGCCTTAAGTTCATGCTTCGAAGAAGTATCACGCTGGTGAATGATCAGCTTAGTCGATAGGAGCCGTACTGTACGGTGAAGTAAAGTAGGCACTGAATGAGTGATGACGTACTAATTTATAGCTTCTTGTTCTCCCGCATTCAATTCTCTTGGAGATATAACACCTGACAGCCTCATAACTTTATTGCGCCTCAATAGGTGAATAGATGGCGACTCCATCGGTTTCATATATGGATGTCTCAAAAAAACACAGTTACGTATATTTCTCAATTGCTGACATCATTTCAATGCTATAGAAATTTTTAGCGCCACAAGGCGCTTATACTTCTTACAGGAAATAACGTTTCTTGCCTGTTTGCACACGCTTGGTTAAAAATGGTTTCGCAGATTGATGCAATATACATTGACAGGTAAGAACGAATACAAGGCCTTACCTGTGACTGGTTCAGAGAGCAGTGTATAGGAAATTCTGCGGTCCTGTGAAAAAAGAAAAGTGTGATTTTCCTTAATTATTCTTGGGTCATCTGGACATTACTTCCTTCATTTCTTTATTTTCAAACGTGGTACTCAGGCACATTTGTGGCCTACGCATTTTTTATGGTTATTGTCAGCGCTTGTGTTGTCTTAACAAAACCACACACGCATACACACATATAGACAATCTGTGTGCTCTTGCGTTTGTCGGGTAAATGTTCCAGACTAACTGTGGTGTGCAGTCAATAGATAATCGAATTGTTCTATTGTGCAATGCAATTTGTAAAGTAATTCAATTCGCTGGCGAGGCTTAAAACATTACATGATTTAGAAAGCCAATTATGAATGTAATAAGGTCAACACAATAATGGAGTGTGTGTACTAAAAGTATTTAGTGTATGCTATATATTTAATGTATTCTTGTTTTTCACAATACACTATAGCTTCGTGTTCTTGTTTTTTTATATTACACTTCAAATTTTATGCATTTGAATGTAAAATGAGTAGTGCTAATCAAAGTTCATTCAATATTTATTGCTAAAAACAGCTTTGTGTAAATTTTTGTCAGATATGTCTTCAATCGTTGTAGTGTTCCTTGCTTATTCATTGCTTGTATGTATATTGTTTTGGATATATATTTTTATGTGTTGTCTTGCTGTAGCTGCTTGAAAACTTTCCTTTAGCATTTTGCGAATACCCAAATTATATATATATATATATATATATATATATATATATATATATATATATATATATATATATATATATATATATATATACACACTCTGGAACGCTAGTCTCGTGTGTTTTTAGTTGGTCATTTCGATGCAGGTAGTACAAAATTATTTGCTAATAATGACGCTACCTTATGATGTACAACACGTTAGAGGACTCGCAATTCAATTTCGGGATCACCAGACACAAGGCTACAAATTGCAGTAGCAAAGACACAAGATGTGTGTGTGTGTGTGTGTGTGTGTGTGTGTGTGTGTGTGTGTGTGTGTGTGTGCGTGCGCGTGTGTGTGTGTGTGTGTGTGCGTGCGCGCGTGTGTGTGTGTGTGCTTGCGTGCGTGCGTGTGTGCGTGCGTGCGTGCGTGCGTGTGTGTGCGTGCGTGCGTGCGTGCGTGCGTGCGTGTGTGTGTGTGTGTGGTGTGTGTGTGTGTGTGTGTGTGTGTGTTGTGTGTGTGTGTGTGTGTGTGTGTGTGGTGTGTGTGTGTGTGTGTGTGTGTGTTGGGCGCTTGAAATGCAGGACACGCGAGCGAACCACTGCATATTGTCACATGTAAGTGAACAAGTAACCGAACTTACGCCTTCAAAGTCCACCTCGGCCGCGAGTCCAACGCTGTAAGTGGACTCCGGAACCAGGGGCGCGTTGTAATACCCTCCGTAGTAGAGGCCGTCGCCCACCGTGAAGTCTCCGCGTTTCGTGACTTCCTCGGGCGACATCTTGGCGGCCATATAATATGACAGGTTCATGGCCACTGACTCGTTGTAGTCGGGCGTGCCTTCCGTCCACTCGCGCGGGCCACCGGCGTTCTTTTCCGAACGATCGGTGGAGCGTCTCGAGCGATTGATCTTCTGGTCGTGTCTCTGCACTACCACGTAGTAGTACCTAAAAACGTGCGAAATCTGTGAGTCAGTTTGACGTGCAGTCACGGCTATGTCTGCGTAGAGCACGCAAGCCTGCCGGGTTTTGCTCTGTGAGGCGAAACCTTGAGGCAGTATCGGGCTCTGGTGTGGTCAGCCTCACAACTAAGGACACAAATTTTCCTGATATATACCACTTAGCAGCCTGAAACTGTCTCAAGGTTTCGCGCCACGGAGAAAAAACTGGCTGTTCGCGTGCTCTACGCAGACGTGGCCGTGGCTGTACTTTCTTCTGCACATCTGCGACGACAACTAACTGGAGCGTAGTCAGGAAGAAGAAATTCACCGAGGAATCTAAATAAAGCTCGAGCGCATTCGGCAGTCGCTCCCGAATAATGACAGAAAACCTGCCACTGCCAAGAAAGGGAAAAGAAAGCAGCCACTGCGTGATTCAGGGGGTAACAGATGGGTATTTCATATGAATGATAACAAAGCAACTAATAAAAAAAGTTGAAGGTCACGCAGTGAAACGAAAAACAATACGAACGGCATTAAGAGATCGGAAGGCGGCTGAGCTGGGTCTTAGAATAAACCAGGTAGTGGATATTCCATTCGGCATCAAGCAAAAGGAATGAACCTGGGCTACCTCGAAATTCGTAGGACATACAACCGATGTACAGTAAGAGCAAGAGAATGCTTACAAAAGGATAAAAAACACTATAAGAAGAGTAGAAAGTAAAATGGACCGACAAATTTAAAAATCCCCTGACCCTAAACTGAAACCTCGAGGTGTTTGTGTTGTTTGATTGTGTACTGTGTACGTGGGCCCTTCTGTCAGAATATTAGTGGCGGACGTTCGTTCTAAGAGATTTGGATTCGGTTTTAAAGTATAAACGTAAATGCCTCTCCAAGTTGGCAGCGCCTCCTGACGTCGTCTCTTGTATGACGTAGACCGATGCCTCGTTGACGTTCCACGTGTCAGGCTGGTGTTGTCGATGCTGCAAAAGATTTGCTGGGCGCACGCAATACCAAAGTAGCAACTGGCGAGGAATAGTGCGGGAATCCTCCTCGCACTGGTCTCAATATAGCTGTGGCTGCCTAGGCCCGGAACTCTTTCCACTTTTTAAAGGGGACACGCAAATAACAGACTCAACTCATAACTAAGCGCCCAAATCGTTTCAGTCTTTACCGTGCACTGGCCCCCGAATTGAAAACTGGGCCTCAATCATCGTCCTACTCTGGAACGCTAGTCTCGTGTGTTTTTAGTTGATCATTTCGATGCAGGTAGTACAAAATTATTTGCTAATAATGACGCTACCTAATAATGTACAACACGTTAGAGTACTCGCGATTCGAATTTCGGGATCACCAGACACAAGGCTACAAATTGCTGTAGCAAAGCCACAACCATTTCGCTGTCGTGGGTCTTATAAGATCTAAGATTACTGAAATTTCAGGGCTGGTTTGTGCTTGAACATTGATTTTCTGTGAATAATCTTTAGATTCAAGTGAGCGCTTGTCCGCATACCCATGTGTTTCGTTTCTTGTATGTCTAAGCGCTCTAAATACCACTATGTTTTTTTTATAAGATTGTGTGGTTAAAATGAAATCAGGTAGAACAAGATACGGTGAATTGAAAAACATTGGGAGAGGCCTTGGCAGCAGTTGGCAATGAACATCACCATAGCATGATGATATGATGATGATGATGTGCAGGTTGGTGTCACAGCGTGGCGCCATCTAGTCCTCTTTCCTTGCTTAACAGTTGCCATGGGCGAAGTAGTGAACGAGCGCAAAACTATACGGACAAGCACATACATGGACGTACACTCACGCACTTTGTCCCAGTTCAGCGCTCGAAAGCGGCACGACTCGGGCGTAATCTCGTACGCGTTCGCTTTTCGAAAGCTTCGTTTCGGCTGGCGCGCATTGCTGGGACACAGCTGTCTTCGTTTAACAGCTGGCTTCTCTGGCCAATCGCACTAGCGGTAAGCAAACGTTCCGAAGTGGAACGAAAACATGACGTCTACTGGATTCCGCTGCAGCCTTTCATCGTGCGTCGTGATTCATCAATTATACATCGATGATTCCATTTCGTTAAGTTTTCTAGGTTTTTTTCTACATCACTTTCACAGTATGTTGTCGTTGTTACTAAAATTGAGTATCGTTCAGTTTACTTCTTTTTATTTTCTCTTTTCCCTCGTAACCGTTACTGTCGCCGTAGGTGGTGCGGTGGAATCAAGAAGGTTTTAAAAAGAAATGCTGGAGTGGAAGCTCCCGCAATGCCTTGCCAGCAGAAGCGAAGCCAGCTTTTGCTTTCCAAAGATCTCCGAAACATGCTCTTTTCTGTTAAGTTTGTTAGTCAAAGGGTTAGGTGAACTATAAATTAAAAGAATGTTATTTTCAATGAAACAACCCACAGAGACGATTATCGGTGACTTAATCTTCAACACATTTGCCTTGAATTTGAGGCAACAGAATCGAAAGTTAGGCTAGTTGGATATGCATGGTATAACTATCAGTTAAAGCGCACGAAAAACAGACAGAGAGAGAGGACAAGCGCTTCTCGCAAATAAACTGTTTAATAGAAAGGGCAGAATATAAATACAGGCAATTGAAAAACACGACGCATGCGTGTGCAGACAAAAAAGTACATCCGTGGCACATCGAGAACACATGGTAAAAGAAGACAGAATATCTCCGAACATGATCTAGAAAAACAAACTCTTTATCGTGCAGCAAAACCGAAGGCTGGCTGACGCATTGTTCCCCTTTTTTTTTCTTATGTGAAAAGCTTCTGTCAACTCACGAGTTAATATATTTTTACACCGGAAAATCACTTCAGTATCCTGAAAAAGAGGATAACAACCACACTCTCTGCAATGAGCCGCGAGATGCGATGCACCCAAAGATTTCAAAGAAGAATTGCGAGAAGCGCTTGTCCTCTCTTCCTGTCTGTTTTTCGTGCGCTTTAACTGATAGTTATACCTTGAATTGGAGGATTGTTAAGGAAAACTAGCAACACAAGGACGCGCTTTTAGCACTATCTCACCCGAAAAGGTTGTCATAATAAATTCGTTGGGTGTGCGAAAAAAACGCTTCTTCCTAATCGGCGAACGCGAACAGCTCATAATGCCTCTAGTAATATGGCTGCCGCAGCCGCCATCTGACAGTTCGCACGGCTTCACTCGTGGAGAAGAATTTCCACTCCAGCATCTTTTTTAACCTCCTCAGGTCGAATATCGCAAAGCCGTGCTATATGCGTTTATTTACCCGTTGTACTTTTCATCTTTTGCACTTTTTTTTATTCCCCAGCACTCATATTTCTTTCCTATAGTGTTTTTAATATGCATTCACATTTGGAATGACTCGTTCGAATAGCAACCGTTGGTTAATAAACGTCGCAGAAGCGTGACAGGAAGTAGGCGCAATATGCAGCAGCTGCATCCATCTACAGTGAACAGGTGCTAGCATCGGCGAAATTCTTTCATCTTGTTGCTGGTTTACGGCCGAATGCTCCGTGCAATATAATGCGACAAGGATTTCGGGGCGGTCGGGTACGTCTGTAACACCTGTAACGTGCGCGCAGGAGGACGCACCAAAAAAAAAAAAAAAACAACGATGGAATGAACAGGGCGCTGATGAAGAAAAAATACAGCTGCAAGCGTGAATGAATGTGCTACCAGTTGCACGAAGGGTTCACCGATAGCTTGCAAATGGTGAGATGTAACTAATATGTGCAGTCACCCATTTTTTTAGAAACCTGAATGCTTGAGCATCAACCGCTCTGTCGATAAGCGGCGTTTAACGGAGCACAGTTGCAAACTGAACGAAAATACGTGCCTGCTGGCTATGACCAGTCATGTGACTGTGTCTTCTGCTAGGATTTCTCGGTGATTGTACACCAGGACACCTGGAACAGGCGCTTACAGACTCGGCGATCAATGCTCGCGCGTTCAGAATAAATAAATGGGCATCTATACGCATGTTAAAGAACACACGTAAACGGAACAGCTACGCACATGTTCTATAATGCAAAGTTTTCTAGAAGTAGCTCCATCAAGTTAAATATAACAGAACTTCCTGTTAGGACTGCAGAAAACAAGTTTGCTCTGTATGCTAGGCGACACCTTTTCTAGGCAGTGTCGTAGCTACAGAACCGAAACGATTGCTGTGCTATAGCCATAATCTGACCACAAGAATATATAGAAATTTATCCAGCAGTTATCGTGCATCAAAAAATTGGAAAGTGCTTTCCTCAAAGCTTTTTGTTGTTCTTGACAGAGAAACGCATATATTTTCCCGGTATGAATGATACTCACTTTATGTCTTCGGGCTCACCTGTCCGGTCTTTTCAGCTGTAACGTAATCGAATTGTCGTCCACATCCTTCAATTCGACCTTTGTCCCAATGACTGGCACTGCATAAAATGACCAAAAGAGAAAACGATCGCCACTGGCTTTAACGAGCACTGACAAAGTTTCACGCAGGAGACGTGGCTTTCATTCGGCAGCCTCATATACATGAGTTTATTGAACAAGTACGAATTGCATCCATCACGTTGAAGTTATTTTATTTCTTGGGCGAACACTACACGAAAGTCCAATACCTACAGTATTGACCCACTGCGATTGGTGAAAGAAGGCGAGCCTGCTGTAATGGCAGAATCGGCAGTCATAGAAGGAATATTCCATTTACTTTTTTTTGTGCTCCCCTCTGCCGGTTTAGTGGTGTTTCGGTGAAGGCCTGGACGACAGGTACGGCAAGAACAAAATCATCTGAGATCAAACTTTCCTTCGATGAGAAGGAGGCGTGCGTCATAAAATCGTGGAGAAAGGCGGATTTTGAGCAGTGTGGACATATTTCACTATGACGACGACCATTTCAGAATAAATCGTAATTCTTTAACTATGCCAGTACTTTTTTCTTCTGACGAGGTGCACTTATAATAAAATAATGGTTGCTTGGCAATCGGGCGCATCGAAGAAAGTTCGGTAAGGCACCTGACCTTCAGCGTCACACTCTGATATCGTACCACCGACGTCCTTTCATTTTGTTTTAAAACACAGCCGCTTAATTACTCTATGGAAAAAGTTGTTAACGATTTAGAGTACGAGGCACTCTACTAAGGGATACGGCTTCGTCCACCGATGTGCCCTAATATATAGTCTAATGACATCAGTGGGCAAGAAGAGCTTTACAAAATATCCCGCTAGTTTTCTACACCATTTGTCTCTTACTTGGCAAAAATATATTAAAATAAATGTTCTCTCAAGCTACAAAGAAATTATATACGAGATCCCCTTGAACTTTACGCACGTTCCTTTTATCTGAAAAACTAAATACAGGCATTTCTTACATTTAAAAGGAACTTGGAAACGTGCTTTCAGTTTCGACATTAGGAGCTGGTAAATGAGGTGACGGGAAGTTTTCTGAGGTACAACGCTTGCAATCTTGAAACCGTCTATAGCATATGGTGCCCCAATACAAAGGGCAAACTGTCAGCATCATCAAAACTGGGACACACGCGACTTTACGCTGCTTCCCCACGGAGGTGTGCTATTTTATTACAGCATTAGGTGGGTGTTATGGAAGACGCCATAATGGGCCATGATGAATGAAGCTAGCTTCAATTATACGATACGTTTGACCATTTAGGATATAATTCGGGATTATCACACACAAAGCTACAAATGAAATCATACCTGTCTCAGACTAAAAGTTTTATCTCTCTAATATTATACACCGTAAGCGTCACAGCAGTAGTTTAAAACATAATATATAAAAGTATGTAAGGCAAGTTATGAACTTAGGTGTCTGGTATAGTGCAACGGTGTTCGTACACCAGGGCATGTTCTTGGGGTTAACTATCTTTTGACGCGCTCTTGAAGCAAATCCCAGAGGCCCGCAACTTAGTTCCGTAACTACCCTACAGCTCATATCAACAAAACTCTCTGCACTTTCAATAAACGCATTCAATTGATTTCATTGACGATACGTAGAGTTATTTGTCTTTGTCTATTAAGTGTCGTTGTCCTCCGCTATGCCATGTATAAATATAACTTTTAATTTTAACCATGACCATTGAGTTCACACCAATTTTATTTTTTAGGACTTTCTTCTAAATATTCTGAAAACTGGAAGTAAGAGCTTTGCCGCAATTGCTTAGAGGGAAAAAAAAGCGTTGCTCGTTGTTGGTGTCACAAATATTAGTACCACAATCGTGTCGCTGGAGCTTGCAGTTTCGTCTGCACTTGAACATTGCTGAATCAGAAGGAAGTGTAAGCACTAGCGGTTCCGTCATGGGCACATAAATGAACAGAGCAACGAATTGTCGCGTGGGAACATAAACATTAGTGACGCCACCCTGTGGGGATGAGTTCAACTAAAGTAACAAGTATAGTAAAACAGGAACATAAGCATTACTGATGTGATCATGTGATAGTGAGTAAATACAGAACATCCAGGCCATTTAATTCCACGATGTTTCAGTGGATTAGATCGGAAACCTTCAAATAATGTCTATCCGAAACTCACTTCTTTTTGTGTCTGCATGCTACACGCAACCGAGTGGGTGACATTCACTCATACCAACTTGAGCCCCCGTCACTTCCTCTCGCAGGACTTATGTGCCAACTGCTGTGTTCTGGTGCTTCGTGATCTGTATTGGAGGCACAAAGGGCGGAGACGCAGCGCGAAATTTTTTTATGGAAATTTGGCGTATATGGTGTTTACGTTATTCCATGTACATGCGCGTGTTTGTATGCACGTGCGACCCTGTCGAATTCGATCCACCCCGCACGCCCCTGCTTCACCGATATCAGTGTTGCTTTATATTTAGCAGCTACGTTATACCGACTCTCAAAAGAACTCATACGAGTAGTATTTTGTTGGTTTACTTTCTAAAAGCATGCGATGCTTGCGTGTAATGTGGTGCCCATCGCGTTCTAATTTTGTATGCATTGTCGACTTCTTCAACCAGTTGTAGCTTCTCAATTGAAGTTGTAGATATTCTCGCTTTAACTATATACTGTAGCGTCACTATGTAACCGACTCGCATGAAATGTCATGCTAAAAATTCTGTGAGCAAAACGAAAGATACAAGTAAACAATTGACCACGAGCAAGGGATTGAGAGGCTGTTTCCTTACGGCTAGGTCTTGTGTGGACGGGAATTTCCACCGTTTCCCCGTATCCCACTGACGTTCTTGCTTCCACACGAGCGACGTAGGGGGTGCCAGGCGTGAGGTTCCTGAACTGCGCCTGCCTTTCTTCGGCAGACACGTCCATCGAAACGTTGTGCTCAGAAGAAAGTAGGTTATTCAAGGTAACCTAGAACAAGTTCACAAATAGCATTAGGTTGATACAGATGTAGTTTTGAAACCATAAACAACGCACTGTAACGGGCTAATGAAAAAAAAAATGATAACAAGGGAGAAACGGTTCAGGAAGTCAGTATTGCGTATGGAACTCGGTATTTGAGACTGCTCCGGCTAGGATAAACTGTGTAATGATTAAGGCGTGTGGCTCTGCGTTACAGTTCGTCTAAATTATAAATGTCAAGGCTAGCTAAGCGCATTTGCGACTACTGATTTTTAGCTCACTAGATGATTTTGGAAGTGTGTAGGCACAGACGACGGTGCCATATTTGCTGAAAACTGGGTTCTAATTAGATCTTAGAACTTTTTGCGAAGTTGTTAGGTGAGGCAGTGCTCATTGCGCATATGGGGTTGCGGCGAATACACATTCGGCTGTTCTCCTGCGATTGAAGTCGGTTGCGAACGACGCTGGTTTCTTGTGCTTCGTCTTTCTTCTGGCGGTACTTGAGCATCCGACGTTTTCCTCCAGAGATGTAAAAAGTATATTGGTGGGATGTGCGTTTGTCCTTGTGTGAAGATATATTGCAGGAAAATGACTCTAGTTTGCTAAGACTATGAAAACGTCTACAATCAACATCCTGAAACGCCACGCGATTGAAATGCAGCAGCAAAGGTTCATTAAGCTACGCAAACGAGGACAATTACGGTTTTGTCCCGTCAGGATATCACAAGTACGACGCTGGTTCCTCGTGTAGTACATGTGTGTTGTATATAGCAAAACAGGGTCACGCTTAGGTCTTATTGTTTTGCTTCAAATTCAGTAATATAGACGCGCATTCTCATAAAAATTGTTTTGAAAAGAGAACAAGGTGGTCTGAAGAGCAAGACAGGGGGAAAAGACCAACCAGGTAATTAATACACGCGGAATCAGGTGGTTTCCCGGTTTGCTTTAATAGCGGGGTAAACTGATAAAAACTGGGAACAGAGGTAGACCGACCTCTAACAGTGCATTCTGTTTTATTTCCTGCTCGTATCGACTCGTCACTTGGTTACAAGAACCTGTATTGTACGGAAGCTTCATCGAAAGCACACGTCACTTTTTTTTTACCTTGGCATATATAGCTCTTATTAGAGTCGAGATGACAGCTTTTGTATTACAATTGCACTAAGTAAGGTCAAACCGGAAATAAATGGTGCCTTCAAGTTATTTGCAGAACATCCTGGAATCAGGCCTAGCCAAACAAAGTAATTGAACTTGCCGAATGAGGTCAGTAGCTGACTTCGGAAGAAGATCGCGACTTACCCTATAACCGTGAATAACGCCATTGGGGAAGATCGGTTCTTTCCAGGATATGGTCACTTCGGTCTCTTCTCGCTTGTTCACCGTGATGTTAGAGGGTGGACCAGGCTCTGACAAATAATGCATAATAAAAACTGTAATCACCAATGATGAACATTTTGGGCCACTTTTCACAGAATACGTTTGAAAGACCTAAACAAAATTCTGTGTGATGCTACGTTGCCCTTAACACTTTAAACCATAAACAGGCTCTGCAAACGCCGAGTCTGTCTAGACTATTTAAGTTCTTGTTTTTGTATTTCAAATGTCTATTGGTGGTAACTTTGTCGTAGCCACTTTAAAAGTAGAAAAGGAGGAAATCTTATCCGCTTCTTAAGTTCTCTCGCAGCAGTACTCCAATGGAACATTATATTTCAAACATGTTCCGGTAATTGATCGTAGGCAGCTTGCACAAGCTGTGGCAGAATATGGGGTTTAGTATTTTGATTCTTTTATAGTAGCTCTTTTTGCAGAAAAGGATGTTTGTAACCTAACAAAAACATTACAAATCAAGCAGAGACTTAAAGGGCGGCGTTGCCACCCGTAATACGTTTCTGGTGCCTTCTCCATGGCTCTTTCGCGCTTTTGTGCATTCCACAGTAAATTCTTTCGTTTTCAAGGAATCAACAAATATTGACTGAACTACACTTAATAGCCGTTAATTTAAGACCTTATTCGATGACAATTGAATGACTTCATGCTTAATAGTATGTTGCCCATATTTTGCACTTGCCAGATGCCTTCTTTGCCATTGCTTTCCCCATTCGTAATGGGCCTTCGACGTCCGTTTCAACAACTGTGTTTCCATTTCTGCTTCGTCACCTTACTTTAGAGTACGCACCTTCAGTATGTTTCTACTTCGCTTCTGGTTAAAGCATCTCGCAAAAGATGTCCTCATTCGAGAGAGAACGAGTTCGATTAGAAAGTGCCGACGTCCTCAAAATGGGTGAAGATAAGAAATCAGGAGACTGCGAACATTGCGTTAAACTAATAGCACATTGGACAAGTACTTTACTCTGCCTGCTTCTAATCGTTTTCTGGTGTGTATTTAATGAGCACGCCGCGCATAGGTTAGATTGCGATAGCCTAGTGATAGTGATAGCCAGCAGAACTTACTTGACTCCCGTGTCACTGCAGTGACCATGTTGCTCTCCAGGCTGAATGCACTCACGTCTTTGTTCTTGGCGGTGACCTCGTATATTAGTGAAGAGTGAAAAAAAAGAAATACCGTTAGAAAACGTGTGCCTTGCAGAGGAATCTTCCCATATAAGTCTAGCAAAATATTTTCAAAGGTTTCATTCTTAAACAAAATTTTGAATGTGCTATCCACGGCAGCACGGTAGTTCCATGTGATCAGATGTGTGCCACTGTCTTCCTAGTTTACATGCAGGGCCATTTTCAAGCAAATAGCAATGTATTAAATGAAACGAGGGTATATAATTAAACAAGGGGTTGCGCAGAAAAAACCTGACGAGATTCTAATACACCCATGTTCTGAGGCACATGCCCCTTGGCTGCTTGCAGCACACCATGCCAGCCTTCACTGGCAAGAAATAAAGTTATCAGACGTGGTTGTGACGAGCTGACATATGAGTTGACTCTGAGAGTGCTTCTCATTACGAATGGAAGAAATGTTTGTGCCAGTGACAAAGCATATAGATTCCACCAGAATAAAAGCAGGTTTTACGCATGGGCGTCGAAGAACTTGATGTTTGCTGGTATGCTAGTGCGACAAAAAAAATGCCGCCATATCCACGAAGTGAATGATGATGAGTGGGCGAAGCTCCGGAGGTAAACCTGGTAAACCATGAATCCTCCGTACATTTTGCCCACTCGATTTTATTGCAACGCTCCCCCTAGTGTACGTCGCCGCACTATATCGAACGATGACACGCGCCATATGTGGCATCATTCCTATTTTATAACACCTCGCATCTTTCATAATCAACTACACGTACCGCCGTCTAGTTTATAACATCTTGCATCTTTTGGACGGACGGACGGACGGACGGACGGACGGATGGACGGATGGATGGATGGATGGATGGATGGATGGATGGATGGATGGACAGACGGACGGACGGACGGACGGACGGACGGATGGACGGATGGATGGACGGACGGACGGACGGACGGACGGACGGATGGATGGACGGACGGACGGATGGACGGATGGATGGATGGACGGATGGACGGATGGACGGATGGACGGACGGACGGACGGACGGACGGACGGACGGACGGATGGACGGATGGATGGATGGATGGAGGATGGATGGATGGAGGATGGATGGATGGATGGATGGATGGATGGATGGATGGGGTTTAGTATTTTGATTCTTTTATAGTAGCTCTTTTTGCAGAAAAAGATGTTTGTAACCTAACAAAAACCTTACAAATCAAGCAGAGACTTAAAGGGCGGCGTTGTCACCCGTAATACGTTTCTGGTGCCTTCTCCATGGCTCTTTCGTGCTTTTGTGCATTCCACAGTAAATTCTTTCGTTTTCACGGAATCAACAAATATTGACTGAACTACACTTAATAGCCGTTAATTGAAGACCTTATTCGATGACAATTGAATGACTTCATACTTGATAGTATGTTGCTCATATTTTGCACTTGCCAGATGCCTTCTTTGTCATTGCTTTCCCCATTCGTGATGGGCCTTCGGCGTCCGTTTCAATAACTGTGTTTCCATTTCTGCTTGGTCACCTTACTATAGAGTACGCACCTTCAGTATGTTTCTACTTCGCTTCTGGATAGAGCATCTCGCGAAAGATGTCCTCATTCGAGACAGAACGAGTTCGATTAGAAAGAGCCGACGTCCTCAAAATGGGTGAGGATAAGAAATCAGGAGACTGTGAACATTGCGTTAAACTAATAGCACATTGAAAAAGTACTTTAATCTGCCTGCTTCTAATCGTTTTCTGGTGTGTATTTAATGAGCACGCCGCGCATTGCTTAGATTGCGATAGCCTAGTGATAGTGATAGCCAGCAGAACTTACTTGACTCCCGTGTCACTGCAGTGACCATGTTGCTCTGCAGGCTGGATGCACTCACGTCTTTGTTCTTCGCGGTGACCTCGTATATTAGTGAAGAGTGAAAGAAAAGAAATACCGTAAGAAAACGTGTGCCTTGCAGAGGAATCTTCCCATATAAGTCTAGCAAAATATTTTCAAAGGTTTAATTCTTAAACAAAATTTTGAATGTGCTATCCACGGCAGCACGGTAGTTCCATGTGATCAGATGTGTGCCACTGTCTTCCTAATTGACATGCAGGGCCATTTTCAAGCAAATAGCAATGTAGTAAACGAAACGAGGGTATATAATTAAACAAGGGGTTGCGCAGAAAAAACCTGACGAGATTCTAATACACCCATGTTCTGAGGCACATGCCTCTTGGCTGCTTGCAGCACACCATGCCAGCCTTCACTGGCAAGAAAAAAAGTTATCAGACGCGGTTGTGACGAGCTGACATATGAGTTGACTCTGAGAGTGCTTCTCATTACGAATGGAAGAAATGTTTGTGTCAGTGACAAAGCATATAGATTCTACCAGAATTAAAGCAGGTTTTACGCATGGGCGTCGAAGAACTTGATGTTTGCTGGTATACAAGTGCGACGAAAAAAAAATAATCTCTGCCTGTTCTCGTTCTCCTTTCGTGGATGGCTTTTTTCTCTTTTTTTTCGCAACGCCTTGTTTAATGATGATGTCTGACTCACCCAAGAATATGCATTATTCAAGGGCATGCTACAACGTTAAAACACCAAAAAATGTTGCTGATGTTAACAGAGTGATTGCTGACACTCCTTACGTAGACGTGCATAGAAAGAAGTTAATTGCAGCCATGGTTTGTATTTAATTTCAAGTAGCCTAAACGCAGATACCAGGCAACTCCCGTAGCCCAGTTTTGGTCACAGTGTCTTGGATATCTGTAAACCTAGAAGTAGGAATTGCTTGTAATTGGAACGTAGCTGTTTATCGTAGCTCATTTAGACAATTATTTCCTGATTAGCCTTACGGATGAAAATTAATGGTACGCTATTGCTACAATCTGAACGTAGCAGAAGAGACACTATAGGTTTTTCATACTAATTAAACATACAAACCTGCAAGCTTTTTCGTACTTGAGTGAGCTTCAGCTGAGCTAGCTCTAAATAGTAAGCGGAATTTCTTAGCACCCTATTTTATACAAAAAACTGGGTCTGCCCATTTCATACGTATCATGCATTTTACATAGAGGTCGAGTTTTTGAAACATGTCTTAGACCTACGATCATGATGACCATGATTTCATGAAGGTGTTGGGGCAATGCACATGTGTCCAACTAGTGCGTTAATCTTTACGTTCGCTTTTCTTTACGTTCTCTTTACGGGCCCGCGTTATTGTCTGTGCAAAAGGCTGTGACCTCCCCCCTCCCTTTAACACTTTCTCAGCAATCACGTGATGGCGTCGGGGAACGAGATTCAGCAAACGTGCGATGAACTCATGTGCTTCCGCGTGGCGTGCTCCAACTAGAGTTCGGGACGAGTAATAGCAATAGAAACTACATCGGGCAAGATGCCCGCGATGAACGGAACTTTTAAGGCGACCCATGTGCTGCTTAGCATGCTAGTCATGGTTTCACTCAGTAGGAGATTGTGTATTTAGTTAAAAATTGGTTTACTAAAGAAAAACTAAAGATTTACAGTTATATTATCTGGCACATATCACCACGGTACCGACGTGAAGACATGTGCAAAGCTTTGTTGAAATTGGTGAACATCGAAAAATCGCCGGAGTTCCCCTCGATTGATTGATATGTGTGAGTTAACGTCCCAAAACCACCATATGATTATGAGAGACGCCTTAGTGGAGGGCTACGGAAATTTCGACCGCCTGGGGTTCTTTAACGTGCACCCAAATCTGAGCACACGGGCCTACGACATTTCCGCCTCCATCGGAAATGCAGCCGCCGGAGTTCCCCTCGAGGCTTGTCTGTTGTTGTTGGCGTTGAGCACCATAGCCGCTGCTGACGATGATGCTGATGACGAAGAAGAATGAGCATGTTCTAGACCACAAGCTCTTTCTGCCATCAAGACACATCACATGCAAGGTACCCACTATACGTCATGACGGTGACGATGATGAGGAGGATGATGATAAAGACGATATGACAATGATGATCACAGGCAAAGACTGGCGTGTGCAGCCGATGGCGTCACGATATGCTCTACGATGCATTTCGTATGACTGGAAACAGCTACCAATCATCGGCAGGGCAAGGTGTCCAGATATCGTATTTGCCAACTTCAGATTAGATCCCGTACCACGAAGAATTAGTAGTAATTCAGGGAAAATGAAATTCACAACTCAGTACGACATACAAATTAAGACCAATAAACATCGCGTATATGTGTACACTTACTCGGCTCTCATTTAGGAGCGTGAATGGTCAATGTCGCAGGGTGATTTACGGTAACACCGAACGGTCCCAATGCTTCGCCCACTGATCAACATTCACTTTGTGGATATGCCGTGATTTTTTTCTCCCCGATTATGTTTCAAAACAAGGTGAACACATCGAATTCGTCGGGAGATGGAAGGACAGACGGAAGCAAGAACGAACAGGCGGGACAAATTGTTAGGTGTGGTGGGGGCAAGGGAGTTCCCATGTAACGTCGAACGCTGGGCGCCTCTGTGAGAATCCCCACGAAGAAAAACATTGTAGAATAATTCAGAATACAACCAAACTATTGAAGGATTGAATTCCTGAAAATATATAATCAGTCGGTTCTCTAACGCTTACGACGACGTGGTATTCCATGTTGGGGACCAAAGGTGCGATGATGGCGCAGTGGTGGCCGCTTCTGGCTTCGGCATCGCCGTCGCATGTCGCTTGTTCAGCAAGCAGCTCCGGTGTGTACCGAAAACGCGACTCCTGCGCAGGTTTGTAGAGCACTGTGTAGCTCTCCAGCAATCCGTACGGTGGATACGGTGGTAGCCAGCTGAAGGCCAAGTGTTCGCTACTTGCGCTGTACACAGTCAGGTTAGTTGGGGCTGGAGGGGCTGCGTGGAAAAGGTTCAAAGAAACCTTGCGTTAGCGTCTATGTCGGGTTTTAGATGAGTCCGCTATCATCTATGTTCTCATTTGACTGCGGATTAGGGGTCGTTGATGTCGGTTATCCATAACGTCGTTTTCGCGCCAGAACGAAGAGGTAAAAAGCGCAGAAGGTGCACAAAAGCAAACTTCCAACTTAGTTTGTTTGAATGTACGTTGCAATAAATGCATACGAACAGTTTTAAAAGACACAAAAAGTGAGGTACACTTGTCCTAAGTATTCTAGAATCATAATTTTTTTTCACGTGCTTTCACTATAGTTTGAAAACACCTGAAACCTCATTATGTCGTATGATTGTTGTTCCTTTGAAGCCAGCTGCATTGTGGCAGTTAAAACCACTTGAACGAGGGTCTCCGACTACTGCTCGAGCGTCTTAACCAAGCTTTAATGGAAGCCGCGGACAAGACAAAAAAAAAAAATCCTAGTGGGGAGTTGCCACGCCACCATCTCGGAGCCTAGCCATAAAACATATTACATCGGCCCTCATTTGATAGGCCTATGGTTCATGTCGTGATGATTACGGCATCGCTAGGAATTTTCACTGCGCGGAAAAGAAAAGAAGGACGCTGACTCGAGCGGCCTGTAACACTAGGAACCAAAATGTGTGTGCGCTCTCTGTATGGGCCGCCTCTTAGTTTGCGATGTCATATAGCTGCGAGGTCACAGAAATGTATCTAGTCAGTGCACGTCAGTGTAGCTATGTTTTGTAGCCCTCATTGCCACGTCAATCAAGGGCGCGGAAAGCATACACGTGTTACAACCGGAAAATTGAACCAATGTATGTGGAGTGTAGTGCAACATTTAATTACTAATAGCATAAGCATATAGCTATAACCACACGCCATGTATGCTCATGCATGACTGACAGGTGTGCGTGCGTCGAACCGTTCAGGCCGTTGCTGTGCAGCCAAAGAACAAGAAGAAATGTGTGGCTTTCGCATGCGGCTCTGTATAGAAGTAATTTAACATATTGGTTGATTGATTTACTGGGTAAACATTCGATTGATTGATTGATTGATTGTTTGTTTGTTTGTTTGATTGATTGATTGATTGATTGATTGATTGATTGATTGATTGATTGATTGATTGAATGATTGATTGATTGACATCCGTAAACTTAATGTCAAGAGACGTTCTTGCACCAATCGAGCACCGGATAATTTTAGCTTTTGAAGGGATCTAGCATGTGACACACCAATTTCTCACGCAAACAGAAGCAACGGGACATGGCAATTAAAGACTGTTATTGTTTTCAGAGTAAATGTAGCATACGGAAAAGAAATAAATGTAGTGGCTTCATTGACTGATTGATTAACTGATATTAGAAATCACGACAATTCTTTCTCCAGTTCCTCCACTAGCTTTAAGTGTGCCATTATTTACAGAAAGACGTAAAAACGGACGCACATTGAGCAGCCTACAGCATCACGAAATGAGAAGCATGAGACTCAGGAAAACAAGGCAGAGGCGGATCAAAGGCTGTTCATTCTCCTTTTCTGCGGACATGTGCCTGCCTACAGACCCAAACATTCTAGCGACAGCGTGCAGTTGTAATTAGAAATGTTGACGTTAATTAAAACAATAATTCTACAAGTGACATCTAGGACTTTGTATTAGCGCTAGCGCTCAATTATTAAGCGCTTGTAGACAGTTTTTTAACGTACCACTGGGTGCCGTTCTGAACGAAAATGCAGCGGAGGGGCCCACGCCCGCACTGTTCTCAGCCGAGACGGTGATCTTGTATTTCGTGAATGGAACAAGGTCGTCCATTTCCAGCCCGTTCTCAAGTTGCGTTGTTGAGAATTCGTTCGACGCCCACTTCGCCATGGAATTCCGGTTCAAGTGGTAGGCGGTGACCTGACCGTTAACCTTTGTGCAGTCCGGTGGTTGCCATGACACTACGGCTGACCGGCCAGTCACCTTTGTCACTTTGAGACCTTGTGGAGTGGCCTCCGGAACTGGTGGAAAAAACGTTATTAATTACCTGCAGGTCTTACAGTATTCTATGCTTGGTTACAACATAAGGGAAAAAAAGACAGCTCCTCCTAGAGTCAATGATCTTGCTTCCACATAGATTATTCATAAATACTTCATAGAATAGCGCTTATACACGTCGTTCAGGCTGCGCGGGTGTGATATGCTGCTTCTTTAAATTTTTGAAATGTGATGTAATCGTCAGACAACGGCTGCTGGGTGCCACGGTAAACGAAGTGCTAGAAAAGTCCCCGCAGTGAAGGCTTCGCAAATAAAGCTATTAAAGTGACCAACCTTCCTCGAGGGTGGACAGCTCGTCATACTTCCAGGGTCCGTCTTTCACCGTCGTCGCCCGAATGCGTAGACTGTACCGAGCCGATGCCGTGAGGTTCTCGAACACGGCTGACGTCACGTTGGCCGGAAAAGAAACGTTGATTCCGTCTGGTGCTTGAAACTCGGGACACTGCACACCCCTGAGACCGTCCACGTTCAATAGCAGGTCGTATCGCCGCAGAATGCCATTGGCTACAGCTGGTGGCTGCCAGCGAAGCTTGTACGTTTTTGCTGACAGCCGTTCGTTGTACGGGCTGCTCATTTCGCCCGGAGCTGTCCACCGAATATTCATGATGGGCCCATGCGATGAAGTAAAAAATTCATTGTCACTAAGAAAATGCCAGAGGAAGGCAAATCAAGATGCACCACCATGTTCGTCAGGGTGAACATATTGACTTGCTTTCGACATGGAATCACGTTTATGTGGTTCATTCTCGGCCCCCTCTTGTCTCGACAAGAATAAATAGGATAATAATAATAATAATAATAATAATAATAATAATAATAATAATAATAATAATAATAATAATAATAATAATAAGAAGAAGAAGAAGAAGAAGAAGAAGAAGAAGAAGAAGAAGAAGAAGAAGAAGAAGAAGAAGAAGAAGAAGAAGAAGAAGAAGAAGAAGAAGAAGAAGAATATCAGGGTAAGCATCACAGTAACGTCATCATAGCATCATCCAACTATGAGTACTGTACCTAACAATATAGTAGTCGACTTTAGAGCATAAAGTAGGAACGACAGATGAAAAAAATACCAACAGCAAAAGGACGAAAGTTTGTCCAGTGGTGTGTGTCCTTTTATGTTCCATACCTAATTTGCGTTTTGTAGTTTGCTATCACGAGTAGCGGCTCTGCAGAATGATAGTGAGCCAGCAATGCTTGCCAGTACCCGAATATCGGGCTAGAGTGGACAATGGATGGCGAGAGAACTTATGGAAGCACACCGTATCACAAATTGAAGGAACGATTGTGTCACTGATGCTACTGTGGTGATGCGCAAACAAAACGGTGATTCGGTTTCCTAATCTGCATTTTGCCGACATGTCTTCTCCATGGTGATGATATGCGTTTGTGCGCTCTGGCTGTTCATCGTATAGATGCAGGAAGTTTTCATCACTATTGGCCGCGAGATCGAACAGAGTCGGTGCCTAGCGGCGAGGGGACGAAACTTCGCGTTGTGGATCGCTCCTTCCATCGCCTGGTAGTCGCAGCATGTTCACATGTATGCGCACGTCATGCACGTCCTCAGAAGACAGTGTATTCCGTTGTTTCAGCACAGTGTCAAATGCTTGTAGGTATGTCTACATATTACATGGGGCCACGTATACGCAGCGCTTGATCCTTCGTTAAGGTAACGCATAAGAGGTCGTCTCACAGGCAGGCTTTCAGATAGATCGCTACCGGCCGGCCGCGCCCGCTTTGGAAAATGGAATGTGGCTGATCTTATTGCTATCAGCGCGCTCTGGAATAGCAGCGTCTCGTATGTGTATTTCAACACCGAAGCTCCTTAATCGGCAGGTTGTGCTCTGTCCGACATACGCGTATGTGCCCTAGGATTCGGGCTAGCCGCACTACCGAGTACCACAGGTGTGCGCGTCACACGAAAACCCAGCTCGGCGAAGTAGAACTTACAATACAAGTAAAAGAAAGAAAGAAAGAAAGAAACTTAAAAATGAGAGAAAATTAAAAACAGATTAATGAACATCGATAGAGAAAGAACTAAAACGATAAAGAAAGTTATAGAAAAAAGATAAAATGTAGAAGTAGAAGGAAAGAAGCAAAGAGAGTGAGAAAGATGGATTAAAAAGGAACTGAAGTTATAAATAGAGAGAGATAAAGAAAGGCAAGGAAAAACCATAAAGATAAAAATAGTTATAGAGAGATCAAAAGAGAAAAACAACTAAACAAGAAGAAATAGACAGGGGAGATACAAGGTGCCGGGAGAAAGAGAAAGAAGGAAGTAAGAGAAAAATAGAGAAACAAGAAAGGTCGCAATGTTCTGCTCCTCCTCTAGTTTGGGCACAGCTATTGCGAAGGTGCCATTACCGATGGACTTGAAGTAACGACGGCGCCAATTCGCGAGCATACCTTCTTCGGGTGTGGTAAACTCGTAAGGGTCCGACCAGGGGCCAACCCCGCGAGACGTCTCGAGGCGAGCTTGAATGTGGTACGTGGTGAAAGGCGTCGTCTGAAAGATGAACCCGGTCTTGTTCGAGAGCTGCGGATCCCCGTCGTTGATCTGCGCCTTGACGCTCACTGCAGCACACTGCCATTGGGAGCGTTCTGGAAGCTGGGCAAAGGTGTGGTGGTCAGCAATCAAGAATCGAAGACCAGGAACTGCGCCACTGTTATAAATATCCTTTGAGGCTACAAGCTTGGTCCCATCTACTTCTAGCAATGGTCATGCGGCCAAGTTAGTCTTAAAATGACACATCACGAATGGTCGCCTTGATCGCAAAGCGACTGCTTTGGCTCACTCGCTCGTTGACTGAACTTGTGCTCACGTGACTTTAATCTAAAGTGTATCAACCAACCAATGACATGCGCAGGACCAGGACGTCAACATAATTTGCGCGGCAGTGAGAATGCGAGCCGTACGCAACCAGACGTGAATTTGGTTTGGTGGCGTGTATAGGTCGCAGGCAGGTGTGGACATGGGTCGCCTTGGGTATATATAGCTTTCTTGGTCAAAAGTCGCGAAATGGTCGCGCTACTGGTGCTAGTCGCAGGTTTGAATGAGGCTTCCATGATGGCGCTGTGTGAAGCACTTCCTGTGTAGCAGTCACTTTCATCGCGTGAAGTCAGCAAAAGCCTGTCATTCGAGATCAGCGTCTTAAAGCGATATTGAACACCACCCGTCTGTGGCACGAAATCACAAGAATTTTTTGCGAGAAAATTTCTTAGCGGCTGAAAAATTCCTCTCGATTCGGGGATTAAAACCGGGCCCAATGTTTTTCCTGGTTTGTATCTCGGACTAGTACGAATATTTCGAAACTAAACAGGTAGTTTTCTTAAGAGGAAATTCATGTGAATTTTCGTCTGATTTCGTGCTACAAGCCAGTGCTTGCCAAGTTCCCATCTTGACCTTTCAGCCAGCATGCGATGTTCAGCAGAAGCTATAGTTGCGAAATGAGCTCCCCTAGCAGACTGTCGTGAATACAGGGCGCTGAATCGTACGTGGCAGATTTTATTTATTTATTTATTTACCTATTTGTTTGTTTATTTATTTTATTTATTTATCTATTCAAAATGCCTTACAGGCCCATTAAAGGGTATTGAATAAGGGGGTACTAGTAAACGTATTGCAAATCAATATGGACAAAAGGTAAAAAAATTCAATCGAATCAGTACCATCTGTGAAGTAAATGCACTGGCGGCTCGGCAGATTTCCCGCCCACCGCTCAACGCTTGCGAGACGCCGCTTTTCTTTCTACCGCGTAGCGCCGGGGAATTTCTGTCGCCGTCCGAATCACTCGCTGCGCTATTTTTGTCACTAAGTTCAACACTGCCGCCGCCTTCCTTATTGCACCACGTTTTATCGTATTCACTCGGGAATGTGCTTATCACGGCGTTTGTAGCGCTGCACTGGTTATCCACTGCAGCACATCACCTGCACAACACCCAAGCGCACACTTTATCACCGGGCACCTCAGAAGCAGCACTTGTTACCTTACGAAGTATTTATATCTCAAAGCAACACTTTGATGGTTGTGGGGCACGTCCTAAAGTGGAAAATTCCAGATTCATTTTTATCGTGTGTTCTTCAACGCGCGTTTTAATCTAGGTGCTGTGGGAGTGCTGACACCTCTTGTAAGTTGTTTGTGCCGCGTGGCGCACGTGTTTCGCGCATAAGCCGCATTTAGGGTTCACAATCATGATGATGATGATAGTGGCGGAGATAAATGCTCGCGAGCACAACGCCGCCTACTGCTCAGCTCGTGATTTTGAACCCGAAATGCGACTTATGCACGAAACGCGTGCGCCACGTGGCGCAAACAACTTTACAGGGTGTGTCAGCACCCCCACAGTGCCTTGTTTTAGATGCGGAAGCATCTTATACTCGCGCCTTGTAGTGCGCCGTCCGCACCGCTTCTCGAACATTCGACAGCTGACGCGCGCGCATGCGCCGTCGCGCCGTCGCCCACCATCTGTGCCGCGCGCGCTTCTCCTTCGAGAGCATTCGACAGCTGACAGCGCATGCGCCGTCGCGCTGTATATATACTCAAGGTCGGCGCTCGCTCGCTCAGTTGCCGCTCGTCGGTTGGTTTGTACGGCGCGTCGACGTCCAAGGTCGCGGTGAAATGAATTCCAACGAATCCACAAACACAATGATCGGCGTCCCTTCGACCAGCGCCGCCCTTTCGCATACGTGTGTACGTGTTCACTCATTTAACACCCCCTCCTACAACCACGTTAACCAATTTAGTCATCGACCCAAGTAAGTCGCAATTTAACACCCCATTTCACAACCACGTTAACCAATTTAGCCATCGACCCAAGTAAGTCGCACTTTAACACCCCGTTAACCAATTATATGCTCCGCATCCTCCTCAGTGTTCCCCCGAGGGAAGCTGCGGGCAATTTTTTTTTCTTGCATTTAATTTTACGTGATTTAGCGCGCGCCTGCTTTTAACAGCAGAGCATCGTCATCCATAGGCCCCTTCTGCTTTTAAGCTACATCTGAGGTCAAATATTCTCTGTTGCATGCCTCGAGTTGGAATCTTTACAACTCCTAAATATGGTGTAAAAGCTAACTTGCAATAAACGTTCGAACTATTTTCCTAAGCTATTGCGTAGAAGCCTCCCGTCTGAGCGTTCAGGACTATTCTAATTGACACAAATTTCCTGAGGGCCACCGATGATATCGGTTCATTCAGCTGCCCGATGTGAGATATTCATCTCAGGCGCGTTCCTTGTTCGTCAGTTGTATTCAGATTTTTCGCTATAGAAGAATAAATTAGACCACGTGAGATATTCAAAGAACCAGTCAACCCGCGGTAATTCGTCGCTATAAGAAGAGGCTGATTTTATTCACGGGCGCCAGAATACTGCACACCGTATGGACATGCATGGATTGTGTGGGTTTTAATGCATCTGTACAGTCGCGCGGAATACGAGTTGAGACATGCTTACCGTGGTGAAAACTGCGTCAACACTGCATGGTTACGCCGGCGTAGAAGATCATCGGTAACGTGTGACAATTCGAGCATGCGCACCGGCATGCAATCTCAAACGCCACGCTTTAACTGCGTCGTCGATGAATCAATCGTCTTTACCGGCGCTAGTGTGTGTTGCCGATTGCAAACAGCTGCCCTGCCCTGCCTCGCCTAAAAAAGTATTTAAGATCTCTGGGGACCTTAGCCCAGCCAACGGTGAGCACCTTTGCGGGAGTGAATGCGCCAGAGACATTAGCCACGTTTTTTTAAGGATCTACGTATTTTCCTCGGTAGCCTGAAATATTTATGTTACTTAACCATTTGTGAGTTATCTAACTAGTGGGGAAATGTTGCCGCCGCCATCTAGAAATTTTCTGTGAAGGTGGCTACTACCTAACCATATTAGCTTTTTTTTTAAATCTGTATTGCTTGAAAAACACGCAGTATATATTTATTCACAGTTCTTCACGACCATATGTCTATCATCTGCACACAAGCAACAGTTTCACGCAAATCTCACCTGCCACGTCACGTTGACCATCCCGTCCGTCATTTCCTTATGGCTAAAGTTGATAGGTGATGACAGCGGTGCTGAAATAAAACACAAGAAAAAGCGCTGTGAGGTACAACTAATCATGCAACATAATTCACGTGATTTCTCGAGCAGTATTCTTTTTCTTTTTCAGTCTCCATTCCAACCTCCCGCTCCTTCATACGATCTATACCCCGAGATACAGGCAACAAATGGATATGCATTGTACAATGACTTAGCGGACTTGGATCACATGTTGTGTCGGTGCTACTTGGTGATGAAGCAACACTTCTTCAAGTTGTGATGCCGTTCTACGCAGCCCCATCGTTGATGCACACTTTCGGACTGTCCAACGGGCTAGTGGCACGGCGGATAGGCTCGATCTTAAGACACTGTTGCACTCCGACTGTCCTTAAGTGCGTGCGCAAAGCCTTTACTTTTCGGGACGTCTAGCCGGCGATGCTACGCCAGGTGCAAATTGAGATGCCCTACAGTCAAACTGCCTCCAGTGCGACGACGTCATCGCATCTGGAGAATCGCATGTGGAGTGATGCGAAGACTGCTCCACGCCGCTTGTCGGGAGCTGACATAATCTATATAAATCTACGAAATGAAGGCTGAATAAGGAGCGAAGCAGTTTGCATTGGATCAAGTGGTGGTGGTTATGGTGGTGTTGCGTAGTTAAGGTTAGCCTGGCCTTCTATTCTGTTCCGCTTTCTATCCTTTTATTTTGTTCTTGTTAACCTTTTGTTCTGTAATATGCTTTGATTGATCAGCGTTTAAATGTTAGTGTTTTTCCGGTGCTGTGGCCTTTTATTTTGTTCGGGGTAACAGCCTTTTCATAACCTTTGTCGTGGTTCACAATTGTTTTAGTTTCTACATATACTGTGTATGGCGGGTGGTGGTTTATAGGCGGGGACACATTAAAGGTGCTCTAAAGGTGCCTCAACCCTAAAACACCCAGTGAAACAGGTTCCTTTACAAGTGAGTCCAGCGCTGCCGTGGCCACCCGGTCCGACATGCAGAAAAACCAATGCGGATCTGGGCAACGCACGCACACGCCAAGAGCCGTCGGCACCGTCAGTGGTCAGAAGCCACCGCACTATTCAGGGCTAGGTATTCCGGAAATGACGTAGCCGTGGCAAGTGCGCACACACACACATACACACGCCTTACGTCGCAGTTCATTAGCAGTTTTACCAATGTAGGAATGACCATCTCTGTCGAAAACGCCCCTATATGACCACAATTAGATTCCTATACATTCATTCAATCAAAAACAAAATTGTGAGAGAATTTTTTTCTTTTTTTTAATTAACACAGTCTTGTGGGCATTAGAGTAAAGGTGAAGTAATCCGGCATATTTTGTGCCAGTATTAACAAGATAATGTTAAAGAGCTGGTTTTGCAAAAAAAAATGTCGGTGTCTGCGTCGATGTTAGTTGTGAGAGAGAGGCCACTAGCTTCTCTGTGACCAAAAAAAATGAGAAAGATATAAATAAAATCAATGATAAAGGTTTTCGCCTGTGTGGGGATTGAATCTAGGATGACTGCGAGCGAACCAGGTGATTTACCTCAAAGGGGCGCAAGTGCCTCAAACTGCTTCAAAAAGAAACAAAAGTATATACCAATGTCATTTAGGGCAAAGAAAGAGTCTGCTTAACGCGTGTGATACTGCTTCGCAGAAGTACAGGATCGCGTCAAGCGTCAAAACACGTGAATTGCGCTAAGAATGAGTGCTAAATGAGCCTTGAAACATTTTTTCACGCAGCTTCGGAAATGGATTCAATAAACGAGCTTATTGCCTGAAGAATCACCGCCATAAATGTTTCTAGAATTCATTCTGTACGAATGGAGTTACGAAGATTTGTCGCGTACTGCTATTGCAATATCTTCTTTTTTCGTCCAGATGAAAATGTTGAAAGCTAAGCAGGAAGGGATGCATGGGGGAAGAAGATAAGTCACTCTTGCCTCGTAACGTCGAGCTATCTCTCTCTCTCTCTCTCTCTCTCTCTCTCTTTCGGATGCGCGTCTTCCCAGTGCGTGCACGCGTGGACAACTTGCGCCATCCCGCGGCAGCCCAAGTAACGACCGACCGCGCTATGCACAAATGAGCCAATGTTTCATACTTGGCGTAGCACTTGGTGATTTCAGTGCCTATAGCGTCATTTCTTTAAATGCATTTAACAATGCACTTGACACTGAACAACTGTACTTGCATCAGGGATACTTTTAAATAGCTGTACACGCGCAGTCGTTCGTTTCCTTACGGCACTCTTGGAGCGTGCACACAGAGCAGAAGCCAAACTATCAGCTAAGAAGATGATCTCCAACGGGCCCCAATACGTTATCGCGTTCTACCTTTATTCGCGAATCTCTTGTACCCTCGAGGTTGTTTTTGCACAGCCAGTAACTTTTACGCTCAAAGGACGAAATATGTAAGGTGCTTCTTTCTGCCTCCCAGAGGTAATCTTCCAGTGTTAGGTTGATCTTGTTTTTTTTATGAATTAGAATCACTTTGACACTGCGTACAACAGGACACTTTTGCATCATACGGTTTCAACAAGCAGTATTTTACGCAACGTAGTAAGAAAGTACTTGGCCGTGCTCACCACCGCACTGAGTCCTGACCGTAGCAGTCGGAGCGGTTTGCGAGTGGACGTGGCCGCTGACGTCATGCACTAACACCTGAACCCTGTACTCCGTGTTTGCCTTCAAGTCAGTGATGTCGGCTAACAGAGTGCCATTTTCAGGGTCCGGAATTATATCGGTCTGGTTCCAACTGTTGGCCGCACGCTCCTGCGAAGAGAAGGAAAACACGTGACAAATACTATTTGATGAATTGCGAACGAACAAGGTTAGGCAAATCCTGGAGACGTGCCTCGTGCAGACGTATGAAAAAAACAGTACTGCGCGTACGGCAAGCATTACACATCGGTGAAACAAGTATTTCTGGGCGTACCAATACTTTCAGCAGAAGTTTACCTCCTGTGCTTGAACTAAGCAATTGCCTTCCCGATAACTTACATGAGATTCGCCCGTGAAATATTCTAAGATGAAGCGTCCACCACTTGTGCCTTGCATTGTGCACTACTGCTGACATGTTCTGCCCTGATAGAGACGGTTGCGGGGTGCACTTTTCTTTTAACTTCCTCTTATTCTCTCAGAACAATCAATCGCACGCTGGGAGGGTGATGAAAAGGGGTTTAGAAGATGCGTCCCGTAGTGAATGCGCATCATGACATTGAACACTTTTATTTTCTCCCAACGCCCGATGTACATTCATCGAGACAGCTAGCGTGGGCACGTGAGGCGTTCCATGGCGGCCGCGGTAACTGGCCGATTCGAGCCAAGGCCTCTAAAATGGCGGGCTCGCGGCGGTGCTGCTCCGGGCGTCCCGTTCGTTTAGCGGCCGTTATTCGCTGTCCTGGCTACTGGCAGCGCTAATTGGCGCTCCCACGTTTAATGCACGTATTTACCCCACAAAGTGAACGGGGAGATAGCCGTCACGATAACTTAGTTGGTAGAGCATACAGGACACCTTATTCGAAGGTCGCAGGTTCGGTTCCTGCCCACAGCAAGTTATCTCGTCGTCCAACTTCGTTTCATCACATCACATAATAATTACGTCTAATAACATGCCCTTTACTTTCTTGGCATGATTTTCTCTTAGATCTCATTATTATTGTGCCTAAAAAAGAAAACAGGTCCTTAAAACGTACGCTTCTTTCCTTTTTATTGAAAAAAGTCACAGCTTTGCCAGAAAGCCGAAGCAATGAACGCGATAGAAACAAATTGGAAGGTCACGCGCAGAATGGCAAGCAGATCGAAACGTGCCCCGCATTTCTCACGCCGAAATGACGCATAAAAGCTACCCACAGGTACAGATTTACGCGAATAGTCGTCTCACTTGATACTTCGCTGTGTCTAAAAAGCGCGCCCTTTTCGCTAACGAAGGCTCTGCAGCGATTCCAGTGACATTTGTGCGCCAGGTAACTAAGATGGAATCTTCCCACGAAACCCAAAGGCTAGCGAAGACGCGCGATTCTCTCCATTGAAAGATAAGGGTGCGCGATCGAGTGTACACCCCCGTATTCTCTACGCGGGCCATAGTACGCGTAAGACTTGAGAGCCGCCGGGCGCCCACTGCGCCATCTTGCTGATAATGCTGAACACACGATAGTTCACCTCGCCCCCCCCCCCCCCGAGCTGTCATTCAACAAAAACACGTGTGTTGGATGTTTTCCCCTAGGACCGCGAAGCCGCTTCTTGATTACAGCTCTGGGCACTCTCGCCTAGTAAAAAATGGCATTGCCATGACGTGCCTAAAAACGGCGTTGGACAGATCATGCCCACATCTTATGGACAGGACAGGACAAACAACTTTATTTGGTCCTGAGAGGCAAGGCGGCGGGCCAACTATGTAGGTCCCCACCCAGCCGTTGGCTAGTCCCATGTCGGAACAGAGAGGCCATGCCTCTCCGCTCGTTCACGGGCCCTCTGGACAGCCTGAAGCTGGACGTCTTGTCTGGGGTCTGTGATTGCCGTCGTCCAGTCTTCTTCTGTTTTAAAATCCTGTAACGCAGGGCACTGCCAGAGCATGTGACTCAAAGAGCAAAATTCACCACAATCTGGGCAAAGTGGATCAATATCCGGATGAAGCATGCTCAGAAAGCCCCTAGAGGGGTAAGACCCCGTCTGGAGCATGCGGAGCGTGCTTGCTTGTGATCTGTGGAGCTTATGATGGGGAAAAGGAAAAGTCTGTCGCTCTCCTCTGTAATGAGATGTTATCTCGTGAAAAGTAACGAGAGGATCACTGTGGACGAGCTCTCCCGAACCCACCCGAGAGACCACCCCGTCGCGGCTTGTGAAACCTCGCGCACAGTCGTGGGCTATCTCGTTTGGGTTCAGGTGACCCGGCAGTACGTCTGGTCCCATGTGAGCGGGAAACCAGACTATGTGATGAATAACGTCTGAGGGGGGTTTGCTGTGGAGAACACATCTTATGGAGACAAGTTTTTTCGCGCAGGTAGAAAGACTAAGAGACGCGGCGTTTCCTGATAGTGTCTTAGCTGCTGCTTGCGAAAAAATAAAAAAGTCCATTAAGCAACGGCCTGGGACAGGCCTAGACACGAATGTCCCGCAGGGAAGAAAAAGAGTGTCAAAAATCCCGTATATCCACTGGCTTTCGCACGGCCTTAAGAGAGTGGCTTCGAGGTATGGGGTGGATCTCGTGTTCTCCGCAGAAAACAAGGTGGGCCGCATCTGCTCAGCGGTTGGTAAGAAGACAGGTAGGCCAAAGCAGTGTGAAAAAAGAGGATGTGCCATTAAGCACGTAAGACAGTTCGTTCCTTGCGCACGTGGTGTTGTATATAGAATACCACTGTCGTGCGGCAAGGCATACATAGGGCAAACTGGTAGATGCCTCAACGTGCGGTTGCGAGAGCACAGCAGCTCTTTAATAGGAAGGCCGTTCACGCATCTGGCGATGCATTGCAGAGGATGCGGTCAGGGTAACTGTAAGCCGGTATTTGAGCAGACAACTGTAATCTACAGGCACAGGGGCTCAGCGGAGAGGGAGATTATAGAAGCCCTCTTTATCCAGAGGGAGGGGCCTGAATGCATCAGCCACCCCTCTATCAGTCTGCAGGAAGGGGAGATAGCCTATCTGCAACGTTACTTATAGGCATGCTGAGCACGTAGTTTTAGTTTTTGGTCGATTCGTTGGGTTAAATTTGATGTCACTGCGGTATAAATGGTGTTTCCTGAATAAAATATTCCAGTTGCTAGTAGCGCGTCGTCCCGTGTACTTCTTCTCTGTTGTGTGTCGTTTTTTCGCGCCCCTTATCATCATGAGATATGAATAGTTTGCCGTTTGAACGTTGAAGGAGGCTCCTTTCGGTGGTTCACCGGTTAACGCCTCGCATTCAGGACGCCGAGGTCCCACGTTTGATTCCGCGTGCCGGAGTTTCTAGTTTTATTCTCAGAGATTTTTTTTTCTTTCTTGCGTTGTTATATCTATATATACATATATACATATATATATATATATATATATATATATATATATATATATATATATATATATATATATAAAATAAGCGAAAGAAGTGTATAAGGGCTCGTTTTTCCGTGGTTTAACACAACACAATATTAATGAAATCTAACAGACAGTAGTGCCAAGGAATGTACAGGGGAAGTTATTAGAACCAATGGAACGTAAATAAGAAGAAAGAAGAAAGAATAGTGGATGAAAAAATAACCAGCCGTGAGCAGAAACTGAACCTACGACCTTCGAATAACGCGTTCGATGCTCCAACCACTGAGCTACCACAGCGGCCTTCCCTCCATCCACTTTTTTGGGTTTGTATGTGAATTTAGAAGTAGGAGTGACAGTCAGCGCCATCTATAAGCCAAGCGACGAGTGTGAAAGCCCCCTTTTATGCGCATGTTTGGCGTCACGTAGCACGTGAACGTATTATGAGCGGGCAGCTGATTAATAGTCCCCCATATATATATATATATATATATATATATATATATATATATATATATATAGTGCATGACATCGACGCTGACGTCACCGGCGAAATCCAGCTTAGAGTGTTCTTATAATTGCTACCGCAATAAAAATAAAAGGAAGGAAGTTCCACAGGGGAAGCGGGGAAGAGAAGATCGCTGCGCCGCAACGCAGTGATCTTTTCCTTCCTCCCTGTTTTGCCGACGACATCGTGCCGCACGAAGCGGTATACGCACTTGGAGAAATGGACATTTGACATCGTGCGCGTGGTGACTGGAAGCATGATATGCTGTCATGCATTCTTAATCGGGCCTTACACAGTGAGTGTTGTTCGCTGTTGCATATTCTGATCCCGATGAAACCAAGGAGCAAGCTTAGGAGGCTTTGCGGCGCTTTCATATGCCATGACCCATACGCTTTGCCGAGTACGACCTTGCCGCGCTTGTCGCTGTTTATTTCGGTGCTCGTTTCTCCCACGATCGCCTGTACCGACGCGTACCGATACAGGCGGCCGTGCTTCTCCTTTTATTGCAATTTAGACACTCTCCGCTGCTTTTGAAGACGATAGTCTTTCTTGGTTTACTTCGATAGAAAAGTTTGGTCTGTCTGTCTGTACATTTGTCTGTTTGACCACCCTTAACGTTACCCCAAATGTCCTCGAACGATACCCCAAACGGACAACCCTATACGCAGCGCCCTGCAATATTGCTCAAGTTTCAGTGTTCATAATTGTGCGACTTTCAAATAAAAAGGAATTGTTGTGCATATCTGAGGCGCCATAACAACACGTCAATATTTCGTATGTGTTTCTTTGTACTAGAGAAGGCACACATAAGTAATTCGAAGGGCCGTAGCGTTTATCACGCAGCGCTGACAGTGCAACGCGATGCTCAAAAAGGCAAGTGTGTCCAACACTTTGCTAAGGCGACATGGTGGTGGCACCTGCCCGCCGCCTTGCGTTCTACACAATATCGCTTCCGAGATCGGCGCACACGCCTTCCTTCGTTTTCGAAGATAAGTGCCATATAGCACTCGCGTCTAACGTGCCTCGATACGCTCGTTCGCCTTCGCTGCACAGATCAAGGCACTGTAACTCAGCGTCTCCAGAATACAATTAACCTATTCGCTCGCGCAGAACATCAACTAAACGTTTTGTTCACTCTCCAGAGGCAATACTATCGTCTTTCGACGATATTTGCAGTGAAACATGAAGATACGGGGACAATTTTCGCCATCGCCATTATGCTCTGGATATGTATATGTATATGAAGCGCGTGATGTTAACAGCTGATCTACGAAAGTGCATTTTTTGGGCATATATCAACGGCGAGCTATTTATATTCGTTACTTACCGCCGGCGGTACGCAGATTTCTGGGGGTAATATCAGCATGTCCTCGCGTTTCTGGCTATATGGTGCGATGGGTGCGCCTCACTTCAATAACCATGTCCTTTGCCCCATACAGTGCGAGGTCGTCCTTGCGCGTGCGCTCATCTCGCGGTGGCGGAGAGTTTTACAGGCGCCCCCAAAATAATTTGGAACGCCGGGCACGCCGGCGCTTGCTTGCGGAGCGTGCCCACGGAAATGTAGTCCAATGCTCGGCGCTAACATGGTCTCCCCAGAAAGCAAGCATTACTGCCGAGTCTACGTAGATTTGTTTTGCATTGCTACAACACGGTAGCGCACTTCACGCTTTGATAAAAGGGGGCTGGGTGGTCAATGTCTGTGACGTGCTGTGCGTGTACATGTGTCGCATTGAAGCATAAGCGTTCGTGCGTGCAAGAGTTTTCGTGTGCTTTGGTGTCTCCTTCTCTTCCTTAGTTAGGTGGGGCCGTATTTATCATTTCATCAGTATATTAACTAGAAGTAACGGGGAATAGGTCTGGCGAAATGTGGTGTTTTTATCGGACAGAACCATGATCGTATCGGCGAAACGAAGTTGCGTTTCGATTCTCTGTTTTGTATGGAGAAATAAACCAACTGTTGTTCCTGTTGGAAATAAGTATCAACTATGATCCCATTTATTTCGCATTTATCTTAGACTATCGTTGAGCTGCGATGAATGCTACTTCTAAGCGAAAGATAATGAATGAATGCGGCAACGAACGATGACATGCGATCGACATCTAATAATACTCGTTGAAAAGCACCAAGATTCTGTAATTGATTCGTGCACAACTATATGCGAATCAGGAAACGTGGTACGCGAATAAAACTCAGGAATCGTGCGGAGGTTATCAGAGTATGCACGCAACCAGACCCTCTGCATGAAATTTCCTTTGACAAACAAGACACCTCATTTAATTTTGTAAAATGATTTATTGGCACTATCAAAAACACACAGCTTAAAGAGAGTGGTCATGTAATAATACACTTTGTTCTAAAAAACAAGCATGTAGAAACACGGACCGAGAGATAACCAAATCAAGAACTATAGTACTTTCCGAAAAAGATTCATGAGATTGAAAGAAGGCAGTGATGCCACTGTAGTTATGTCACCATTTTCACACGGAGTTTCCAAGAATGGGTACAGATAATTGCTGTGACACCTCTCAAGAAATGCTCCACCACGGTGGTCTAGCGGCTAAGGCACTCCGCTGCTGATCCCCATGTCGCGGGTTGAATCCCGGCTGCGGCAGCTGCATCTTCGATGGAGGCGGAAATGTTGTAGGCCCATGTGGTCAGATTAGAATGCGCGTTAAAGTACCTCAGGTGGTCGAATTTCCGGAGCCCTTCACTACGGCGTCTCTCATACTCAAAAGGTGGTTTTGGGACGTTAAACCCCACTTATCAATCAATCAGTCGTTCGATAAATGACCTCAAGAAATTGAGAAAGGATGCCTATGAATAGTACACCGTTATATCACTGGCACAAGCACGGGGTGTGGCTGTGTAGCCTAGCGCAGCAGGTTGCGGAGCGCGGGTTCGCTTGTTCGAATCCCCGATAAGAGGCTTTATAATTTTTTTCTACTGATTTATTTTTCATTATGCCTTCTTTACATATATAAATACATATGCATACCCGGCGCATGAAGGTGACGGCCAAAATCAGTTGAGAGGGTCCATATAATTGCTATCGCAATGAAATAACTGTACATTCAAAGCCGTGTATACTGCGCTGTAATAATTGACTCGATGTTCTCGGGAGCCTCGACGACCGATCGGCAGCCTTTTCTGAACATGCTCGAAAAGTGTTGCGGGGCCGCTTTAAAATAAAAACGGTGCGAGAAAGGACTTCATAAAGAGGTATTGCTTTTTGTCTGAATATTGCGTGTGTTATCGAATCGTGCGCTCGTATAGGATGGTCGATATGCTGAGGCATGGCATTTTCAAAGTAAGGATGCGAAAGGCCGGACGTCTGACCCTTGAAGCAAAACTTGATTTTCGAGACGCACGCTACAGGCTACGACGCAACGCAATTGCTGCAATGGCTGTCTCTGGGAGATGCAGCCGAATAAAGCGGGAATTTCAGACTGTTTCCGCCTGTGTGTCGCTATTCATACACGAAAGCTTAAACGTCTGCTGGACTACCCTTTGAAAAATAAATTGGGGGATGTAGGGGGGGACTCGACTAGGACAACAAGTTTCATAAGGGCTGAAAAGAAAAGACTCGAAATAATGTGATGACGTGCATCTCCCAATGGTCCCTGGCTTTCTGGTAGCGAAAACTAGAAGCGAACAATTCCTTGAATGCATGCAGCATATCATGTGCCCTCGACTGCCATGATTCTCACGAAACTTCTTGTCCCTTACTCTGCTCCTTAAGCTATTTCACACGGTGGATCAAATTGTGAATCGAGCCTGTGGATGGCGTTCTACGTTACTATACGTCAGCCGTTCCAACGTTGCCACTTCGGCCCATGCGCAACCGATTCGTGAAAAGACGGACGCCGAAATCACTTTTGTTATCCTCGGGGAGCAATGCCGAAATTCGCGTTTGTAGCGTTATTCCTCCCCGGTCCTGTGAATGCTGCCTGCGGAGAGATCTGAATTACGTCACATGCCACGTGACTGATCCGTCCGCAATCACGTCCGTCGTGTGAATACAGCTTTCATGAATAACGGGGCATGTACAACTAAGTAAAAGCACGCCCCCCCTCCCCCTCCTGAGGTTATCAGGTGGGGCTGGCACTTTCCATGCGCGTGCCCATGATTTCAAAAGGTAACGTCTCCTCATATTCCAAACTAGAGGCTGTTGCGCCGTCTTCAAGGTTTATAGACATCCCTAAAAGAATCTGGCACAAGGACGTCCGTGAGGTCATACTTACCTTGAATCGTACGATGTAGCCGTTAGGCTCTCCGACACCCTTGTCTCCTCTCTCTGGCGACCAGGCTTCCCAATTCACACTGATGCTTTTATCATCGATCACGTTGACATAGAATGATTTCAATACGGGATACGCTGAAACGACAGCATTCGTAAAGCATGTCAAAGACTGGGCACGCACTCCTTCCAGCGGCGCTATAAGGTTTCCCGTGGATAAGTTTGGAATGTTAATTACAACGGGCATATTATCCATATTTGAGCATGGCTACTAGGATACACATGACATTGCCAAACGCAACCGCACTTTTTTAGTGGTTCTTAGCCGGCAAACTGTATGAACTAATCGCATCACTCTCTCGTCATATGGCTTAACAGTTAGCTGCTGTGTGGGGCACAGGGTGTCTCAAGAGAGCGTTATGTAATCATTTTTTTTTTTAGCGGTAACTATCGTCAATACTTTTGCTAAGTAGCACTTCATGGCCCTGGTTTGCTGTCAATCGACTGTCTCATGTCACATGGTCAAGCGGTTCTGAATAAAGGCCGGAAACAAGGCTTACAATATTACAGGTTCAAAATAATTTACAACAATGTCTAAGGTATTATACACTCCTGAAATAGCCAAGAATTAATTGACATAATTGGCCTGAAATTGCGAGAACTTGGTTATAAAAGATCTGGCTAATATACACGCCACGCCAGAGAAGACGCCACTACCTCGGCCATCACGCCATTGCCGAAGAAATTGTGGGATTGCCTGCGCTGCACACACCTTATGGTTTCGTGTTATTAGAGCTGCACTAAGCGCTAGATTTCTAATTGCAGAGATACCTATACAAGCACAAGATTATCGCAGGATTCAGCGCAGGACCCAAATTACTTAACGCCCTACACAAAAACTATATTTGCGCTACAGAACCGAAATATTAGCGCTATATTGGAGCAGTATTATCGCTAGGTAAAGCGCTAGACGAAGAGTTTTTTGTGTTTTTTTTTCTTTCTTCTAGGACAAAGTGCCGTAGCTGCCGCGTATCCACACATTTGAACTACTACTACGCACGTTTATACCAAATCGAGCATTGTTATTTGGCTGTTTTCTCAACTAAAATAATAATTAGGGAGAGTGGTTCATGCCCCGAACTACAATGTGATTGTGAGAGACGCTGTAACGAGAGGCACCAGAAATATCGTCCACCTGGGGTTCTTTAACATAGGCTTCACTCTAAGCAAAAAGAGGGAAAGCGTATTCGCTGGCACAGAAAATGCGGCTACCGCAGTCCTGATTCGATCCCGCGACCGTTACACCAACAGTCGAGCGCCATGACCACTACCCCGCCTTGGCGGGTGTCTACCTATAATCCGCCTTGTGCATTCGCAAATCGTTTAATCTAAAGATTACCTTTGTCACTCTGTGTTTGACGCTTCAATGCTGTTAAAGAACTTTAAGCGCATTAAACTTTTCTTTTTCATCAACAGGCTGTGGATTCACGTGACCAAGAACAAGGAGTTGACCGGATGCATTGCATCGAGACTGCCCTAAGGTTTGGCAGTTACTGTTGTAGGCTCAAGCATAGTACATTCAGATTTTCTTACGTGCTTACGTTTAAGGTTACAAGGGTAATACGAGCAACACTTTTCCAGGCTAATATTGAATTACTTCCCTATTGTAGCCTATTGACTCAAGAATAGATTGCCACTAATTCTCTAGTATTGGACAAATCTCTGGCTATTCGAAGGACGCAGGTTAGATCCCTGCTTACGGCAAGTTGTCTTTTCATGCATTTTGATTTCTCCCCATTTACATTACATTTAGCTCATATAACATTCCCTATACTTTTTTCGGCATGGTAGTCTGTTCTAAATAATATTGTGTCTAACAATGAAAAACTTTTCGGCATGGTAGTCTGTTCTAAATAATATTGTGTCTAACAATGAAAAACGAGTCCGTAAGTGTACACTTCTTTCGTTCACGCATAGCGGGGGTCTTGTTCTAACAGACTTGGTGCCTTCAGGTAGTATACCAGGGATCATTGGTCTGCTGACAGTTCGTAATAATATCATGTGCTACGTGACGACAAACAGGCAGAAAAAAAATGTAGTTCGATACTCGTCGTCCTGGCTACAGGTGGCGCTGACTGACGCCCCAACGATTAATTTCCATATATGCCCAATAAAGCTGAGAGGCAAAACCGCCATGGTAGCTCAGTTTCGTAGAGCATCGGACGCGTTATTCAAAGGCCGCAGGTTCGGTCTCTGCCTGGGGCAAGTTATCTTTTCATCCAGCTTTCTTTCTTCACGTTTATATTACAATTACCTCATATAACATTTCCTATACTTTCCTTGACATGATTGTCGGTTGGATATCAATAATATTAAGGCTAACAAAGAAGAACGAGTCCTTAAGTGTACACAACTTTCCTTCATATGTTAAAGAGACTACTCCCTCTATATGACAGTACCACAGCGGTTTTTTTTTTTTAATCGAACAAGTTTTATGCAATGAAGTGGCTTTGTGGTAAAACACCTGCTAGAAAAGGTAAACGTATGCGTTCAATCCCAACGCGAATTCAAGGTCTGTAACTTTTTTTTTGCACCTGTCTCGATTTTTGTGCTGATGGTTAACGGCTATTTCTCGCTCACGGCTATTGAAGCCGACACTGACGCTGACGTCACAATTCCTGCGCTGCGAGCCATTTAACGCTACTGCATAATTAATAAACTCTTTGTCCAGTGCTGCGCTGTAATGTTTGGCTCGCGGGTTCACCGCAGCCTCGATTATCAATCGGCAGCGTTTTCTGAGCATGTTAAAAAGAAAGTGTCGCAGGGCCATTTTAAGGTAGAGAAAAATAAAAAAAAAAACGGGAACAAAATTCGAGGGAATCACGCAAATGCGGAACACTCGTGTTTCGCATTCGAGCCTAATTTTCGTTTGTCGTGTCAAAATGTGCATTCATGATGTCCGCCTTGGCTTTAACATCGGCTGGCCCTCTTACTGGACGGCAAAGTCAAGCTACGTCACGTGTTTAATTCTCAGTGCAGTTTCGCGACGTGTTTTTTTTTGTTGTTGTTTTGAGTAATTTACAATCACCCTATTTTTATTTTGCTGCGTTATATCACTCGTACCACGCTTAGATATTACTGTTTCTAAATAGACTTGAATCAACTTACCTTGTTCGCAAAACGGTGGGTCTCTGTAGCCTTCTTCGCAAATCTTGGTGGTACACACTCCCCACTGCGGGTGGCAACCGGTGCCATTTTGGCAGTGACATAACCGTATCTGCTTGCAGTCGGCACCGTAGGTTCCTGCTGCACACACTAAATGCGCGGGATTTCATTTTTTAGTGCTACAAACAAGAAAAATATCAGCATTGCATGCACAAGATGACAATGACCAAATATGGTTAACCCTAGAAAGCCCAAACAAATGCCGAGCACAATTAAAAAAAAAGGGGGGGGGGGGAAGAAATGTCTTATTGCTGTTCTTGTCGTTTTCTGTTGTTGTTGTTTGTCCTGAAGGGCCGATTCACGACAACAACGTCTTTATTTCAGAAAGGTAAAGAGAGAGAGAGAGAGAGAGAGATAAAGATGCAATGAAAGGCAGGGAGGTTAACCAGACACACATCCGGTTTGCTACCCTGCACTGGGGAAGAGATAATGGGGAGAAAAGAGGTCGCAGAGAGATGAGAAGGTACACACAATCACGAGCACACTCGGGGAGCACACACAGTCTACAGGCGGTCGCTCAGGTTTGTTGACCTTAGGTAAATTAGCAGTGGTATAGTTGCTTTCTGCGCAACTGAGGCAGATGCCCAAGGTCCTAGTATCTTCTGCACACGAAATGGTCCGGGGTCAAGTTGATTCAAAACCATCCGGAGCTGGCATCGCTGTGTGTCGTAGCAAGCGCAGCTGCACAGGACGTGTTCGATGGTCTCTTCAGCTCCGCAGTATTCGCATGTAGGAGTGTCTGCCATACCAATGCGAAAGGAGTACACCTTTGTAAATGCAACACCCAACCAAAGGCGGCATAACAGTGTCGCATCGGAGCGGGAAAGTTGTGGTGGTAGCTTTAGCTTGAGCGAAGGATCCAGTTCATGAAATTGACACCTTTGGAAGCTGGTACACGACCAGAACGTGCGTGTGAGATCTCGAGCCAGCAGGTAAAGTTGTCTTGCTGCATCATTCCTTGATAGAGGTATCGGGACTACACGGGTTCCCTCATGGGCTGAGCGGGCTGCATCATCGGCTAATTGATTTCCGGTAATACCGATATGTCCAGGCAGCCATTGATATATAATATCATGCCCTCGTGCTAGAGCTTCATGATGGCAACGTCTTATTTCTTGTACGAATTGGTCATGACTACGCATGGCAGACTGCAAACTCTGAAGCGCTGCCCTCGAATCGCAGAATATGACCCATTTTCCTGGACGTTCTTGAACGAGATATTGTAAAGCAGCTCTTATAGCAGCAAGCTCTGATGCCGTAGATGTAGTCATATGCGACAACTTAAACTTGATTGTCATTGCTGCAGCCGGAATTACAGCGGCACCTGATGAGCTGCTGGACGAGACGGACCCATCAGTGTATATCTGCGTTCGGTCTAAGTACAACTCATGTAATAATAGCAGTGTTGCTTGTTTCAATGCAACTCTGGAGTGATTGCTTTTCTTTTTTATTCCCGGAATTTCTAGACGTACTTGCGGCTGGTCGAGGCACCACAAAGGACATGCCATTCTCGCAGCTGGCGTATATCCTGATGGAATGCTGTTTAGGTGCTTGGCTATTACGTCTGAAAACATAGCACGTGGTCTTCTGGGGGGTAGAAGGGTCAAGTGGTGGTCGGAGACACGGCTAGCATGTCGAATGTGCGCTCTGAGGCAATCCACAACTCTATATGTCCTGACCGGATGGTCTTTGGCAAGCATGATTGTGGCATAAGTAGAAGCGCATCGGGGCAGCCCTAGGCAGATACGCAATGCCTGACCCTGCAAACTCTCCAATGACTGAGTATTGGATTTGCAAGTGTTAGTCAGTACCGGCAAGCTGTAGCGCAATAGACCCAGAAATAGGGCCCTGTACAGCTGTAGCATGGAGGCCACAGAAGTTCCCCATGCTTTCCCGCACATTAATTTCATTATATGCACAATAGATAGCAGTTTCTTCTTCAAGTACGCACAATGTGGGATCCACGAAAGACTTCTGTCGATTATTATGCCCAGGAAACGATGCGTCCGTGCATATTTGACACTCTGTCCATTGATGTAAACAGGGTATGGCGTCATTGGTTTGCGTGTGAACGCCATCAACGCGCACTTCACAGTTGATATAGTTAGGCCTTGTTTCTGAAGGTAGGCTGTTGTGAGGGTTGCTGCCCGCTGTATTCGTGCACGCACCTGAGGGCGAGTAACTGCAGCACTCCAGAGGCAAATATCATCGGCGTATATGGATAGGCACACCGACTTTGGCAGAACCTTCACCAGACCAATGAGGGCAACATTGAACAGTGTGGGGCTTAAAACACCTCCCTGAGGTACTCCGCAGTAGGTGTAATGTTCAGCAGTTGTACCCTCACATGTTTGCACAAAGAAACACCTGCCAGTTATATAATCTTTTATCCAATGAAACATTCGTCCACCAATACCCATTGCTGCGAGAGAAGTGAGGATGGCATCGTGAGCTACATTATCATATGCACCCTTCACGTCAAGAAAGAGTGCCACTGATATGCGCTTGCGACTTTTTTCTTGTTCAGTCGATTGAGGAGCGGCCCCGACGAAAGCCTGCCATGCAAGAAGGGTATTTTGTGTATCGTTCCAAGTACCACTCGAGTCGAAATAGAACCATTCTTTCCATCACTTTTCCGAGGCAGCTTGCGAGGGCAATAGGGCGATACGCTGTCAAGTCCAATGGTGATTTTCCCGATTTCAAAAGTGGTATTAATCGACTTATTTTCCATTCTCGGGGAACACTGCCGCTGAGCCAGGAGTTGTTGAAGCATGTTAAGAGTTCTTTTCTGGCTTTTTGTCCAAGGTGTCCCAACGCACTATAAGTAATACCATCAGGACCTGGCGATTACATGCGCTTAGAAGCGACTAAAGCACCTTCCAGTTCTTCTATGGTGAACGGAATATCCATTTCTGGTAATCGCGTCTCAGGAACGATCACGGCGTCGATGCTCTCGTTCATAATATTCCCGGCAACTCTCGTGCAAAATTCTTCAGCCACTTCGAGTTCTGTTTTTCCATGATGGAGTGCCAAAGCTTTGAAAGGGTGCCGTTGTTGCGGAGAGGAGCGAAGACCACGAACTGTTCTCCAGATATATGACAGCGGTTTATGAGGGTCTAGAGATTCGCAGAATGTTTTCCAGCGTTCGCTCTCCAGCTTGTAAATGCGTCGTTGAATCTTTTTCTGGAGCCGCCTTGCTTCCCTCAGATCGTAAATTGATCTTGTGCGTCTGTATCGTCGTTCAGCACGCCTTCGTATAGCTCGTAATCTTTCCAGTTCGATGTCAAACTGTGTTATTTTAGACGAAAATGATATTTTACATTTGGACGCTTGCATAGCTTCCGCTATGGTATTTTCCAGGCTGCAGGCGAGGCCTTCTTGGCAAGCGTCCTCAACACGCGATGTAAACATCGACCAGTCAGTGCCAATTACAACACCGGAAGAGAAATTTTTTATGATACCATCGATCGTCACGTAGGTGGGTACGTGATCACTCCCATGAGTCTCAATATCGCAAAACCATTTAACTTTGTGAGAGAAGCACCGTGACACCAATGTCAGGTCAAGGCAACTGCCATACGTGAGACCCCGCAGATACGTGGGGGTACCATCGTTCATGATGGAAAGATCGTAATCGGAAGCGAATGTGACAATGTTCCGGCCCCTGGCATTCATCCTAGTGCTCCCCCAAAGCATGTGATGGGCGTTGAAGTCACCGGTGATGATCCAAGGCCCATCGGTCCTCATTAGGATGTCTTTTAATCTGTCACAGTCAAATCGCGATGACAGAGATATATATCCACCAGTAAGCGTGAAAGAAACTGCATTCTTCTTTACACGAAGACACACGTACTGATTGTCGTCATTTGAACTTATTGGGTGCGAAAGATAAGTCAAGTCTGTGCGAATGTAAACAATTACTTTGCTTCGTTCTTCGCAAGCGGCAGATACGTGGCCGCTTGCAAGCGGCTGAACAAAAAGCTTCATAACCGGGCAATCTATAAGGCGTTGATACGTTTGGTTCACATATGACAAGTATAGGGAATTGATTGGCCCGGACAAATTGGCGAAAGTCCGAGATACGGGACTTCATGCCTCTGGCATTCCACTGAAAAATCGATGCACATTTAACTTCAGTGCAGAAGATGAGATTTCGTTGAGCCATTGTGCTTATACGAAGTTAGCAAGAACTGGATTCAGTGCATCCAGTATTTGCAGTGCACTCTTAGCAGACGGAGATTGTATGCTGCTCAGTAGCGTGCGAATCGTGGCAATTAAAGATTGCACGATTGCAGTCACTTGCCTGTCTTGGTTGGAAAGATCTCGAACCGGGATCGCGGACTGGCCGTCATGAAACTCCTTCGGTTCGCTTGATGCTGCTTCCCTTCGAAGTGCAGGCCACTTTGTCGCAGTTAGGGTATGCTGACTGGCTTTGTCCTTTACAGCCTTTCCCACGGCATGTGGTCTGGGAGGCAAAGGAGGTGGTACTGAAGAGGGATCTGGCAAGCGTGTCGAGGAGGTAGCGGGCGTCCTTGAAGACCGACGTCGACGTGAACGACGCTTTCAGACTTTAGCTGCGGCTTCTCGATGAGATGAGTGATCGCGCACCATCTCCTTCAAAATGGCAATTTCCTTTTGAATCTGCGGGCAGTCCTTCGATGTGGCTTCATGGGATCCATTGCAACTAGAGCATTTCTTGACATTTGCGACGCACTTATCCGCTTCATGGGGCCCGGCGCAGCGGTGGCATACCACCGAATTCTCACAGACGCTGCTCACATGTCCAAGTTTCATGCATTTACGGCACTGGAGAGGCTTTGGAATGAAAGGCCGCACAGCATGTCTGAAGTACCCCACCTTCACATGAGAGGGGAGTGATGTGCTCTTAAACGCAATCTTCACACAGCGAGACTTGCCTAGCCGGGTGACATCAACAATTGGAGTATCAGTTGTTGACTTGACAAGAAATTGTAAGTCATTAATGGAAATAGCCACATCTATGTCGTAGATCACGCCGAATACTACATCACATCCCAAGGGAACATGAGAGCGCACCTGGTTGCCGTCCAAGTCAGTTACACTGCGCAGAACGCCCAACGCACTTGCGTGCAAAACGTCCACAGCCAGTATATTATTTCTGGCGTTCACTCTTATGTCCGTGATCTCATTTGGCACGAGCGTTTCCAGAGACCTCGACACAGACTGTCTGTTAAGGCGTTTCATGCTGACGGTAGGAAGTGCAAGCAGAAACAGGATGGTATAAGTGTTCGATTTTGGCGCTTCACTTACAGTTTGAATAGTTGAGGATGAGAATGTCCTCATGTTCCTCCTCTTCGCTTTGCGGCTCAGCACAGGTTGGAAACCGTCATCTGAAAAGTCCTCACTGCTGAGGTAGTAAGCATGAGTATCTTCACTGTCGCTGTCACTCGCTTGTCCCATCCGCTTCCTGGAGGCGGCCGCCGCTGACGCCGCTGGTGCCGGCAGGCGCCCGGGGTGGTCTACATCCATCCCCTCCAAGGAAGCAGCGAAAACTGATCAAGAGACTTAAATTACACCTGAAATACGCCGGAGTTAGCAGACGTCTATTATTAGCAATTGCATTGCTCACTTCAAGCAATAACGTAAAACGGCAGTTCGTACGTTCAGAAGCCTTGGGGCCTCTCCCGAAAGGCGATACTCCAAGCGCGGGGCTCCTAGCGATGAGAATGAAGATGAGGGCGTAAGCATTCGCGAGACATGACGACTGCATTTGTTGAACAACCGCTCAGTCTGTGGTTCTTATTTGGTGGTCGACCGTTCGGTGTGGCATGTGGGTCTTATTTGGTAGACAATCGTTACAGTCATTTATTTGGTAGACAACCGCTCAGTCTGTGGTTGCTATTCTGTTGACGACCGTGCAGTGTGTGGTTTTTATTCGATCTTTTAGCCTGTGGCACTTACTTGGTAGACAACCACTCAGTCTGTGGTTCTCATTTGTTGGACAGCAATTAAGTCTGTGGCCCTTATTTGGTAGACAATCGCTCAGTCTGTGAATCTCATTCGTTAGACAATCATAATGTCTTTGGCACTTATTTGGTAGACTATCGCTCAGTCTTTTTTTTTTTTGGTACGCAACCGTTTCGTCTGGTTGGTCCTCATTTGGTAGAAAATCGTTCAGTCTGTGGTTCTTATTTGGTCGAAAACCGTTGAGCCTATGGTCCTCATTTGGTAGACAACACTCACTTTGTGCTTCTTATTTGGTAGACAACCGATCAGTACCTGGTTGATGTTCTGTTGACGACCGTTCAGTTTGATTTATATTTGGTAGACAACCGTTCAGTCTATGGTCCATATATGGTAGACAAGTGCTCAGCCTGTGGTTCAAATTTAGTAGATAGCCATTCATTCTATGGTTCATATTTGGTAGATAACCTTCCAGTCTGTGGCGCTTGGTGGCGCTGTTTGCCATGGCCTTAAGACACTGCTCTTACTGGCCGCGCCGTGCGAAATGGCTGGAACTGGCGGGCTTTCATTACAAAGGATTACCACTAATCCCTCATAATGGGAGGACACCTCCCGAAACCATTCACGACTAAATATTTGTTTCTCAGTTCAAGGCAACACGTACATTCTGCTATTACTTGAAGCACTTCAATTGAAGCACCCAAAAGCAATTGACTCAAAGCATTCCTACTACCACGTTACATAAGCAACTCAAACAATAGACACCAGCAACGCAGGCTGGAAGGTTCCGAAAATTATTGGTCATTCAATGTTTAAAGAAGTTCGAAAAGGGCAAAAAAAGTTTATAAAGGCGATTGAACTGCACCATAGCAACGGGAAGAAGCTGTATCTAAATGTTTGTCTACAAGAAAGAATCTTCCTGAACTTTACATGAAGATCAAAAAGAGTCTCCGGTATTCAGATATGCTCTTTTTAGTTCAAAATTCTAAAACAAAATGCCAAGAGGATAGAAAAAGTATCGCAACTTTCTGCTATATCTGCTCTATCTGATAGCAGAGGCGTAGACAGAGGGTCTCATTTGGCGGGATGAAAAACTCTCCCCCTCCCCGAACATTTTACATTGTGTGTGAGTATATGAGCACGCACATACAAGCACGTGCTTTAACATACGAAAAATATGTGATCATGCCCCCTCCACCCCCTTCCCCCCATGAACTGTTCACAGCAAGACGAGAAAAATTCGATCGACAACTTGAAAGTTAATCCCTGAGGTTTGATCAAGTGAAGATCAAAAGGGTGCTGAATACAATTAAATTGTCTTCATATCTGTTGCTTACGATACCGGTTTTCGTACAACTATCTATTTTAAGTAAAGACCCTATTGAACCTCACAATGAATAACAACTATAGTCAGATACAGCTTTAAAAGTCCGCGGCATTTCTTTCTGAAAGGCACTAAGGTACGATCCTGAACCAGTGGACGTGCACTTTGAACCGACGTCATTTGTCAGACGCCAAGTGACTCCCCCTTTGGAGTACATCACCGCGTTCATGAGCGGAACTACTTTTTTACTAGCAGAGGCGACCGCCTATCGCGCTTCAGTCGTCTGGGCGGAGTCTCTCCGGACATCTTAAGTTGTATAGGACTATAGTTGAGCATGGCAACGAGTTTTCTTTCCTAAGCTGAAGCTTGTCGGGGTGCTTTCAGTATCACAAACGACTGTGGTGGGCACATCATGAAACTCACAAGCAAGCTTTCTATTATACGAAAAGAATATGAAGGAACAGCAGAATGAGCTATAAGGCAGGATATAGGAATTTCATTCGGCTCCCTGTGCGCAAAATGGTATGGTGAATGCAGCGCGATCACATACTATCGGTGCAATCTACTCCTCGGAATCCCGGATAGCAGGAGCAGCCGTACGGATCAGGCAGGCAGAACAGCATGCCCCGACAACGTGGATCACCAAGGGCCAGGGCTGAAAGTTCGGTGCAGTTGTGGGCGCATGTCTGCCCAAAGTGGTACTCGTTGCAAACTGCAAATAAAAAAAGGAGAGAGATGGAGTGATACGGGTACGCCTGATATCTGGTCTTGCATCCTTTTTGCGATGTTCCGAAAATAAACATTACAGTTGTGGCGACGATGAAGCAGCGGTGCATAACTGCTTCACGAACATGCACTACACCTACTACATTGCAACTGTGGAAACTCGGGTGATAGATTGCTCGGCTAAGCTCGAAAGTTCTGGTTGTAGACTCAAACAAGGTAGCCGCATCGTGATTAGGGCGAAGAACAAGAACACACGTGCCCTCGAATGTAAATGCGGGTTCACGAATGTCCAATCATATGGAAAGAGAGGGGCGTACAAAAAAGGTTCAGGAGACCACGACAACAGGCGCCATTAAACTTCTTGACTCACTTCTGGTGGGGTTTTGGTGCACACTATGACTGCTACATCGTAAAAATATTGCATCTTATAGAGCGATGTATTGGCAGCTGTGTATAAAGGGGGTGGCACACCATACCCATGCACCCTCCCCAACCCAAAATGTTTTACCCGTGGTATGCAGAGCAAAAATGACCATTTTTAAGAGGGCTACTCTCAAAATTAAAAAGGTGCCCCCCCCCCCTCTCCCACTCTCCGTTAAAAATTTTTCCTATGCCCCTAGGTGTCGGCACGAAGTGGTCTACCCACCCTTCTCTATGGCAAGAAATTCATCAGATTCTATCACCGCTTTTGATAGGACAATCGCAGCTATGAGCTTAATGACGAAGTACAGCTGCTACGAAGTTGGCACTTTCTCAAGTGTCCTCTGACGCAAGGACGCCCGCCGTCACGGTTTTTCGAGCTGTTGCCAGCAGCTTGCAAAGAAGCGAGCATGGTTTTCCGTGTGACGCAGGGCCCTTAAGAATGGGTGCTTAAGAACTTCGCGCTCTGCTTGTAAATTCTACGTGCATGTACGACGACAAACTTCAACTGAGTTGCTTATAGAAGAGTTTGCTCTTTGTAGAACCTGGTTTAGGTGCGAAGAACCTTAAGGTCTTGACTTGTCTGTGTGTCATGGTGTCGTCATGGTCCATTATGAACGGTTACGCACCGCACAAAAAATTGGGTATGTACCGCTACTCGCCACCCATCCACTAAAAACGAAGAAGGCAACAGTTCACCAAACTTGTGGCTGACGACGTAGTAAAAATTATTTGCACTAATACCAAAAAAATGTTGTTACAATCTGCCTCAATAATTGTTTCTAATTAGCTTTGAATTCTTCTGTAAAGCATGTTCCGTCGTATGTTGCGGTGTATAACACAAAAACAACTTACGGAACAATAGATGTTACTGGTCAATGAAAGACAGCACATATGGAATGTTACGCTAGGCTGCACTCCAGTTTTCCGGTGACGTTAGTGGAGCTTGGGCGCCCTTCCCTACGTGCCCGACCACTAGTACCTCATCCAAGAAATTTATCTCAAAACCATAGAGTAAATTACTTCTGTAAGGACCACCATTATCATAATGATCATCATCATTATCATCATCATTATCAACAACTTCTGTTTCTCATTGCCAATTCTCTTCTCCTGTCTCTCATTACCAATTAACAGAAGTTTTGCTGTGGCAAACACCGGTGCATACAACGTGCTTCACCCCTTCCTAGGCTTGATGTTACCAGAGTTGAAACATCCTTTTCATATACGCTTCGTACCTCCCCGGATTTTTCGCACCATGATCGAAGGTTGGTTCAAGACTCCTTAAAAGGGAGGCTTGCTAGACATTGCTAGGAAGAAAACAAGTTCTCAAAAGAAGAGTATCTTCACTAGCCAATTTATTAGAACCTCTACTTGGGTGGTTCGCGAAATTCCTTAGCAAAACATTGTTACTTTCTCTTCGCCTTGACAATCCTCCCGCAAATTCTTGTGTTCACCAGTGTAAATGATTGATATGTGGGGTTTTAACGTCCTAAAACCACCATATGAATATGAGAGACGCCGTAGCGGAGGGCTCCGGAAATTTCGACAGCCTGAGTTTCTTTACCGTGCACCCAAATGTGAGCACACGGGCCTACAGCATTTTCGCTTCCATCAAAAATGCAGCCGCCGCAGCCGGGATTCAATCCCGCGACATGCGGGTCAGCAGCCGAGTACCTTGGCCACTAGACCACCGCGGCGGGGGGGTCACCGGTATAATTAAATACCTCCCCACAACTTCGGTGTATCGAATGCTCTTCTCTTTGAAAATTTCAACACTATTGATTTAAGCTGTGCCTTTTTATTTGTGGGGAATATATTGAGATTGGTTTCAGCGGTTATCACATCAGCCCGCAATGTCCACATCACGTGCTATACTCACATCCTTCACAGTGTTCCCCTCGAAATCCCGGAGGGCAGACGCAGACTCCGGTGATGTCGTGGCAGACTCCTCCGTTAAAACACGTGGGGCACACGCTTCGGCACCCGTCACCATACTTTCCGTTCGGGCAAGCTGAAAGCAAGTGTGTACTGTGATAGCTGTCTGCTGGGCTCCCCATCAAAAGGGGGAAGTGTCAGTCATCGACGTGACCCCACCCCTCACCCATCAATCCATCTATCTATCTATCTATCTATCTATCTATCTATCTATCTATCTATCTATCTATCTATCTATCTATCTATCTATATATCTATCTATCTATCTATCTATCTATCTATCTATCTACAGGAGTGTTTCACGAATAATACCGTTTTGCCATGATATGAAACAAGTCAGAGCTTTGCCGCAAACGTGAAGCAAGGGTGAACGCGACAGCAAGAAATCGGAGGTTCACGCGAAGAATGGCAAGCAGATCAAAACATGCCACGCGTTTGTCACGCATAAATGACGCATGAAACGTGCTCACAGGTACATATGAACGCGAATAAGCGTCTCATTTGTCACTTCGCTGTGTTTCCAAAGCGCGCCCTTTTCGCAAACGGAGATGGTGCAGTGGGTGCAGTGACCTCTGTGCGCCCGGTAATTAGAACACAATAGTTCCAGTAAAAACCCAAGGTTATGATTCTCCCCTCTTAAGATGAGCGCGCGCACGTGAGCGTCCACAACCCCCTCCCCATACCCCTGGCTCTCCGCGGGGCAAAGCACACAAGAACGCGCCGCCGCTGTGTCGCGGCGATCTGGCAACGCGCGCTCATTGTGTCATCTCGCTGGTAATGCCGAAAACACTGGTAGTTCCCCCGATGTGGTCATCGCCAGCGGTAAGTGGTAGATATAAATAGCTTGCCGTTTCGATGTTGAAGGAGGTGCTCCTTCGTGGCTCAGTGGGTAACGCCTCGCACTCACAAGCAAGAGGTTGGACGTTCTACTCCGCGTGCTGGAATCTTATACTGGATTACTTCTTTTTCTTGCGCTTTGATATCAATAGATATTTACAAATACGGAAAATGACACCGGCGTCAACGGCAAAATCCAGCCGAGAGTGTCCTTATAATTGTCATTGCAATAAAAAAATTTGGCAGATCTCTCGTACTATGAGAATCAATGTTATGCGAATAATGCGCAAGAAAGGTGACTGTGGTATCATTTCATTGAGCAAAGTTTACGAAATGACGCCAGACATACGTACAAATGTTGTACGCACAGACCTATGTTCAACAGGTGCATACGGTTATTGTAACCAGTTATTTACAGTTGCGTAAAAATGCCAATAGCTACATAAATATTACCAACACCAGAAGCGCTACGCTGATATGTAGCACATCGGCTTGCGAGGATGATAGCCCTGCGTTGACCAAATTCAGTGGATGACACTTATCTACAATTAACGTTAACCTGACGTGACGACTATTTTTTAGCGGGCATATTACGTAATATTCATGAAGTTTTATAGCCATTACTTAACACCGCTTGATGTTTCATCAACCTGACACGCGCTTTGGTTCTTTTTCCAAAATAGTTCTGAGACCTGGAGTGGTTCTTCGGCTTAGTGGTCCCACAACTCCTCCGTCTCTCCGTATGTTCCTGAACCAAGATGGCGTCTTATATCGCTACAGCATGCATACTGACGGACCTGAGCTGCTGTTGGTCATACCACAACATATGCGTCAGACTGTCCTTGCACAGTTGCATGATATTCCGACAGCTGGTCACCTGGGAGTTTCAAGAACTGATGACCGCGTTCGACGTCGCTTCTTTTAGCCCGGTATTTACCGATCCGTCTGCCGTTACGTCGCCTCATGCAAATCCTGTCAACACCGCAAAAACCAGCAACCCTTAAAGCGGGACGCCTTCAACCCATTCAGATCCCATCCGAACAATTTTATAGGGTAGGTGTTGACTTACTAGGACCGTTTCCTTTATCGGCGAGCGGAAACAAGTGGATAGCAGTCGCCACGGATTACACCACTCGGTATGCAATCACACGGGCCCTTCCTACCAGTTGTGCAACCGACGACGCTGACTTTCTTCTAGAAGACGTCATATTACACCACGGCGCTCCTCGGCAACTGCTTACCGATCGGGGTCGCTACTTTTTATCACAAGTTATCCAAGACATATTGCACTCTTGCGCTACAAAGCACAAGTTCACAACGGCGTATCATCCTCAAACCAACGGGCTCACGGAGCGGCTAAATAGAACCATCACGGACATGCTCGCCATGTACGTTTCTTCCGACCATCGTGACTGGGACTTCGCCCTTCCATTTGTAACATTTGCCTATAATACGTCTCGGCATGACACTGCAGGTTTCTCGCCATTTTTCCTCCTGTACGGACGAGAACCTACGTTGCCTTTCGACACGCTCCTTCCTGCCGTTGGCCACACGTCAGAATATGCCCGCGATGTGATTTCTAGAGCTCTAGAGGCACGTGAGATTGCTCGCCGGCGTCTGAGCGATTCGCAGGAACGACAACGACAGGTCTACAACGCGTGCCATCGTGATGTCCACTTCAGTCAAGGTGATACAGTCCTTCTCTGGACGCCGTCGCGGCGAGTTGGCCTGTGCGAAAAGCTGACTTCACCGTACTCGGGTCCGTACCGTGTGGTGCGCCAAGTCACCGACGTGACATATGAAATTGAACCTCTTAACGCCACCAGCGCGCGATCGTGTTCTGACGTTGTTCACGTCACTCGGCTGAAACGATTTTACTCAGACCAACCAAGCACCGAGACGGTGCCTTCGCCGCCGGGGGTGATGCTACGGGGCGCCACAAATGAACATTCTAGAAAAGAGGACGATGTTTAGGGCGAGCTCGTGCAGACTGGGCTTCATATTGTATGCCTGCCTGTTTACCAAAAGTAAAGGCATTTTTCAGACGCCTTCTCCCCGTAACAATATTTTTGCCACGCGTACGCTACGTCACCACGCGTACAGTGGTGCCCAACCAGCCAGAGGCCTTGATGCCTTCGAATGCTGTGCCTAATCGCCACCGCTTCGAAGGCACGGCCGAGTGCTGGAAGCATGCACGTAAGCTACTCCAAACGTTACTGAATAACCGCTTCGTAATTCAGAACTGCACCGACACGACAAACGACTGCGAGTGCTACCAGCGTGACACGGTTTCGTGCCGAGTTTCACTGACGCCGACAATTCCAGCGAATGCCGGCCGGCTGTGCTTGCGCCGGTCCTGAGCGCGATCGTAGGCCGAGCGAAAACATCGTGGACTACTGGGGCATGTCGGTGTTCCTGTGCTTCGATCTGTGATTTTCTGTGCTATAAACAAGTGTAAACAGGCTTCGGAGGTTCGGAGCTTTGAGCGTGAGCCCTCGCCTACCGCGGAGGCAATTCAGAGCGGTGTCATCTGCTTCCAGCGTAGGCGTCTACCATCGAGTTCGTGTGAACCACTTCATGCGAAGAACATCCGCTGAAAAAAAAAATCGACGGTAGTTTCCGTCACAACATAGACAACATATACGAAACATCGCGTAGTGTATACGGAGGAGTTTTTATCTGCACTGTGTTTGTTTTCAACATCGGTATTAATCATCGCTGAAAGTTAACCTCGCACTAGCAAACACATTTCGATGATGTGAAAATGTACGTACTTACATAAGTGTATTCGCGGATTGTACGACGCTGAAACATTCGTCAGCTTCGGTGCAAATCTTTCACGTGTTGCCAAGCTAACAACAAGCGTGCGCTGGTTGGTAGCGGTGTGATGTGATTTCGTGTCGGGTACCAGCGACGCATTCAGCTGTCAGCGGTCTCATTTCCATTCATGTACAAAATAGAAACTCGAACGTGTGTTGCTGTGGTGATCGAAAAAGAAAGTGGCATGATTAATTGCTGCTGGTGTTGCCTGCTATTTCACTTCTCGATTCTTGTTCTGCTTCTCTGCCACGCTCAGCAACACATACGTTGTTAGGCAGCATTCTAACACACACATTCTTTCTAGTTCATTCTGATACTCATAACTATAGGCATACAATGATGTTTCTCCGTCATTTTACAGTTTACTATTATATAACAAGCGTTTTGTTTACAGCCGAACAGATAACTGAAAACATTGTAAGTAAGAAGCACCCGATTTAAAATCAGGTACACGATGACACGATAGTAGGAAGAGAATGTCACCACATGTATGAACAGAATAAATGAAAGTGCACTAGTACTGTACTGCATTTTGTTTAAAAGAAATGCAAACAGTGCCTCATGTGACTTATGAGACCATTCAGAACTGTACATGTATTTATCTGTTCCTTCAGACTGTAATTAGCTGAAGAAATTGTTAGATAATTTGTATGTGCTTGCAAGGACTGCTTCATTTCTGCTCAGTTATTTAGTATATGCAATACTTGGAGGATATATGCATGCACTTAAGCATATTCAAAATATCAAGATATTTAGTTTAGCGATGTTAAAAAACTTGCTAAAAACTTCTGTACAGTGCCCTGGTGCAATCCTATGACCAATATCTGTCGCATTGAAAATTTTGGGCCCGCTTTATTGCATTATAGGGTATTTTGACTACTGATGACATGTGAAAGCAGTCTAAGCTGTGCTTGGCTGCGGTCACAAAACCAATATCTGTCTCATCAAGAAGTTTCAGATGCATTTTGTAGATGGTAAAGGATATTTAAACTACCAACAAAGTGCAAAAGTCACCAACACAGCACTTATCTGCGATCACAATCCAGCTTAGAGCCATTTTTAGTTCCGTCTAACACGTTCAAATAAAGTTATCAAACACTGTATAGATATACTAGGTTTGCTTCGTGATACCAATGAATCTGACTTTTTGGAGGCACTTGTATCTTATTAATGTTCTATTTTTCTCATTTTTTACCGGGCTGCAGTCAGGAGGCAGTGATATTTGTTACGTTGGCACACTTATTGTGATATTACTGTTTAAATGCTTTCAATTTGTACTTATGTACACCACACCAGTAGTAGCCCCGCATTGGGCTACAGTGTTTGAAACTAAACAAACACACCATTCGAAAGCGGTTCACACAGTGTTCTGTTCCGGTGTTATGACTGATATATGTTGCGTAATGAAGTGTCGGTGTGGTTTATTGGCTTGGACAACATTTTAGCTGCAGGCAGCGTTCAAAAGTCTTCCGCACAAGGTTCAGTTGCAATCTGATGACCGATATCTGTCACATCACGAAGCGTCAGGCACAGTTAGTTGTGTCAAAGCGTATTTCAACTACAAAAAAAAGGCCGCAAGATATATATGCAATGTATAGGTCCTATCTTATGACCAATATCTGTTGCGTCATTAAGAGCCAGGTGTAGTTCGCTGCATCAGAGGATATTTCTATCGCAGACATCATCCGAAAGCCCTCTACAAAGGCCTCTGTTGTAATCTTATGACCTCAATCTGACACATGATGAAGTTTCAGACGTGATTATTGGGGTAATGAGTGCTTTTAATTATGAAGTGTAAATGTACTGAATGTACCAGGATATTCACGATAACAATAATGAATTCGGTGGCGTAGGTATAGAAACCTGGTGATTTATACACCTTGGTTTTTATAAACCTGTTTTATAAACCTAATTAAGCAGGCAGCCGCCCCCTTCGTCACCGAAGGAAGAGGGGCGCAATGTCAGCTCTATAGAATATTATATTAGGGAATGGGATCTAAGGCAGCCATGACATAGACGTAATAAGGAGGGGGGCACTGTGGCAAACATCCCTCCCCTTCCTTAAGGCGAACCCTGCGCACGCCTATGATAGACGTAAATTACCCTAGACCTGAATTTTCATTTTCAGGAGCGGAGCATGCAGCGATGTTGATTTCTGGTGCATACCAGTGTGGTTGCTTCGCTCAGTGCGATGTCAATTAGTTCTTAAATAGTCAAAACTGTGGCGCATGAAGCACAATCAATATTTTAACGTGCTATCATAACTCCGGCAACGTACGAACCCGCTCTAGTTGAGAACGCACCATTCTGTGATTAACTTGGACAGTTTTAAGTTAGACGATCAAGTAACACTGTGCATCAGCCTTGGACGCGTCAGCGTACACGCGCTCAACGCGTGCCAGTAGTTGCGCATTCTTTACCTCCACTGGCGCGACTGGACACTTTTGACGCGTAGGCGCGAGCGTACGCGTGCCAGTGGTTAGCACTTAAGGCCTGACCACACGCACCCATTGGTGGTTGTGGTAATGGTTCGAAGAGGAAGAAGGCACCTAATTTCTGCAGCCCGGTGGGGAGCACGGCGTAATGCCTGGTACCCATGGCAGTGCGTCAGTGCGTGTCTTTATGACGCAGCGCTACTCCCTCTCTCTATTGAGAGAGTGAGGGCGTGCTAAAGCGCTTATGTCGTTATGGGGGCGGTTTGTGCGTCTTGTGCTTTCACCGCAAGTTGATTGATTGATATGTGGGGTTTAACGTCCCAAAACCACTATATGATTATGAGAGACGCCGTAGTGGAGGGCTCCTGAAATTTCGACCACCTGGGGTTCTTTAACGTGCACCCAAATCTGAGCACACGGGCCTACAACATTTCCGCCTCCATCGGAAATGCAGCCGCCGCAGCCGGGATTCGAACCCGCGCCCTGCGGGTCAGCAGCCGAGTAGCTTAGCCACTAGACCACCGCGGCGGGGCATTTTTTCACCGCAAGTTACAGAGGGCACAAAAGTCAGTTCGCTCACTGCAGCGGCTGCGTTCGCCTTGTAGGTATGCGGCTAATACGCAAAGAATGAACAATTGTGACAGTGGCTAGTACGCGCTCCTCCTGTTAATGTTTTTTTTTTTTCGTACGTTCATTTTCGTTGAGGGGTTCACTGCATGTTTCGGGCTACTTGCCGTTCTCCGCGTGACATTGCACTTTGTTGCTATAGCATTAATTCCTTCGCCTTTGTGGCCTAACAATGCACAATGAACTCTCCTGCGCTCCACGCTCTCTCACCTGGCAACAGCAAGGCAAGCAACGCAGATACACTCGCTCCCATTTTCTCTCTTTAGGCATCTCTCTCAGTGGCGTTTACAATACCATTGTGCATGCACAATGCTTCACATCTGCTTCATTGAGGTTTCTCTCCTGCACAACGCCGCGCTGAGCGCCAGCGTCAACGCCAGCCGCCAGTTAAGCATTAATGTCCGCTGCTTCACATCTACAAATGGTTTTCTATAGCGGAATACGGTATAATTTTTTAAAGGTAGACTTTATCATGTACGCAGTAATTTTTCAATGAACGAATCGTAAGGTGTTCAGGCGGTTGTATTATTTAGCAAGCGTTTAGTTACAAACGGCATGGTGCGGCATTTCGCAATATCGCTTATGCTTTCCTAACTGGCGATAAATTTTGATGTTCACCGCATTTTTAAAAAGAAATCTGACTTACCACGCACGATGAGTCTCGAAGATTGCATGTACCCGTTCCCCTGTCTGAATGTGTACAAGCCTCCGTCACCCAGCTGGGCGTTCTGGATTGGAATCGCGTGTCCTGTGATGGCCAGTTTATCTCCATCCTTGTACCAGTTATTGTAGCGTCCTCCATTGGCGTCCTGTAGATTAGTGTCTTCATTCACGCTGATCGTCTGGCTCAGAATGGTTGGGAAATAAACTGCAAGCACCCGGGTCGAAGAACAAAACATGTCACAGTAAACTCTTGTTCAAAAATTAGTCGTACGTTTCATGTAGCGTGTGGGCAGTACGCAAATTCAAGTTCGTTCAGAAATCTGTTTGCATTTGTCATTTTGGCTAAGGTTCATCACATGTTGAGCTGTGTTTACAAGTTCATCAGGAAACTATTCGATGAACACTACGTGTATGAAAAAACGGTATAGTGAGAAAGAAATTATGAACATTTTCATACGATGAGCAGTTCCAGCTGAAATATTCTTTTGTTTGGTCGTCACTCAGTCTGTCAAGTACTTATTGAAAGGTCCTAAGGAGTATAAGCTTCCAAGGTTCCACGAGGAGCCCCCTAGCAGCTGTAGGCGAAAGCCAGAGTCGAGGTGGAAACGCGGCGGTGGTGTAGCTTGGAACTTCTGAGTGACTATTCCCAGTTGGATATTCCAATTCGAGAGATCCCTGATATAACACGGGGCATGGCCAGAACACGTGCGAGAGTGAACAGTAATGTTCTGTGCAATCTTAGTTGCAATGGCTGAGTCGGCCCCGGGACGGGAGCGGTCTCGTTTGCACCATGCTAACGGTTACCCATTGCACACGTTCACGCTTTGTGTGGTAAGGCGTATTGCCTTTTGTCATTAGGATATCAATAAATGATTTCGTTGAAAATGAGAAAGAGAGAGATAAAGGTGCAAGGAAAGGCAAAGAAGTTAACCAGACACACATCCGGTTTGCTACCCTGCACTGGGGAAGGGATAAAGGGGAGAAAAGAGGAAAATGAGAAAAGGCGTTCGTAAAGTGTGCATCTGGGCCCAGCTCTTCCATGACCGATTGATGACCTTGGCAGGCGAGTTCTCGCGCTCAGTCATGAACAGTTTGATTGAGGCTGGGTTGTCGTCACTGAACATCTTTGCCCATGTTGGCAGGAAACCAAGAGAGGTGGTGTAAGCCCATGTGTTCGTAGATTGTGGGCTGCTTCACGACATTGCCGCTTTCGTAAGCTCGAATGGTGTGCAGGAGTCTGTGAAAACGCAGGTTTGCGAGGGCTCGATCATCGCTAAAGCTATGATGACCTACTTGGCTCTGGTGCCCGTTCTTAGCCTGTCCGAAGCGGTCGAGAGTAGGGCTCTGTCACCGTTTACTAACGGGACTGCAAAGGTGGAGGTGTTGCCGTATTTCGCCGCATCAACGAATACGGTAGAATAACGATTCACGCATCGCGGTCGAGTATCGCGCGAGAGTGGGTCAGGCATCCGCGTTTGTTGTGTCCTGGGTCGATGTTTTATGGGAATGGTTTTACGATGTAAGTATCTGGGGAATCTCTCGTGGGCGGGGAGGGGGGATTACAGTTCGTTCAAGGTAAGGGCACGTGAATGTCCTCGATCACTTCATCGATATTATTGGATATGCCTACAGTTGGTCGCAATGAGAGCCACTCGTGTCCTGGGGTAGGCCGATGGCTTGTTTAATTCTATTGCGCATGAGTGTGTTGAGTTTCTTCTTTCCTACGTTTGTGTAGTTGTGAGCAGAGGCTATGTCTATCGTACAGGGTTAGATGACAAACTCCTGGGTGAGATTGACGTTACAGTAGCAATTATGATTTTGTGGTTGACAGTTACAGTCTGGGGCTTTGTAAATAGGCTTCTGTGGTATAGAAAATGGCTTTAACGGCCTGCTCTACTTCCACCAGGGAGCCTTCCGAGAACCAGATTTTAATGTCGTCCACGCATAGAATACATATTACGTTAAGGATTTTGCGAAGTTTGTCGGACAGCCTATTCATTACCACGCTGAAAAGGAGTGGAGAAGTTAGTGCCCTTTGTATGGTCTCGTTAGGACCTATAGTGTGTGTATGCGTCGTATGTGCGCTGTGATACGGTTAGTGGGGCTTTTCTGTCTTGCAAGAAAAAACAGCATTTGCTTCTAATTTTATACCGACAAAGATGTTGGCAATGGATTGCAGCGTGAAGCGGGGGAGGGGGGACGTTGTCGAATGCTTTAGCGAGGTCTAGGCAAGGAAGCCAAGGACATCTCTCGTTTTTTATTCGAAGATCTCCTTTTTTGGTTGTAACACGACGCTTTGTGTTGAGTGAGGGGTCGGCACTCTTCCAAACTAAGTAGAAAGAGTTCGTAGCCGTCTATGTAGCGCTGTACGGTGGTGGCAGGAAAGCAAACAGAGCTAGCTGCATTGCCTGTACATGAGGTTAGGAACACATGGGGCGTAGACTTTTAAAGTTGAGTTATTTGCCTGGCTTTGGGAGAAGGGCTACTATGGCCGTGCGTCATTGTTCAGGCACGTAGCCAGTTTTCCACATGTGGTTTACGTGTTCTGTGCGTATTGAGATGGCTTGGTTTTCTAGGCTTCGTAGTATCTGGTTTGTTCCCTTGTCGGGTCCAGTGGTCGATCTAATGTAGAGGTTTTGTGAGACTTTCCGTATTCGAAATGTTTGCCTATTGTAAAGAAACCGGTGACCGAACAATTTTCTGTTGCGCCAACAACATAATCTATATTCCTGAATTTGTATAAAGGTTAGATTGGGAAGCAGATAAATAGTTCTGACAAAAGGAGCGTCGCATCTTGGTAACGGCCAAGTTTTAAGTATTTTGCACCTTTAATCACTGCTTGTTTATCTCTGTGAAACGACTCGTATGCATAAGCTCATCTTTTCTTTGTTTTTTTTTAAATTTCTGAACATATTTTATTTTGAAAAGTTACAGAAAAACGAAGCGAAGCTAAAGGCCATTTGACCTGACGTGACTTCGCTACGCCAAATGTCACAAACGTTCAGCAAGCAGTGCTATATTGAATAATAATTATCAAAATACAGGGATCAGCAGAATAACAGAACGCAACAATAGCACTAACATATACAAAATAGGATACATAGATATACAAAGTCAGACATCGTGGCGCTTTTCATTACATAAAATCAAATCAAAATAAACACACTTAGAGTACTGAATTACATATACATACCTTTATTTTTTCAACCTAAAAGCAAGACATTAATATATGTGATACCCAGCCAGGAGTTTTGAATAGACGTAATGTTTACATTAATTCAGTAATGACCACAACTTTGATGTGATATTTGAACTGCGTTAATGAGAGGTTATAATTTACTTGTTCACCTTAAATTATTTAGAAGCTGTGGGGCGCGATATGCAATTAGGGCTCTACCATAGCCAGTCCTGGTAGCAGGAACGTGAATGAGTTGCCTACCGAGCGAGTTTTGTGTGCGCCTTCCTGTGTTGTTATAGTGTGGAGTTTGTTGTTCTAAATGTAAAGTAATAGCTTATATTCATACACCTGCCTTGTTTTAAGTATATCATGTTTTATAAATATCGGACTGCCAGACATCTTCCGTGCGTTGCCATAATAATCTTCGAATAGACGGAGGACTTTTTTCTGTATGATTTCAAGTTTGTTTATATTTTTCTCACTTGCAGTGGGCCATACAAGCATACTATAATGAAAACGCTGAATGAAAAAGAGCGTAGTATATTTTTTTAGACAACATGATATTAGTGGATCTATTTTAAATATACACCCAACAGTCTGGCTTAGTTCGGATGCAAGACTATCGACATCGGTATACCAAGACAAAATTTCTTGGAACCATATTCCTAGAAATGTTTGTTATTTAACCTGCTCCTGGGTTTGGTTTCAAAAAAAGATGTTAATGACGTCCTCGTAGGGCTTGTTGATAGGTTGAAATACGATTTGCTTACTTTTAGACACTATAAACATTTTGGTTTTATGAACCTTAAGCTGAAACTTTTATTCACGCAGCTCTCCATCAGCTCCATTTTCGACATTGCTAGAGTTTGCCGTTGCTCATAAGGATAAATATTACATAGCAGTGAAGTGTGCCCATCTTTGTATACAATTAGAACTAGAAACATGAAAATTCCCTTATTTGCTGCCACTACGGAGCTGGTACAACATCATTTTATTTTTCTGGAAAGCCCGCATGTATCCATGTCGGAGCTCTGTGTAAAGATACATGTGTTTTATATTTTATAGTTTTTCCCCACATACTCTTCCTTTTTGCGGTAGCACGTGAAAATATCTGAATTTTCCCGACCTTCTTGTTAGCTGATTCCAGCAGAACATCACATTTATAATGTGCTATGCCATGAGCTTATACTGCCTGAACACGCCTGCTACTGTCAAAGAAAACAGCGCTGGTTTTTGAGCAGCTGGATCGTCAAACTGGCACCCGATTGGAAAGACGTTTTGCCTGCTCGTCTGTGTAGGCTTTTGCTGAAAAATCTTTCTTTGCTTCGTGGGAATTTTACACTGGCGGATATGTATTTGGTATGAGGCGTATGTGTGCACGCACGTTCTCGGTGGAAGCATGAAGGAGACGACAACAGGTGGTGCGATAACGAGAAATCTTATGCTGTACCTTGAGACCATAGCAGATATCAATGCATTCTTCAGCAATTCTTGCCGATCATTGAACCTTAGGACGTGTCCATCAACTGATGCTTCGTTTGGTTGATTGATGAACTTATACGCTGATTGGCTGATTCCTTCACTCATCAATTCCTTCATATATTGATTGATTGATTCATCGAGAGATCATTAGCGCTATTTTGACCAATCTAAAAATTAGTTCATCAATCGATACTTTGAACTACAAATTTATCCTTTGGTTTTTTAAATGATTTATTTATTGACTGATTGATTGGTTGGTTGATTGATTACTTAATGCAACACGTTTGTGAATTCTATAATGATTTCTGTCAGCAGCACGTGAGAGTGTTAATTCGATTGCAAGTGCCACCAATACTTACGCAGGAATATCGTCAAACGCTTCTCTAAATCTTTTGTATACAACGCGTGTTTGTCATCGTGTACTATGGGAACAATACAGGGCCTAGGTATACTCACATGTCCTTTGCATGGCCACTGACGTTGCGGAAGTGAACACGCTGTCCCGCACTGAGCAGACAAACGCCCCGAAAATGTATTGCCGGCCGTCGGCAGAGACCCAGTCATTTTTAAACACACCTGCGTAGGAGACGCCAGGCACATGTATGGGCAATCGGAAGGACAGACACGACAACTAAAATATATGTAAGAATGAGAGCGACACGGACAACGGTCGACTTGGCGAATTATTCAGGATACGAGCTCAAATGTGCTTCACTTTGCTGTATTTGGACCCACACTTACGAAATCCCTCGATGTTTAGGTAGTACAAGCAACCAAGCGTACCGCATATCCTATAAAAAGGAAACACTTGAAAGCGTCGGTTGCCTGTCAAGTCTTATATGACGTTTCAATATAAAAAAAAAACAGCCGTTTGCTTTTGTTCGTAAAGCAACGAATAAATGCTTCACAGGTGGAGAATTTCAGGCCTATAATAAAATAGCAATATCGAACAAGAGACATGGCCTACTCACCGTCGTGCGTATATCCTGACGCGTGCGGACGGGACATCCCAGCCGAAGTGCGTGAAGTCAACAAGTCGTCCCGGCGGTGCGAAGCAAACTTGCACGTGTCTCTCGTTTGGGCCGAAACGGTACCGTACGTGAACCGAAGTCAGGTCAAGTACGGGCTCTGGGATAAATAAAAGAAAAAACTCGGAACGCCCACGTTGCACACTGATACCACAGTTTCTCGTAAGCTTGCGAAGCAGGAACCAGGCGGACTGCATGAATTTCTACGTCACCGCAATCGGAGAGTTCACTCTCGTGGAGAAGTGCTTTGACACAGAGGCCATAAAGGCGAATAATATTGCAGCGAAGTGGTATACGGCTCGATGTTCATACATTTTGTTCCGTCCATGGTCACATGACTGACCTCCTCAGGCTCTCCGAGGAGGCACCAGTCATCAACGATAACCGCCTCGGGGCAATAGTAAGAAAAAATAAATGAGAAAAATTCAAGTGTGAACACTCCCTTGTGTTCCTCTTCTTGTAAATTTATTAAATTGATCCCCACCCGGAAGGCTCTTGTACGTATAGCGCTGTTTTCAACTGCCTCCGGGATGCAGTTTTCCCCATCTCACGCACTTTCTGCATTGGCTCGCCTATACCCAAGCGACGATGTCATCAAGCCACCTCACGTTATGTGACGTCGTAGCGACGTCACACATATTAGATACTGAGATGCCATTGTCACCTCTTATACGGACGTCATCGATGATAAAAAAAATTGGGGGACCCTTAAGCTTCCCCTTTAAGAGTGAAGCACGATAGAGAAATCCTGCCCCTAGTGCACCCTTCAACCGCTAAGTGCATACTTATTAATATGTTTTGTTGCATACACACACACGCACACAAACACGCACACAGTAGATTGGACCAGCGCGCGCTATTATCGCTGAATGAGCTCGCCTTCGTCGTGACACCTCTCAAAACAAATGTGTTAAAGGGGCCCGAAACATTTTTAAGTAACCATGGAATGAATTCACTAGAAGAGCTCATTGCCTCATGAATGCAACGCCGCAAAAATTTAAAAAAATCCGTCCTGTGCGAGTGGAGCTCCAAAGGTTTGTCGCATGCTGCAATTTCATTATCTCTTCTCTCATCCTAACTAAAGCCATTATTCTTAATAGATGTATAAGTATCCACAACAGAGCTTCTACCCCAGAATTTATTAGGCAGGGAGCTTAATAATTAAGCAGGGCAATGAAACTACCGCGCCTCGTGACCTTCAGCACTTTTTTTCTTCAAATGCACGGCTTTTCAGTGTGATCACGCGTGCATGCGTGGACAAGTAGCGGCATCCCGCGGCTATTTCAGTAACTTGATTTTTCGGTCACAGATGCACAGACGGTTTATTGCTCACAACCAACGGGGCCGACGCCGGCAGTGGGTTTTCTGCAACACGAGCTCTTTAACACTATCGCGTTAATAATTTTCCGTGTGATACGAGGGTCGAATTCTATGGTTGATGACGCGTTTATGGCTTTCGGCCTAAAATTTTTAAAACATACACTCACCTTGGACACGTGGACTTACAAAGCGGTAGCTCCCAGGGCCAATGTACGAACTGATGTAACTGAAATGCGGGTAAATGTAAACTCGCATAAATGCGTGGTGAAGTATTATGGATTAAAAACTCGAAATGCAAGTCCTTAACTGATGCTCGTTTGACAGTTCAGGTTTTAGCATTGAAACCTTCGTTCTGATGAAACAGCGCCAGCGAAAACAACAAACCAGACCAGAAGGAATGACATGCACGCTGTGCACTGGGTTTCCACTGTTCCTCTCCGTCAGGCATATTGTTTTCAGCTGGCGCTGTCTTAGCGCTAGTGTGAACAAACTAGCCCAAAATAATGTATTACCCTTTCCATAGTTCCCCAAGGTGAACACGCGCTAGAACTTAAACTGAAAAAGCACTGATTTGTAGAGCCAATTGGTCAGCTCTTGTACGGTATATCGATTTTTGTACTCACAGTTTGTCCCCTGGCGACGTTGAGAAGGACCCCACGCTAGCACTATTTCACATAAACCTAACAGGGAAAGCAATAGCAGTGGGAGTCCCTGAAAGAGTGTTATTCGTATGAAAAATAAACGTGTAGGGCACATAAACTGCACTTTAAAGAGTAAATGTCGGTGAAATAGTGAGGTCCCGTTTCGGTCGCCTTCTAAGTTCTAAACCGGGCTTGGCCTCACAACGAACACATCAGCCTTGCAGTCAATAGAGTGACGTATGTATCATAACATAGGTCCTTCTAAATTGTCTTATACTGTACACCTACTATTATTACATGTGCACAAAGCCCACAATGGAATAATTTATTTTGTAACGAAGCATTCACCATGATAATTTAAAACTGAAGAAGAAGCCCTGTAACACTTTTTCATCGTGGTCAGGAAAAGCCGGCGGCTGGTAGTCAAGGCTCCTGAAGACATGTGAGCCAAACATAGTTTAGTACGCGTCCTGTAATTTATAAAGAATTCTCCAAACCGGCTCCCAGTCGCTCCCTGCTCTTTTTACAAATCATGTCATAAATCCAAATGAGCACACTATAGGCAAAACGTGAACAGCCATTGGCTAGTTAGAGCTCAGTTAGCTGCGTAGTTATCGAGGCCGCCGCGGGATGCCGCTACCTGCAAACGCCCCCGCTCGCAATCACACTGAAAGTAAGAAGAAGAACTGCCAGGCCAGCACGGAACGCGCAGCACAGTCACAGCGAAAGCAAGACGCGAGGCTTTTCTAGACATCTTTAACGCTTTTGGAGCAACTGCTACAAGCACACTGAGACGGTATACATACACTTTTAGATGCGGAGCATCTTATACTCGCGCCTTGTAGTGCGCCGTCCGCGCCGTCCGCACCGCTTCTCAAACATTCGACAGCTGACGCGCGCGCATGCGCCGTCGCGCCGTCGCCCACTCTTCCACCATCTGTGCATCCCTTCCTCCTCTACACACCGCGCGTGCTTCACTCCTCCACCATCTGTGCACCCTTCCTCCTCTACACACCGCGTTCGACATCTACAATTCTCCTGATTCTCCAGTGGACGCGCATGTGGCGTCGCGCTTCGAGAACATTCAACAGCTGAGAGTGCATGCGCCGTCGAGCTGTATATATACTCAAGGTCGGCGCTCGCTCGCTCAGTTGCCGCTTGTCGGTTGGTTTGTATGGCTCGTCGACGTCCAAGGTCGCGGTGAAATGAATTCCAACGAATCCACAAACACAATGATCGACGTCCCTTCGACCAGCGCCGCCCTTTCGCATACGTGTGTACGTGTTCACTCATTTAACACCCCCTCCTACAACCACGTTAACCAATTTAGCCATCGACCCAAGTAAGTCGCAATTTAACACCCCATTTCACAACCACGTTAACCAATTTAGCCATCGACCCAAGTAAGTCGCACTTTAACACCCCGTTAACCAATTATATGCTCCGCATCCTCCTCAGTGTTCCCCCGAGGGAAGCTGCAGGCAATTTTTTTTCAGCATTACTGGCAGCCTTACTTGGATTCACATTTATACTGACGTGTAATCACATGTCCTCAGAAGCAGTGTTGCTCATGCTCCAATTTAATATTTACTGATCAGAGGCGTTTAATACGTAGAGTGGTGCCTTGACCTCCCCGCGCCACCTCTTCCAGGTGGGTCCTTGATAAATATATCTCGTGTTGTCATTTCTAGCAAGAAAAATGAGCATACAAATGTGTAAGCACTGACGACAAGTATTCAAACGTGCTGTATCAGAAGCCGCCAAGAAGGGCACTGATTACGTGAGATAGTGGTGTTGAAGAGCTTTTACACGGTGGTCGAAAGGGGCCATTCTACGCTGACGGACGCATGAATTCTACGCTGACGGACTACCTCTGGCTCACTCTGGCTTGGATCGAGCCGTGAGTCAAGTCAGTCCGGATGAGTAATATTTTGGCGATATTGAGTACGAGCGAGTCTGCTTGGAGAAAATTTTCTTTAGTGTGAGTCCCAGTGAGTCACGCTTGGAAAAATATTGGTGAGGCCGAAGAGCAAATTTTATTTCTTTAGTGTGTCTGAGTGAGTCCCACAAGTTATGGCGACCTCTGCATGGTACCCCACTACGCCATAAACCATCATAATTTTTGTGGAGCCGAAAAGCCTATTATTCGTCATTCTTCGTGAAAACGCGGCACCCGCTATACACTTCAAAGACATTATGTGCACTTTGTCGATGCCGACAAAAAAATGCGATGATTCATGGAGTGGTGGTTACCATGCAAGTGTACCTGTAGTAGTTGCCCATAGAGTGGCCTATGATGAGCGATAGAAAAGTCGCTCTTCTAGCTTTCGCTTTGACTGTGCTGGGTGTTTCATGCAGGCCTGCGTTTTTATATATATGTTTATTTATGTATTTATTTATTTCGTTGTTGTTTTTTCTCTCAGTTGGCACGATGGTGGTGTCGGACACTGGAGGCGGCGGTCGATAACTATGGCGCCAGAATCGGCCCTTGTTGGAATCTCATGACAGATTTCGCTGGAAAAACAGCGCGTACTGTTACGACGGCGGACAGAAGTAAAACGGGGCAAAGACGCAGCAAGAAATGTAACTTAGAAGTGTGGCAGCTTGGGCTAGTTGGTATGGCATGACGATAGTTATAGCGCGAGAACAAAACGACGACACGGAGTGTCTTTCGTATCCTTCTTGTCTCTGTGTCGTCGTTTTGTTCTGGCACTATAAATATCGGCAGCAAGAAAGATGCACGTTCGAAGAAAAATGAAGAGAAAACGCTGAAGGTCATTTCAAGCGCTGACAAACAACGTAGCGTCTAGCACTGTTGCCATGCCCCGCCGCGGCGATCTAGTGGCTAAGGTACTCGGCTGCTCACCCACAGGTCACGGGATCAAATCTCTGCTGCGGCGGCTGCATTTTCAATAGTGGCGAAAATGCTGTAGGCCCATGTGCTGAGAGTTTGTTGCACGTTAAAGAACCCCAGGGGGTCGAAATTTCCAGAGCCCTCCACTACGGCGTCTCTCATAATCATATGGTGTTCTGGGATGTTAAACCCCCGTATTAATCAATGCGCTCTTGCCATCTGACCTTCACTTCTATAGCTAAACCCACACTAATGTACACTACAAGGAACTACCAGGCCATCTCCGGCCTACCTTTCATTGAACAAGCGAGTGTAGAGGAATAGCTGGGTAGCGATAGCCTTGACGATCAGTTCAGTTTAATCAAAGGGGCGCGCAGGGCGGCAACTGCCTGTGGTGTCCTGGACTGAGGGCAGACAGCGCTGCTAGGTAGGACCTGTGGACCAAGCTGACCCGTACCACTAACGCCTTTCTGCCTTTAACTGTCTTCCTTCAGCGCGCACTGTGCTCGCTGGTACGAAAGAAAAAAGAAAGCACTTAAAGTGACTGCCAAATCTATCTTCACCGCCGGTACTTGCAGGATTATAAAAAAAATTGTAGCAGTCAATTGGTCAGCGAAAATTGCTTTAGGAAAACCATTCGATGATTGCATGAAAAACTTGATGTTGCATGCAAGGCCTCCTTAAGAGGTAGGCCATTTTTTATCCCAGCAGACATACAATAATACGTTCGGTTTAATGGACATTTTCTTATTGCTCAGTGAAGCTGCACTGATCTTAGCGTAAATATTTTTGCTCGTTTTTTCTTTCAATATCTGTTTTTCATTTTGAAACGACAGGAAGCACTGATAAAAATAATAAGAATGGAACAATGCTCCTGACAGGCAAGATAGTGTTGTAGCGACCCCGCTAGGCCTCATTCTTTGGAGCACGTAATATATGAGCCGGGTTGTAGCAGACAGTAAGAGAACACTTGGGGCTGAAGCTGACCTCTACGTATAGAAAAATGTACTGGCAATTCACTATTATAAATTCGGAATTGCTGAGTTATAGCTGACATATGTTTTTTTTTTTTTCAAAACATATACTCTTGTGCTAGTTGCTATTTCATGATGATCAAGGAGAGTGCACACTAACGCTACTCAAGACTAAGACGGTCACGGATCGAACGCATTGTTGTGTTTTGTTCATAGTTACACGATAACTTTCCACTCAGTGTTTAGTGTTACGCAGTGACTTTTCTATAGACTCCTTTTGAAACGACACAGCGAATCAGGTTTTCAGGGCACAAGAATAGCAGATTCAGCTGCGCTATGTTTCACTCTCGCATTACCAGTCAACAGCATACGTCATTTGTGCATTCACTCCACAGTCAAGAGCATTATTGCGAGTGACACTCTACTGCGGTCGAGAAGTCAAGCGTCTGGGTTTGGTTAGTTTCCGAAAAACATTATTCATGAAAGTCCGATGGCGTGTGTCGTAGCGCACGGCGGGCCACTCCCATTTCCGGACAGCAAGGCCGAGATCTACTGCCGCATCATGGCCCTCAAGACAGCCCAAAGTTGTGTTTGTATGTGCGGCCTCCTCAGTAAAGATCCCCACCTGTTAGACGATGCTGCACCGGAGCCGCGTACTGAAGGACACTCCCATAGCATGTGGTAAAAGGTGGCTAAACCACCACGTTTGCGACATGAGTTAGGTGAATAAACATCAGAATGAAGCTCGTGGAGAAAG